CAACGAGTTGACCGGCGACAGGTTGCTGGCATCACAGACAGCAGCGCCGCCGGTTTGGCCACCATGGCCGCCATGAGGAGGCTTGTGGCAACTTATTGTGTTACAACGGCGAGAAGGCGGGCAGCAAGCGGGCAGCACTGCGCTGGTGCGCGCCTCGATGCCCAACAACAGGCTAAGATTATAAGGTGAAGTGCTGGAATCTCGAATACAACAAGTTCATACGTCATCTATTCACTGGCAGTACATCCGACCATCGATGTACTGGCCACCTCTGCGCACGCATCTGGGACATGCGATCCAAGACGAACCTGCACACATTGACCGACCACACATGACTCCACAGTGCGATCCAAGCCTATGGGATCAGGCTGCCGGCAAGAGCGTTTGTACGCTAACCAATCACAAGAACTTTGGCAGCTCATCTCGGGCCAAAAGCGGACAAAACGATAAATGAGGATGATGAGGTCAGCGGGGAGACGCATCCGATCAACTGGCGGCCGGAGTTGTTCAAGCGTCGTAGATTCTAAGATATGCCTAGTTTCTGTTGTAAAATAAATTATGATTCAGCTTTTAATCCCACTTGGTTTGCTTTGTTTGTGATATATATATATTTTATATATATATATATATATATATATATGACAAACAAAGAAAACCAAGTGAGATTAAGCATTTCATGTTCCACAATTTGAAAGACTATTCCCAGCGTCTACAGTTGTTTCCAATCACGAAAACAAGTGGAAAAAAGTGCCTTGGATTTTTCTTTGTATTAAACATATATTATAACGTATAGAAGAGGTATATATAGATATATATATCTATAGCTCTGATCATCTTTTTGGGATACCTGCTGTAAGTTCTTAAATAATCAATCGCGATACACTGCTTAAATTGTTGGTATTATATTTGCTCGGTTTTTTTTTTTGGTTTTTACACATAAATAATTGTAATTATCTTCTGCATAAATATCAATAGCATTTAGTATGTATATATTGTAAGGTGTTAAAATATTTCCTGTTTTTCCTTCCTTTCTTCAAACTAAACATTTGTTGTTTTTCTTTTTAATATTTTTATTGCTATAGTTAACAAAGTAAAAGCATTAACTGTTAAATTAATTGCTTCATTCTTCTTTCTTTTGCATTATCGTATTTAAAGGTTAATATTACTGTTTATTATAAGTAGGGCTTTCTAGTCATTTGCATAAATGTTATCATTAGCATTATCTTTATCATTTCATGTATTAAAATCACAAATAATTGTTGTTTGAAACAAATCTTTTGTTTTGCTTTTCTTTTTTTTTTTAATTAAACATATTTTTGTTTTTTTTTTCTTGTGTTTTTATCAATGTTTGTTTTGTTTTGTTTTCGTTACATGTAGGTAGTATATATGTATCGTTATACAACTAAGTATACATATAAATTTATATATATATATATATATTTGAAATATCTCTCTCAACCCTTCGATCCGTATTCTCTCCTCTCTTTCTACATGGTGTCAACTGCAAACAACTGTCCAAAAATAAACCCCTCCTCCGATTCCTTCGTGGATGTTTTGATTAAGGGCGGTATTTGGATTTTTGAGTGTCCGCCTGTGTTACATGACTGGTGCTTTATGTTTATAACTTTTTAATTGTTTATTGATTTTCGGTTTACCCCCATCCCCCTCCCGTTTTATCAACTCGTGTGGCAGACATATGCGTATGCAAGTTAGGCAAAACGTGCAACGCGTATTTACAGTAAGCAGACTTTCAGAGTCTGGCGCCGGTTATTTTCACTGTTGATAAGATTAACATATTTAGAATAGCATTAATATTATATTATGTATACATATCAAAAAAAAAAAAGAAACGCAACCACACACACACACACAGGCACACACACACATGTAAAAGCTAAAGCCTAAATTGAAATCGTTTGAAATCAATATGTATGCGTTTGTTTATATAGCATTATAGCATTATTATTTCCAAATATTGTATATGTATGTGTGTATGTAGAGAACACAACTTCGACTCGACTCGACTCTGACGTTGGCGTTGGCAGCGCCACCACCCAACCAACCGCCCAACCTGTCGCCAGTATTTTGGAAGAGGGGTGTAGTGGGGAGAAGGCAGCAAGCAGCAGACGTTTTGCATTTTTCGAGTGTGTTTGTGTGTGTGTTTAAGTATAGAACTTTTAAGTTTTTCCTCTCTGTGCGTTGTTGGTCACGGGGTGGGGAGTGGGTAGTGGAGTGGCTGGCGAGTGCTGACCAGTGGAAGAGTTATGCCCTAAGCAGTTAGCTAAATATACGTTAAGTTTCTATTTGATTACTTATCGCTGATATTCCATAATTTAAACAAATGAATATTGTTAGAAAACTAAAGTTAAAAAAGAAAGGAAAAGCAAATATATATATATATATTCAATAGCAAAACTGTTTGCGTTTGCCATGAAGTATATTTTTAACTGAGATGTTGACGGTTCTTTTTTTTTTTTTGTCTAGGGTTGATGCCACAACAAATTTTAAAATACAAATAATCGTTTTTGCTTTTCATTACTGATTATGCAGTTATTTCGCCGAGTGCTGCTGTTGGAAGTGTTTGTGGTCATTTTATTATTATTGTTGTTGTCCTCTTTGTTCTGGAAGTTATAGCCGCCACCGCCGCCACGCCTTGCCCCGTCTGATCGTGTCACGCCCTCGCTCAATAGTTAAATATATATATATATGTTTGTATATATATATAGAGAGAGAGATACAGATATAGATATAGATATAGTTAGAGATGGGCTCCGTTACGTCGATACATACACACACATACACTAATCTGACTCTGACTCTGACCCATACACAATATCACGCTGAATATTCAAGTATTTGTTGTTGTAGTAGAAGTAGTTATATTGTTGTTGTTGCTGTTGTTGTTATTGTTATTTGTTGATTGATTTTTTAGTTGTAGATTTTGATTGCCTTCTCGGAAAAGTTGAGTGAACTCCGCTTGCGGGACTTGTTAATGTGATCGAGCCCAAAGAACGGCATCTGTCCGCCCGTCCATGTGCGATACACCTCCAAATCGATCGGTGAATTATCATTGACATCGTTTGTGTGACCATTGGCAATGACAGCAAACTTATAATTCTCCCACTCCTTGTCGGGCACATTGAGGCGCTTCTGTATGCGCTGTTTGAGAGCACCGTACGGTTCGTTGTGGCGCGCCTTTATGAGAAATGGCACACCGAACGAATTGTAGAGATCCTTGCTGTAATGTGCCACCGGTATGAGTAGCTCATTCTCCGCCAGCTGTGTCTCCTCATTGGGTATCTCCTCGATCCGATAGATTTTCTGTGTGCCCTGGGCTGTTGTTATCGATTCGTTTGCCTTAATTAGCGTATCCAATGGTATATCGTCCTTGCAGATGGCAACAATCTTATGATTGCCAACCTTCATCAGACGCAACTTTTTGCGACTATTCTCGGCAAACGTGATCGATTTGGCCGCCTCATCCAACAGTCCCTTAACTGTGCCATTCTTATTCGGATAGAGGACCAGCTCCTTTTCCTCCTTCAAATCATTCGATACCCAAATGCATTTGAACAACTTTTTGTTATCCAGTTCGTGAATGCTGAGCGACAGTCTCTGATAGAAAATACGCTTCGGCATGCTCTGCTTTGTGTATGATAGCAGATCCTTGATGTTGCCCTGCAATTATTTGTGAATATATAAATATATATATTTAGGCGACTTTGATAATACTCACCTTGTAAGTGTAGGGCACCGCATTACCGGCGGTTTCCTTGAAGTTGCTGATGCACATGAAGAACTGAAGCTTTTGTGGATCCGTATTTAGTCGTTCGGCTACCGCATTCGTTAGCTGATCGTAGTTGTAGCGATTTGATAGCTCCAGTGTGAAGTCTGGCTCGTTGGGATTGCATTTGTCGCTGAAGATGATCTCGATGCGGTAGACCAAATCCAAAAAGTAATCCTCAACGGTTGGCAGATCCAATTTGACATCAACATTCTCGCGCTCAAATATCAAAATGGGCCCCTGCAAATGATCCTGATGCATATAGAGGACACTCTCGATTGGCTCATTGATGTTGGGTATTTTCTTATCGGCATATTCATCGAACACGGTCAACTCGGTGTCCAGTTCAAAGCCGAGCTTCCGATTGATTTCGGGGACCAGTTCGCATAGGCGGCGATTTAATGGCTGCTGTGTGCAGCCAATGTAATTGAGACGCTTGTTGGGCGCATCATAATACTTGAGGAAGAGCAGCACATCGGTTTTGGGATTGAACGGCAACAGGGGCCCAGTGCTGTCGGGCGGCGCCAGCTCAAGGAATATGACCCAGGGCTTCTGCGATGTGGGTATCTGTTCGATGGTGCGCGCACCCTCTGCCTCGAAGTCAAAGTACAGGAACTTTTGGGTTTGGGCGGTGCACATGTTCCACATGCGCATCCGATCCCGTGGCACCCCAAATGCCTTGACAAACATCTCGACCATCTCGTTAACGGTTTGGTTTTGCTTTAGCTTGAACGGGCGCTGGTGTGTCTTCTCCACATCGAAGAGACGTCGCTTCTGCTGTGCCTCAAAGTACTCCTCGAGTATAACGTGTATGGGCACATAAAGATTCGCCTCACTGCGCTCCTTGCGACGTGCCATCTCGATGCGTTTCTCCAAATCGAGACGCTCAACCAGATCACTGGATATCTCACTCTCGGGTATATCCTCGAGTACACGATCCAGCTCCGATTGCCGTATATAGACGAGCATATAGGCATTGCTGCACTTGGCATGAAACGAGATTTCATCATCCATGCCGCCATAGTTCTGTTCGATTGCCTCCTGTTTGCGGCAACTGGAGACGACATCGTCATCGAACTTATACCAACGGCCATCGGCTTTTGGATTGATGAAGACCACATAGTGGCCGCCGTGATTGTCTCCCGAATGCACCAATACGGCGTGCAGCACATAATCGGCCGGTGTCTTCTCACGTTCCGCCAGATAACGGTCCAGATTGATTTGCTCATAGAACTCGAAGCGATCGTTATACTTGATCGAGCAATCCGTTATCGGATCGTATTGGAAACGCATCAAGTGCAAATGCAGCACCGGCGGGAATGATGTGAATATGACGCCCTTGCTTGCCTCCTGCATGCAGCACATGCAACAAAAAATAAATAAATTAAAATCAATAAATATTTCACAATATTTATAAATCAAATAATGATTTTGAGAAATATGACGGACGATGAATCCATCTCATTTTACTACTTTTTACGGTATATGAATGACGCTGCTTAATGCTTTTTAATATCAGTCAACTCAGTCAAATTCTCACCACAAATATCGCGTTTCCTATGTATATACGTATATACAATACAAATATATATACATAAATTTAGTTGAGCAATAAACAAAATTTGTATATGTAATAAAGGCGATAGTTGGGATGATAATTGGATAAGTGTTTGACTTGGAATAGAAGTTGGCGTTGGCGATGGGGGTGATTCACTTACCTGAAGACCATGGACACCGGCATCGTATTTGTTGTCACCCTCAAGTGTCTCGGATGCAACATAGTCCTGAAACGAATCGTAGATATTTTTCTTGTCTTTGATATTTAGCTGAATGTCGTAGAAGGTCTCGTAGCGTGTGCTATTATAGTCGACATTCTTGCATTTAATGTACGATGACATTTTGCCCTCGAACAGGCCAGGAATGGTGCCCTCGAGGCACGTGCCCTTCATCTTCGACTCGAGCTTGTCGAGCAGCACCCGTAGAAATTCCTGTACATCATGCTGCATAAAAGAATCGAGCGTCTCCCAACCAAACGATTTCGTTAGCTTCTTGGTGCCAACGGGACGATCAGCGAACTGCAGCTCATGGAAGACACGCTGCAGCGATAACCCAACCGATTTGGTGCTATCATCCGCCTCGGTCGGTATGCGATAGACACTCAAGCGCAGCGAGTTCGTAAAATAGAGCGTCTGCAGCAGTGAGTTCATATAACAGGTGGCGCCCTGATTTTTGAGGCCCACATAGCCGGTATGCTTCTTGGAGTCCCACAATACGCCGTGCGGAGCATCGGCAATTACATGCACCTCAAGCGTAATGCTACCATTGTGCACATAGTATTTATCGGGATCCTGCAGCTCCTGCCATGTTATAAAATTCGAATAGCCATAATCGTTCTCCTTCGAGTAGAACAAATGCTTGATTTTCGCCCGTGTAAATGGCGGTGAATCGGCCTTGTGGCATTTGAGTCGCAGCTCGGCAATTGCATTGCACGACCAGGTGGGCGAATCATTCTCGCCATTGCATTGCAGAAAGAATCCCAATGCTCGATCATTCGGTATAACCATTATCTTCCATGGCAGCATACGGACATAGACCGGCGGCGACAAATGCTGTTGCTTGATCTGGCCAACATTCTCCACGGTATAGGAGAATGTTGTCTCCGAACGGAATTGATCCTCCTTTGCGTCCTCGTCCATTGGTATCTCCTGCTCGTTCCCGAACGATGTCGAGCTGCTCTCTGCCAATAATTGCTGTGGTGGCACGTTGCCGTTCTCACTGGGTAGCTGCTGCTGCTGCTGTTGTTGTTGTTGCTGCTGTTGCGGTTGTTGTTGTTGTTGCTGTTGCAGCTGTGGATGTATTAGATTCTTAAATTTCGGCAATTGTGGCGGTGAGTTTGTCTGTTGTTGATTCTGTTGCTGTTGTTGCTGTTGCTGTAGGTCACTTGTAATTATTTCGACCTCTTGGGTATCTTGGGTGTCCATTGCTTCGATAGACTGATCTGTATCAATGTCCATCGTATTCGGAACTAAAATTTTGGTGTTAATCGGCTACCACAAACGCCGCCGCTGCTGCTTGATGCTGCTGATTTTGCCGCCGCCGTTTCTATTAATTTTTCCTTTCGAAGTGCTTTCGATTATATGTCAATTTTCCTATACACATATATACATATAAATATACATATATGCATATATATATATATATTTATTTTTTTTGTATGTTATCGCATTGACATTCGATTTCGATTTCGATTGCGTTTTGCTTGATGTTGCAGCAGCCGCCTGTGTGGAAAATGGGTAACAGGAGAAGGAGAAACATCGATAAATAAACATACAGAAATACAAAAAGACAAACACACACGTACACGCACATATGTGCATGTGCACATATATAAATATATAAATGGGTGTAAATATGTATGTGATGTGATGTGTGCGTGCGTGTGTGTTGGTCACAAGCTTGCAATTTTTTAAATGTGAACGCATCAATGTATGTACATATGTACATGCATGCATACATACATACATATATCTATATGCGAAATGAACATATGTATTTACTTTTCGTTTTGCACTTTTTCACTTGGTTTTATGCAATTACATACATTATGTACATATGTTGAAATTATTCACGCTAAATGAAGTGCGCCGCATCGCTTTGTCCCAAAACACACACACATACGCTTTAAAAGAAAGAACACATACATACGCACACACACTCATTCACACGCACGCACGCACGCATCGAATACATTTACCCGTCTTTTTCATCGGTCGGGCATCAACTTAAAATTCAGCTCCGCTCGCTCTGCTCCACACACGGATGCAATGAATTTTATTTATTCTGCTTACCTTTAAAGACGTCAAAAATATGGTATATGGTATATTTAGGCCTTGGCCGCAGGCTGGTTGGCTGGCAGGCAAGCAGCTTTAGGCTCAGATGCGAACGCAAGCGCCAACCGTCAAGAGGAAAAAAAAAACTGCAAAATTTTCTTCGTATTTTTCTTTCCAACCTACACTTTTATTTATGGCCGTCTCTTCGATGTATGGTGCACGACGCTTTTTATTTTTTGATAGCAAAAACAAAAAGTTGGAAACACAAATTTTAATTAAACTGTCCATATAATTTATAAAACACTTGTGACGTATTTCACTCGGCACTGCATTTGCGTTTTCGATTCATTTAAGGAAAGGTGCAAAATTTTACTTTAATCTAGCAACTGCTCTACTCAAAATGGCACTGCAACCGAAATGGAACAGACTTCTAAACGCTGTTATGTCAAAGAAGAACTGTAAAATACTACACATAGCTATCGATAAGATTAATACTATGATGTGATAGCAATAGTTTCGACATTTTTGGTATCGTTGAAACTTGCCATACTATCGATTGCATTCGATTAATTTTACATTTAGGTTCATTCAAATTTTAAACATGCCGGATTACAAATTATTCTAATAAGCATAGCAAGATTTAGTTAGGAGTGTGCTACATAACAGTTGCACATAATTATACATAAAAACTGAAGTGAAATCGTTAATCGTTTCAGTACCAAATTTTAATTGTTCTTTTATCAATTTAAGCAAAATTAGTTAGCTTAGAATAACCTAAAAGTTTTAGTAATCTTCCTTTAATAAAACAAATAGATTATAAAAAATAGCTGCCACTTAAGCAATTCTCCCAATTAAGGTTTAACCAATCCAGTTTAATATGAAAAAAAAACAAGTCAATCGATATAGTAAAATAAATATATTTGTATAATTTATAAAATCAACATGAATCGGTCGTCATTCGCTTGAGGTACATTTGATAACAAATTTGGTTACTTGATTAACAGGATTACATACATATACATATATATACAATTAATATAGAAATTGATCGATGATCGTCGTTTCGTCGTCGTCGTCTTCTAACTGGCCAGCTGCTTACGTTCCTGGAGCCGTTGACAACGCAAACAGACGCCAGCCGAGCTCGATTTCCAGCAATTGTGGTGGGCACAGGCGCCACACTGGGCACAGCGGTGCACCTTCCGCTGCCACGGATAGATGAGCGGCCGACTCTTGCAGTGCTCACAAGAAAAGGCGCGACCCGTGCAGAGCTGCAAACAATTGATAGATGGTTGGATTGAGAGATTGATCCAATTGATTGAGTCACAATTCAACTCTTGGGGCTTACCACGCAGTTGTAGACATGCTGTTCACTGAGTCCAATCAATTGCTCAATGGAGCGGGTCATGCTCTTGTTTTGCACATCGACAAAATCACACATGGACCACATATCCGGGTCATTGGTAATATGGGCCGGCACCGCATCGAAGAACGCTTGCTCCCTGAAGAAAAAAAAAAAACAATTAGAAGTAGAAGCAGGAAGCAGCCAGAGACTGTTGCCGATCATCCACTCACTTGGTGGCAAAACGACAGGCGACAATTAAATCGCGTACAAATCGCAACTGTTGGCGACGTCGTCGCGCCCGCGCCAGTTGCTTCTGTTTGACATAGAGCTGGGCATTCAGGTCGGGCACATGGAAGAGCGGAAATGTGTACATCTGTTCGATGAGGCGGTATGCGAACGAGCTAACCGCATAGCTGTGAAAGTCCCACGTCTGCAGAATTTTTGCCGGTATCGCCGACAATTGATTTCGATGGCAGCCGGTGCACAGATACTTGCCCAAATAGTTGCAATAGCGAAAGTGATGCTGATATTGCCGCGTCACATGCATGCCACAGCCGGCGCAACGGTAATGTTGTCGCTGCAGCAACTGCGATCGACTCTCCGCCGGATGCTCGGTGAAGATGATCTGTTGACGGGGTGGTGCCCAGGTTTTGGTGCCGCGCGTCAGGCCCGCCTGTGCCTCATCGTTAGCCAGCAACTGTTGCTGCTGATATTGTGCCTCGGGCTTGGGCATGGGCAACAGCTGTTGTGGTGCATCCTGCTCGGACACCAACCATCGCAGGTCACCCAATTTGGGCAGCTGTTGATCCTTAAAGCGTGATATCAATTGCAGGCCAACTGCCTCAGCGCTGTTGCTGTTATTGTTGTTGCCACTGCTGCTGTGGTTGTTGTCGTTGTTGTTGATATTGCCAGCGCTGGTCGCATTATGCTGCTCCACATAGGGCATGAGCAGGGCGTCCGCCTCTCTGGCAGCATTAGCTGTACTATCATTGTGCTGATCACCGCGTCTTGTCCACTTCACGTGCTCGATGGCCGCAATGCATGCCTCCGATATGCGAAAATGGGCGTTTTCCTTTTCCAATTCGGTGTTGTTGTTGTGCGTATATCGCGACATTTGCAGAAATGCGGCAAAACTCTGATTGTCGATCTTATTGCCTGCACTACTGTGCTGGCTATCGCTGCTCAAGCTGCAGGATGTTGTTGTGCTGCAATTTGCACTGCTCCCCTGACCCTGACACTGGCTGGCCACAATGTCTAGCGGCGCTGTTGCTAGCTGTGTGCTGCTGCTGGTGCCCGCCTCTGGCTGACAAGCGTAACTGTCGTCCAGCATGCTGATGCCCTCGAATAGCGACTGATGCTGCCGCTTGTCCAGCTTGCGTCCGTTGACCGGCAAAAAGTTGTCCAGCACACTGCTGGCCTCATCTTGCTGGCCAATTGGACGGCGGTACCAGCTCGTGTAGACGGGCGGCGAACTAAACAGATTGCCAAGCACTCTATGGAATGGACTGCCACGCTTGATGCAGTTATTTGTTGCTGCCGCTGTTGGTGTTGTTGTTGTGGTTTCTGGTGTTTTTGCTGGCGTTGTTGTTGGGCTCGTTTGATCCGTCCAGATCTTTATGTCGTCGCAGTTGATCAGCTGTATGTGGCGTGGTGGCGACGGAGGCGTCTGACTGCAGCTGCTGGTGGTGCTAATGCTGGAGCCACTAAACGCCGCCACCTCCCCACGCGAGCAGAACGGCACCGGACGACTGCTGAGCGTTTGGCAACGCGGTCGCATTAACCCACTGCTGCCCGGCTCCCCCTGATAGAGGCAGGGTAAACTTTTGATGCGTCGCAGTAAATGAGACGCCGATGCTGCAGGGTGATTTAGGTGTGGTAACTGGTCATCCTGCGGCTGCTGCTGCAGTTGCAGCTGCTGTGGATGCTGCTGCTGTTCCTCCTCGTGAACGACATGCAATCTGTGCGCAATGCTAAAATTTGGCTGCGAACTGGTCCGCCGATGGCGACCGCGCCTATTGAGCGGATCCAGCTGGCTGAGTAGGCTACTCTGGTCCAGCTCGATGGCCGTCAGGCAGACAAAGAGCGCCGCCGCATAGCCGCTGTGACGCAAATAGGCGACATCTCGCTGATAATACCCATCGAGCAGTTCCCTGTCCGCCACCAAGGATTGCATGCAACGCGACAGGCAACGTCCGCGCAGACAGCTCGTTATCCATTGGCGCAGAAAGTCCGACACACTGATCGCAGCCACGTTCTGTGTGGAGGTACATGGTAACGGCACCGATTGCTCCTCTGCGTGACGCAGAAACTCAAAGTCTTCAATCAGACGCTGTAAAATGATTGAATACATTCAAATTATGGTTTATTGTTTGTGGATAAAAATACCATGAATGTTGTTAAATGAGAGTTCTCCTCTTTGTGGGTACCAAAGTAAATTCAACTAAATTTAATCTTAGACAAGCGGATGCAACTCTTGATTTGTGTTTCTGATAAGTTGTGGGGCGTTGCAACTTGCGCTGCTTCTGCAACTTACCAGTATTCCAACGCCTGCTGGCTGGCGCAGGCCGTGCTGTAGGATCTGTTGGCATGTCTGCACCAGCAGCTGGAAGCCGTCATCGCTTTTCGACTGGAACCAATAGTTTGTTGCCCGTCGGAGCTCCGACAGCAGCGTAGACAGCTGCGTTTGTTCTTGTTTCAGTTTGTTTTCGCGTTGTTGTTGTTGCTGCTGTTGTTGTTGATAATGACTGCGCCTGTGCGTGTCACAGCTCCAAACTGGTGGCGATGGCACAGCTGGTGGTAATGATGGTGTTTGCGTTGCTGTTCTTGTTGCACTGTTGGACATTTCCATTAGTGTTGCTGTTCCTGTTGAGGCTACGGTTAATCGATTGGGTTTCTCCACACATATTTGCCCATGTATTTGTGTTGTTGCATTTTGATCTAGCACCTTTCTGCACTGGCGTTGCTCATCTTCGTGTGAACTATCGATATCAATATCAATTATCGAAACAAGTGCATTTATCAAAAAACAGCTGGGCTCCTGGCAACTTCCTCCTCCAACCCGTATTAAGTTGACTTCCTACAATATCGGCCTCAAGTATCGATAACTTGCTCCGATCAACTACTTGCTTGTTTTAAAAACTATTTATTCATTTGAATTACTATTTTGCATTAGACAAATAAACTTGACTGTAGAATTGTAACCCATAAATGATTATTATTATTAATTCGTTAATTGGGTGGGAACGCCCACAAACATTTTTATTTATTGAATTTACTTTTGTGTGATATTTAAATATGAAATCTGAACCACAAATCATGTTTTTTGTTCATATGGATACCGAATTAATGTCTATTGGGTCTTCTTGTCATCTTTGCCGGCTGACTTGCCGGTAGCTTCTTCCTTAAAGTGCAGGAAGACAAACGAGAACACAAAGACGCCGATCATCATGGAGAAGGCACTAGTATAATAGGGGAAAGCGCTAGGTATGAAGCGTTCATATTGCGTGTGCTCCAGCGGGCGCACCGACACCTGGGTCGTATTGTACAAATGCGTAAATCCGACCCGATCGTAGTCCACCTTGAATTGATAGACGCCATAGACATCGGGTATCTTGAAGCGGGCCTCGTAACTGCCGCCGGCCGTCTGTTTGAGGAATGTCCGCACAAACGGATCGATACGCACAAATTCCAATTGTATATCGTCAGCCTTGAATGGCTGCCATTCGCCCTGGACGAGCTCCTCGATGGCAATCGTATAGACAACAGGATCGGTGATGGTGTATGCCTGCTCAGGCGGATCACGTTCCCCCACCTTATTGTGATGGACGGCCGAGACACGCAGTCGGCCACTCTCCCCGAACACCCACTGGCCGATGGACTCGGCGACGGCACGATTGCCCGCCACCTTGTGGAAAACACCGCTCTGGGCATACTGCACGGCCATCGTGAATGTCTCATCGGCGAAGAATTGCAGCGACCCGGAGAAAACGACTCGTGCATTATTGCGGGCCTGCAGGGCGGCAATTAGCAACGTGTTGCGGCCAACGGCGTGCGGATAATCCTTGACACTCGTCTCGGGATTGTAGCTGTAGGCGCTATTCTCTGCCGTCAGCACCTGCAGCACCAATGGATTCTCCTTGTCGGCTATGATGCCGGTGCCGCGATAGAGCAATGGTGCCGCATCCGCTTGCCGATTGTGTTTGCCCACAACGCTCTCCGCCTTGATTAGATTCTTTGCGGATGTCAATATGCTTGTATGCATGCCGGCATCGCTGACATCGTAGTGCAGATGATCAATCACCGCCGCATTGTCCTCGTCCAGTTCGAAGCCGCACTCGGAGGCGAATTCACGGAGTGCATCGCCGGATCTTTCACTTCCAGCGACCAGTACATTGCCGCCATCATCAACGAATTGGGCCAGACGCTCCACGCTGATATCGCCGCCAAATTCCTCCACACTGGGCGCAAATATGATTAGATTCTTGTACAAGTATTCGCCATAGCGTGACAACAATAGACCCGAGTCATCAGCAAGCTTGTATGTCAGCTTAAATCCGCGATCTATGCGTGAAACAATAATAATAATAACACTGAATTAATACAATCAACAAAAAAAATAACCAATATACTCTTTCCCCCATTTTTTGGAAACAGAGTATAAAAAAATCTTGTACACGTCAGAGGTCTTCTTGTGTCTGTATGTGTTTGTTGCGTGCCGGTTACCTTGCAATGATTTGAAGAAAATTGAATGTGTCTCGCGGATAGCCAAGTTGTCCAGCAACACCAGAGTATTGGCATCGGCCTCCAGCACAGCATTGCAATGATTTATTGCCAAAATGGTAAATAGAAGAAGTTTCCACATTATGAATATGCCAAATATGTCAAATGACACTTTTCACAGCCAACGCCGATAAGCCGATAATACACTTTAGCCGGCATCATATCGATGGTTTTACTCAATGCAACAATGTACAGAAGTCGACTGTCAGAATTGGTTATCGAAGAAACTGCTAAAATTAATAAATATTTTAAATTTATGTATTTATATTTCTGAATGATATTTCAAATATAAATCTTATTTATTCATATAAATGCATACCGTAAATACAAATACTTATCGACTTTGTGGATTAGTGCACACTGAATGCACTAATTTCAAAAAGAGGTGCACACATTGTGCACAGTGTTGCCAGATAACTGCGCACACTTCGTGCCGCACAATGAAAAGCTTGACATATATACATAAGCTTTCGCACTTGAAGTGTATCTCATTGAAAAGCGCTTGTTCGCGAATTCGAACTTAGTTTCAGTTGCAAAAAAGCTGGCGACGCACGCGGACGCCGGGATACGGCGGATTTTACAATCATTAGTTGTTTCAGCGGCAACGACCACTCTACGTGCGCGCTCGTGGTTCTTTTTTTTTGTTTTTTTTTTTTTATGAGTAGTTTTAAAAATATATTGTTAATATTCAGTTAAATATGAACGGAAGTGCAAATGATTTACAAATCAAGAGGAACAACAATAACAAGAAGAAGAACGCAAGGCATTTCCATCGCAGCAGCTACCACAACAATAACAACAACAAACACAACGGTAGCTTATAAACAAACGTGTGGGCAAATCCATAAAAGAGCAACAAGAACAAGAAGAAAATCGAAATTAAAAATATAAAAAAAAAACAGTGCACAATTTGGCCAACGAAATTGAATTGAAATTGGAATTGAAGAAATTGGAAAAGAAGAAAAAAATATAAATCAACAGGGACAGCAATTGAATTCTATTTAAAGAGAAAATGCTGCCTGATTTAAATGCTGAGATGCTGATGTACTAATAACGATGAATTGTTGTTGCTAGCTGCTTTTAGGTGGTGGCAGCGGCATCTACTCCTTGCCTGTTTTTTTTTTTTTTTTTTGTATGTGTGTGTTTGTGTATAGATACATAGATACAAAAATAATCAAATTTAAATTGAAATTGGAAATGGATTCAAGCCAATTGAGAGTCAAATAGTGACAGTGCCCCCCTTGTATCCGTCCAAAAATGCAGCAGAAGCTAAATGAATGGTAATTAATGCATGCGCAGCGTCGCATTACCGTTGCTTGTCTGTCATGTGTGCGACAAACAGACAGAGCACGAGAGAAAGTGTGTGTGAGAGTAATGGGCTAAAAAGAAGAAGCAGAAGAAGAGAAAGAAGAGGAAACAAAAGTGCAAGTGATTGTTGTTGTTGCCGCTGCTGTTGCTGCTGCTGGTGCTAATTGTAATGTTGATGTTGATGCTTCGTGTATCGATGTTAGTAGAACGCAATTTAAATTTATCGATCGACAAAAACTAAAAGAAAGAATATCAGCTAGAAGTTTAATGCATAACTGAGGCTGCTTTGCCGGTCAACGACGCCGGCGAATAGCGGAACAAGGCCGCCAGTGTTGCTGTCAGTGCTGCAGTTGCCGTGAAAGTTCAACACGGTCGTTGTGTGAAGGTGCAGCACCAGCACCAGCACCAGCAAAAGTGAAATCTCAGCAGCGCTTCGCTCTTTCGTGTCTGTGTGTTTGTGTGTGTGTGTGTGTGTGTGTGTATGAGTGTGCACATGTAAAACTGTAACAAATAAATAATAAATATATATATGGATATGTATAACTAACATCAAACTGCCAATTGCTTTTCTCTTGAAATTATTTTCAAAGTTCGCGTTCAGTCAAACGAAACAGATGAACTAATGGAATTAGTGAAGACAAAAAGAAAACAAACCATAAAAAAAATAAACACACGAAAATCAAAAACCATTACTAAAAACAACGTCAACAACTTTTCCCAATCACATACCTCAAAAAGAAGAAGACGAGGAGTAACCGCAAAATAGATACGCTGCAACGTTGCGGTAGCGGCAGCAGCCAGCGAAGCGCTGTCAACAAATTGCGGTATGCATAATTTTTATACAGAATTCTTTAAGTGCATTTATATGTTTTCATCGGTGTTTGTATGTATGTATGTGTGCATGTAGCATGCATTACTGTTTAGCTTGTAAGTTTGCCAAAATGCCAGACACTGCATAATAATATGCATTCAAGATGAAATTCGAAATGTAGTCCAAAGTCACAGTTAGACAGCAGTGCGGTCTGACTGCTGGCAGAGACAGTCCGCATCCGGCGAACCGCATGCTTATCAAATCATTCACATATTCAAAACAAATGATTTGAAAGTTGCATTTTTATATTTACATTTACATTTCGTTTACATCCACAAATATGCGTGAAAATTATATATTTAATGCATAATTTATTATTATTTTTCACTGTGCGCACCTTGTGGCAAAAAGGAGGCAGAATATGTTTGAGCACTCTTACAAATGGGAGCACCAATAATAAAAATAACCTGCAAATTAACTTTACTAAATGTTAGCAGTGATTAAACTGCAGACAGTTGATTGTGCAACAATTAACGGTGATCTAAGCAATGGACCCCTGAATATTAACAAGAAGAGGTGGTAATTAAACTGATAAAAAAAAGAGTCGTATAACATGCACACATACACACACACAAGCAAACATACATGTACATGTATCGCCAAAAAGTGCTAAGAATAGATAGATGGCTGTGCTGTGCAGAGCTTTGAGTGAGCGAGGGTCGCTTCAGCCGTATGAACGACGCGGAGTATTCAAGTATTGGCCAGCGTCTGTCTGAGTGCATGGTGTGTGAGTGTGCGCCCACGCTATTGGGGGTTAGTTATTTTTGGGGGCGACAACGAGATGATGATGACGATGCTGCTATACAAACGCACACACACAAACCGTCTGACACCCCCCATAAACTTTGGAAGGATTTTTGCTTGTTAGTAGCGGGGATGCTTGGGATACTCGATTTTTTTGCCTTTGTCTCTTTGCATCCACAGTGGTCGCATCAAAGTATTTCAATTTGGTCTATATAGTAATGATTAAGCTTAAAAAAAAAACATTATTTTTTATTATTATTATCTTAAATTAGGGATATTTCACAATATATTTGCCTTGAAAGGAAAGCGTTCTAATTTACGAGCTTTCACTGTATTGGAAAACTCTGCGCCACAGTGTCACGCATATAACGCAGACACACACACATAAAATCGTATACACGCATATATATAAAGATACATATATATATATATAAATATATATACATACATATACATATACAAAGAGTACACATGTCTTTCCATGCAAATGTCAAAGCTGCCAACACTTTGCCAACACTCTCCCCTGCGGCGACCATTCGGTGGCGGCGAGTGTAGCGGATTTTGTCTGTACAGGAATTGCGTTTGTTACTGTTGTTGTTGTTGTTGTTGTTGCTGTGTTTCTTTTTTTGGGTCTGGCATTCTACGCGTTTTCTAGCCTTAGAGCATGGGGATGCGACAGTGCTGCAAAGAGGTGCGTTTACGGGCGCTTTCTGAACGCACCGTTGTCAAACTCACCACCAATTGCCGGCTCTCTCTCGCTTACTCACTCACTAATCCCGTTGTTCTGGGTCTCTCCCAACACCACCACCAAGTTATGTTTTGTTTTTGTTTTTGTTTTTGCCTTAGCTTTTTATTTTGCAAATTGTTCGGCCAAACAATTGTACAATTTTGCAACACTTGAAATTTGGAGCGTGCAGCCTCTGCGGGCAAATACAAATTGCGCCACTCGACATGTCGACAGTTCCTATCTTCATCCAAATATGAATGTGCGTCCCAATACTAATATATTATCCATATACATATATACATATACGTGCATACATTTCTATGTATTAATGTTTTGTCGCAATAACAGACAAGACAGAAAGAAGAACAAATACCTTCCAGTACTTGACTAGGAGTTTATCTAAGTTTACCGCATAAAATAATAATGAATAATTTCGTTCGTTGTATGGATGATGGATGAGTTGCATACCTAAATATATTTGTATATTTACCACTTTTGAATCAAATAAATTCCAACATATTTTTTTTTTGTTTTTATGAAATTCATAAGAAATGAAATATTTCCGAACATTAAATGAACCTGATCTCAAACTGATGAAAACCAATTTTGAGGAAAAATAAAAATAGTTAAGTAAACATAAGAATATATGTGATTTATGTACATTTGTGTTTGTGTATACTTGCTTTCTAATCGTTTTTACAGGGTAATACTCTACATATGCTACAAACAATCAAGGCGAATATCTTCAAATAAGGCCTTAAGGCCTCTGCATTTCTTTTGTTTTCGCAAACGCAGATCGAGAATGTTTCCGTCACTCATACAAAGCTCTTATCTTATTATCTACTTCTTCAATAATAAATAGTAGTTGTTAATAAAAAAAATCAAATTTAAATTGTGTATTTAAGACAAAATAATGATAATAATAATTGTTTAATAAAATAAAGACATGAACTGAATAGAAGAGTTTGTGGCGTAAGCAGCACCATAAAAGTTGTCTAGTTTCCTGTTCAGGGTATTCAACTTTCGGTGCGTTCCAGTCATGCTTCGGTTCAGTTCGGTTCGGTTCGGTTAGCATTGTTATATGTTTCTTTGCGCCCTTTTCTCTTCTTAGTCTTCAGTCGCTCAAGGGAAGAAGAAGGACACGGAAGTTTGAGCGTCTTAGGATTGTTATTGTTTTGTGGGATTTCACTTCAAAAATATATCACATGTGTGTATACACACACAAATGGATATTCACACACACATACACAAGCACTTACACGCACACACACACACACACACACACACACATACATTTATAGACAATAGTGGCATTCCTTGCATGAATCCTGTTTGGTTTTCCTGCTTCGTCTGTTTCTGCCACATTCCATTCCAAGTAGACAAGACAAATACCAAAATGCGATGAAAGAAGTTGAGAAATTAAAAATGTTGTCCAAAGCTGCTTCACCCACACAAACACATTAATGACTAGCATGGGGCAGGATAAAGTCTCCAAACTGAAAATGCATACATACAAACACATATACAAATGCGCACACATAGTCTTCATATATATATATATATATATATATATTTGCATATTTGGTATTCCGGCTTAAAATCAGTGAAAAATGTGAAACGAGCTACATTCGTTGACCCAAAAACAAACCAAATCGCACCCATAAGCCAACGAGCAGCAGATTGAAATGAGTAGCTAATGGATGAAGAGAAGGACATGCGGCATTAAGCAGCTCTCCTCTTGTTGTGCAAAATTCCTTCGACTGTTGCCTCGAGGTTCGTTTCATTTGGTACACAGTACTAAGGCAAAAAATGTGTAAATCAGGGCATGAAGAGGAGGCAACTAAGCAGCCAAGAATGGCGGTAGAACCGAATCATTTTGTGGCATAGGAAAACAGACACACACAATAATACGGCAACAACTGAGAATCGAGGCCAAATGTCTCTTGGCCAGCTATAATCAGAAACGATTGAAGTGAGGAATACCTAACTATACAAGTCAGTAACGGAATCTGCCGATTTTGTGACAACGACAAGGAGGAAGAGGAATCTTTAAAGCTCATCATAGCAGATTGTGTTGCTCTAGCCAGAAGAAGACGAAGACGTAGTAGTATCCTTGGGAAATATGTTATAAACGGAAGATACCCTTGAAAACCTCAATCCTCAGGAGTTAATAGGCTCAGAAGGGTGCACAATAGATGCAATATAGCTCGCAGAACCACTTCCCCCACCCAAAAAAATTGTAATAATATGAATGTAGCCAATTAGTCTATCAAAGCATTATCCAGATAAGGCTAATGGTGATTCCAATTGGATTCCAATGCGAGTTCAGGTACTATGGGATTAAGTGTTGAGTAACTGTTGAGTTGTTGGCATGTTCCGTATCGACTCGAGGGATATCCTTGTTGCTTCATTCTTCCTCTTTCTCTTCTGCTGCGTATTTATAGCCTTGGCATATGCAATAGTTTATTTTAAAGTGGAATTGGCTTCATCATCATTGCCACCATGAAAAACCGACATCGACTTGTCACCGTGGCATGACCATAAAAGTTTTTCTTTTTTTTTTTTTTGCTGCCACAACTTTTTGTTGAATGCCTGCTTTATCTTTGTCTCTGTATATGTGTATCTCTGAGTGTATATCTTCGTGGCCTTTTAGCTGGTTTCCGCTCGACACACTGCTGTGATGTGGTGGTGATGCCATTGTTTTTATGACGCCACATTTAAGCAAACAAACACACACACACCACACACACACTGGACAATACGACAATATAGACGAAGCTGAGCTTTGGAAGGTCGGTTTTTATTTGATGACTGGATAGAGTCAACAAGATGTCGATTTGTCGATTTGTTGCCTTAGCAGCTGTCAATCTGACTGGAAAACACTCTTATCGAAAAGCTCTCAACAGTTCAAACAGCGATTCCGGTCGACAATAATCAGGATAACCAAGCCAAGGCAGAAAGTCAAAGGTCGAACTGAGTTCACACGGCATAATAACATAAAGCTAACTCAAACACCGATGATCGGAAAACAGCCAATGCAATTATTCAATTCGCAATTGGCTAAAGTGCAACATGAACAAAAATACAGCTTGCTTGCTATTTTCTCAGACTTTTTTTTTGCTTATTTGCTGAACTCATGGGTAAAAATGTAGCAAAGTTGTTGAAATGCAAACAGGCAGAAATAATCATCCCCGACCCCATAAAGTATATATTTTCTTTAGCACCGGCATGTCCATGGACCTTAAATTTAAGCTCAATTCAGTCACCATCGAAAACTTTCCCCGTATCGCGAATATCGATAAATATCGATAGTAAAATGACTACGAGGGAGCAAAGTATTTTCAATCGCTGCATGTTTTGTGGTTCGTTTATTTGGGAATACTTCGACGACGTTTGTACAGCTGGATATACACATCTGTATGTTCCGTCATTAAACTCATCCCAAGTATCGCATTCCATTTGCATGTTTCTTTTGTTCGACAATGAATATCATATTAAATAATGACATTGTACTGCAAAAGGGAATTTGTGAGGCGGTCCACACACATTAGCAGCTCGTCAGACTGCACTTTGTTTACCGCTGTTGAAGCGCTCGTTCTTCACATATTTCCATGCATAAGTAGGCACATATACATATGTATATATACCTGTATATACAAGGGTATGTATTTAAATGCAACTGCTAGGTTGGGAGGGAACACTCCCTCGTCCGGGCGAGCGCTAAAGCTTGACGCCAACATGGAAGCGTTCACATTTCGCTAGCATTAAAGTTTTTAATTGGTTTGGAGCACGAAACTATGTGCATATGTATATAATGCCCCTTAGACTCGCTGAACGACCCCAAAAACAAAAGAAAAAAGCAACAACAAAACAAAACTTTAGACATTGTGCGAGCACCCATCAAGTTGCCCCAGAATGTGTGTGCTGTGCAATTATCCCAAAAGTAACCCGAAAGACCAACGATGCAAAGTAGTTACAGACCCCATAAACCATAAACCCATAAAGCATAACAGAAAACGGCGCATTATATACAGTTCCTACTCCTACTTATAATGCCTTTATAATAACCCACAATTTAGATACCATTACGATACATATAATACGTATTTTGTTCTGTTGTTTATATCATAATATGATTTGTTAAATAGATTACTCTGCCTCCCCGAGCTCAAACGATTTTCAGAAGCACTGTCTTGTTCCAGCATTATACTCCTGCACTGGATATTATGCCCCTTTTGTATATCCAGTTTGTAACACATTAAAGTAATTGTTCGCCACCCCAGTCGGCTAGTGATGCTGATCATGAATCAGTGTATATATTCATGATCAGTATCACTAACCGAGTCGATCTGGAGCAGATCACTATATCATATAGCTGCTATAGAAACAATCAGTCGAAAGATGAGTTCTTGTAAAAAGGTTCTCATTTAAAAAGGTATCCGATACAAAATCCTAACATTAAGGCAACAAATGATCAACATCGGAATAAATATATATATATATATAGACATATGGTAGGTACTTGTTTTGTTTGTCAATAAAAACAGCAATTAAATGTTAAGTTGCCTTTGGTCCTATGTGTATCTAACGATGTGTTCGCCGATTTCCTCGAGCTCCTCGGTCGTTGCGCAACACTGCCAGGACTCGTGAACGCCAAACGTGTAGATGGTCTCGTGAAAGTAAAGCTCACTTGGCATTATCAGGGCGGTGGGAAAGTCAAGATTGTTCATGGTATCCGGAAACTTTTCCATTTGCACACTGAAGCCAGAATATTGACAATATCGTGCACACTCCTTGCCCATTATCGGCTCCTCGTCGTGCGAATCATTAGGAAAATTGTTGGCTGTGGTGAAGCGCATGCCCGGCTGATTGCTGTGTATATCCAGGAAGCGACCCGATTCCGGATGCAGAAATCGTCCCACAAAATGCAAAATGTTCGCATCAAAATCCTTATCAATGGCATAGCAGACATCGAAACCGGCCGTAATCGGATTATTCTCAAACTGTCGCAATCGATCCCCAATAAAGGCCGGCACACGCATATCATATACGGTGTTGTCAACCGGCGAAAATCGACCCGTCGGCATCGACTCACTGCCCGTCTCAATCGTATGCTCGGCGGCAATGACCAGTCGATGCTCCAGCAAACCCTTACGTCCCAACTTCTGGCCAGCCATATTGAAATAGCAATGATTGCTAATGTTTACGGGCGTTGGCTGATCTGTGCGCGCCTCGATTCGAATGTGAAAGCGATTGTCGTCGTCCATTGTGAAATGGAGTAGCACAATTAGATTGCCCGGATAGCCCTCGTGTCCATCGGCGGACGTGTGCCTCAGCGTAATGCCATCCGGTCGCAACATGTGTAGATCCCAGATGATGCGATCGAAACCAATGAAACCACCATCGATCTGATGTTGATTTTTGAAATTTTGCGAGACTCGCACCTTACGTCGATCCATCACGAATTCGCCATTGGCCACCCGATCAGCGACGCGTCCCAGCATGCAGCCAAATTTTAGTTCCCGGTTCGCCTCATAGCCGGCGATATCGTCGAAGCCAAGCACCACGTCATCCACGTTGTGATATGCATCCGGGCATTTGATGCTCTGTATGCTGGCGCCCAGTTGGATAATCGCCACGGACAAATGACTAGAATTGCTGATCGTGTAGCGTCGCACTACCTGCGCCCTCTCGGTGAACGGGTTGATGGCAATACCAAAGATGTCCTCGACTACTTTCACCATAATGTTGTAATTTGGAAATTTTGCTTACAAGCGTATTTTTTGTTTTGTAATTTTTTATTTTTCTTAATTTATTTTCAAATGTGACATTCTCACTCTCAGAATTAGTTGTGGATTACAATAATCGATATACGATACTAAAGACTGCTAAGACTGCCATTTCGTGGAAACATTCTAGATGAATGCCTGATTAATGTTTCAACGCATTGTTGTTGAATTAATTAAGACTGATAATGCTTGGAAATATATATTTCTATTCTCGATTAATTTGAAACACTTTGTCATTAACCATTGTATTCAATGCATGTTCTATGCGTAATTCTGCAGCTAAGCACACTTGAACTTCAATTTGTATTCTTTGACAAAACTTCCACAAGAAACATTCACTCTTACTTATGTGTTATTATGTTATATTATAATGTTCTCATGAAATATGTAACGCTTTGAATAGGATGTCTGCGATCTCATAAAGTGTATATGCATTTCTGATCAGCATCACTCGCTGTCGCTGTAGATATAAGCAATATTGACTTCAGCCATGACCGGTAGATAGGCGTTGACATACATGTCATCCATTTATAATACAAGTTAACAACACAGATGTGGAGTATTCAGTGCACTGCCAGTCGTGCTAGTCGGTCTGCAAAGGGTATGTAATCTTCGGCGTGACTGTGAAGATGTATGTTCTTTCTTGTTATTTTTGGCCTCTGTGCAATTTGTGTTAAACAGGTTCAAGTTGGTTTGTGTGTAGATAAGTAAAGCAGTCGAATTGCATGCAGAAATTTATCTTATCAACTCAACTGGTTCTGCATGGTCAACTAGTATCACTTTATATATTCACACATATAAATACATAGAGTATAGAATATGAGTGTGATTTATGATGTTAGGACAATGAGGTTGTTCCATTTAATCAAGAGCACATTTTATTATTTTGCCAATAACCATGACAAGAATTATTGATGTGGATTCATTACAGTCATACCTGAATAATTCAATAGGTGTCTGCATATATGGTGGCTTATCTAGTCCATGTAATTGCCATAAATTGCGACGCTTAAATCCAAATTGCTTCTATCTCTGTCAACCCTCTGTCTGTCTGTCTGTTTGCCTGTCTGCCCCTCGACTGGCTAATGCCACACACTAACTGACCATGGCTCATTGGCCACATTGTTGGCAACTGCCACCAACTGCAACGGCAACATCATCATTTCAGAGGCCGTGGGGAAGACAAACAGCTGCTGACAGAAGCCCCGTTTATCGAGTTGAATGTCAGGCCGTGTAAACCAGAAAAATGACCAGCTGCTCCAGTTCCAGTTGGGCCCTGCTTTTATTATAACGTATATATATAGTATATATACGGCCGAAAGGTACAATTAGTCTACACAACTTGGCGATAAAATTAATTTAATTGTTTCAGCAATGAATTTGCTATCGATGCAATTATTTATTATTCATCATGACATGCTTTGTATCCTCATAAATAATGCAGATATCCGCGATTCAATGTCAATTAAATTTATCGTTTCTAATATGCTTGATTGAGGATTCGGTATTGATTTAATCGAATTATGATATTCACATGGCTCTGTTCTTAATCGTAAATCTGTTAAGATGCAAGGCTTTTGCAAAATTAATGTTTGTGCATTTTAACTGACCAGATGTTTATTCGAATTTGGTTTCCACTCTTCTTTTGAACAATGTCAAAAACTGCGACTCCTTTTTACAATTTTACAATCAAAATTTGTGATTATTTTTCGGGAGTACTTAACGATCCGGACATCCAATTTTGACCCAAACTAAATTTATAGCTACAAGCATATATATATATATAAAAAAAATCGATGTTGCACCAAATACTAACTTTTAGTTAATTTTGTATATTTTTAATTTTTTGGTAATGATAGTTTCAGCTGAGCCAAAAAAATCATAGATTTTGTTAAGGTTATTCACAAAGAATGAAATAAGGGATAAGTATTTTGGTTAGAGATCGCTGACTTTCCTTAACAATTATGTATTCTATCTATACAACAATAAGTGCATTAATATGGGCTATTTTGTTGAACATATATTAACAATAAACCTTAGTGGGAGGTATAATAAAGTTTTTTGACTATTTTGCTTAAAACTGAATACAAATTAAGTGTAACTTCCTGGTTAAAATGTTTCTTTCGAAAAACTTGTAAACTTAGGTACTTATATACGACTCTGTCTATAAATAATAATAATAACCATAAATGAAAGTCAACCTGATACGAATAGTACTTTCTGACTTCTTTGCTTACACACATTTCGAATGTTTATACCTATTAAAAAATATTCAGCGTTCAAGGTCCGCTTTCTTATCGATTGATATTGCACTGCTTGAGTCATACACTTATACTACTTGTATCAACCAGCACCAAATCATGTTCTTCTTCTATATATATGTATATATATATATATAGAATTCAAGCAATTTCAATGTGCACATATCAGAAGTGAGTTGAGTTTTCCTTAAAACTAACAATGTAAAGAACGCATTCCCCATTTGCATATTTGAATATACACCAGATTTTGGCTTGAATTTGTATATCAGGAATATACGAATATGGGTCTCTTGTCAACATTAAATTACTACTCGCACTTAACTTGGAATGCTACAAGTAACACAAGTGACTTCAAATGTATGCATGCACATATCTGTTACTTGCACCTGCCCCCTGCCCTACCCCAACACTTCCGTAAACCCACTTGGCGATTATGTTTGCTAGTTTGCTAGTTTGCTTTACATATGTTGTGCACCCTAGACCCATGAAATTTGTGTTTAACGGGTATCATAGAAATGTATACGCTTGCATCAGTTTGTATAAAATTGCTTTTCGAATAAATGGGAACTGCTACATGTGGATGAACATACTACGAAAATGTTTATACTTTCCAATCACAATGAAATTGCATACCCATTTAACTGTGTGATTGTGGCGACTTCATGTTGAGTAACTGAGTACAGGGCATTCCCTAGTCGAGCAACTGGCGCATTTTTTCATTTCATTATCGTGTTTATTTGCTGTGTTGTAGACATCAACAACCTTAAGCTGTCCAAGTTTCTGCTGCGACCCGAGTTCGTTTCTAGGTGTTGCCGTACACAATTTATAACTGCATGTACGAAATGATTCAAAGTACAACTAGTACTGTGACAGACTCTGTGAATGACGGACAGACGCAGGAGGGGAATCGACTACAGCTTATATATGTTGGGATGGGGATGGGGATGGTTCTATTTCAATCGTTTGAGGGATTAGTTTTACTTACTACTGTTGACTGCAGACAGTATTAATGATTTAAGTGAACTCAAACAAAGCTTTCTACACAAATAATGGTTCGAGAGAATCTTGATATATAACTTACATATATTTTGTATTACTTGAACATTAATCATTACATTCATTTATCATTTAACACTATGTGTTTCGAATATATGCATTACTTATTTACTATCAAAGAACATTTGAATTTATTTTCACACGGAAGCGTCACTTATCTTATATCTTATAAAAATTATGAACCATAACATATGAGTTCGCCCGACTGCGATATATTCTTTTATCAGTGCAATGCCTGCTGATAACAGGTGGCAACTTACCTTTGCTTTAAATTTGGTGATTCTGGCTCTAAAATTGTGGAAAATAAAGGCTGTCCGGACTCTTTGGGTGCGGAGTGTGTAAATAAATAAAATTCGTATCAGTCCTAGTAGAAGGTGCCCAGTAATTTATCGACTATCGACTAGGACTAGGAATCAATGGGTTTTGTGTATGAAATAACTATAGTTATAATGATTTGCCTTCAGAGGCGAGATTAACGATTTCATAGCCGTCCAGTGGACAAGGCATCCCAATATAACATTTTGTCTCATGCGGGCCCAGACAAATAAATATGTTCAAAGTTTCAAATCTAGCCTTAAGAATGTCGCAAAAGGTTGCTATCATACGGACGGACAGCCGGACGAACACCTAGATATTTTTGATATTGTACAAAACCGATATACTCGTGTAGCATGTGAAACAAAGATGCAACCTATGCATAAGATATATCTAAGATTCTCGAGAGTAAAATGGAACTTTAAATGTCAACGAAATTCAATTAATTTTTGATTATTTTTTGCTTGGCTTGCAGATGCCTGGACTTGTGGTCTTCAGACGTCGCTGGTCTGTGGGCTCTGATGATCTGGTGGTGCCAGGTGCATTTCTGTTGGCAATGCACTTTATATGGTAAGCAGATCGATGTATATATGATGTATATTGGTTGGTTTAATTGATTTACTGATTGACTGTGTGTGTATTTCAGTTTTGTGCTTGTGGCCGTCTCGTTGGTGTTGTTTCACTACGACACAAGTGTTTTAAGTGTAAAACTATTGTTCTATCAACTAATAGGGTACTTGTTAATATTATTTTGTGAGTATGCTAATATCTATCTTATCTAATGACACCCAGTCCTCGCAGCTGTTAATTGGTTAATCAACTGGTTCAATCTGTCAATATGTCAATCCATTTCATTTCCAAACAGTTTCAATATGCGTAGAAATAGGAATTTGTGTGATCTCGATGCGCGGCAGCATTTTGGATTCCGAGGCGCGTACATCGATGAATATGTGGATATATCTCAAGAGTTGTAAGTGCACACGCATTTCTATTCAACTCAACTCAATTCAATTCAATTCAATGGACAAGTTTGTGACAAAATGCTTTTGTTGTTTTTATTGTTCGTTAGTGGTGATGCTATTTGATATTTCGTGGCTGGTCCTGGGCTCAATATGGTTGTCCAATTATTGTATTGAAGCGCCAATCGACGAGGCCAAGAAGATATTTATTGGTGAGTGAGAGGGTTTTTTTTTCTTTTAACAAAGTCATCATTTCAACTAAATTGTACTCAATTGTATCTACAGCCATCGTCATATGCAACTGGACGCTGGTGCTCATCACGCTGATAACCATCTGGTGCACATTCGATGCAGCGGGTCGTTCCTGGGTCAAGATGAAGAAATACCAGCGCTCCATGCGTGAGACTGAATCGCGATTCAACTACAAGCGCAGCAACAGCATGAATCGCAACTGGCGGCAACGGTGTGTAAACACTGCTAAACTCAGACAAAAAATCAAACTACAATTTAGTAAATCACCATATCTTATTATTTAGAAAGTAGATTTCTTTCTTTCTTACTATGTTCTTTTGGTGTTAATTGTAGGGTTCTAGGATTTTTCTAAAATGTAGTCAACCAGTTTGCCTAATATCCAGCTTACTTATTTCAATGTGCATTTGTGTTTTTTTTATTACTTACATTAATTCTTAAAAATTAGTAACATATAACACTTTAGATAGTTTATAAACTAAACTAGCTAAACTATTTGGAATGATTTTACAAAATAGATTCAACTCTGGCACTGATGACATTCAGCATCGGAGCGAACATTATGAAACTTATCTGTAATATTCTAATCATTTTCGATCTTGCATTCCTCTTGCTTCCTTTCCGATTTTTGTAGCAAGGTGATGCGCGCATATCAGGACAGTTGGGATCATCGCTGTCGCCTGCTGTTCTGCTGCATGGGCTCATCGGAGCGTAATCGAAACTCGTTTACGGATATTGCGCGACTCTTGAGCGATTTTTTTCGCGAACTAGATGTGGTGCCATCGGATGTGGTTGCCGGCCTGGTGCTATTGCGCAAGTTCCAGAGACTTGAGCGCGAAGCGATTGTCAGACAGCGCAAGAATGGCACCTACGAGTTCCTCAGCGGTGTGCCCATCACGGAGCGCACACAGTTCCTAGCACTCAACGATGCCAAAAATTATGACTTCTTTCAGACCGTCATACACTATATGTACTTTGCCCAGGGTGCCTACGGCTGGCCGATGTACGTCCTGATCAATCGCAGCAAAATGTGGCATCTACTGCCCGAACTTAAGTGAGTATTATACAAAATCGACGGATCGACGATCTACTGGGATTTAACAACTGCTTTTCAAATTTATGCTAGATGCTTTGGCTGCTGTTGCGGCAGTGGTGACAACGGTGAGGTTATTCAGGACAATTGCTGCTACTGCAATTATGCGGCATTGAAAAAGACACTGCAACTGGGCGACATTGATATTGTGTATGCCACATACCATGTGGATGTGGGCGAGACGCCCTTCTTTGTCGCCGTTGACTACACGCAAAGGAAGATTGTGATCAGCATTCGGGGCACGCTGAGCATGAAGGATATACTCACCGATCTGAATGCGGAGGGCGAGGTGCTGCCGCTGCAGCCGCCGCGTGACGATTGGCTGGGTCACAAGGGCATGGTGCAGGCGGCGATTTACATACGCAATAAACTGCTGGAGGAGAACCTCATTGAGCGTGCATTGCAGCGGAACGCGGAACGTTTAACCCACACCTTTGATCTGGTGCTGGTGGGTCACTCACTCGGCGCTGGCACTGCGGCCATATTGGCCATATTGCTGAAGCCGGATCATCCGACACTGCAATGCTTTAGCTATTCGCCGCCAGGCGGACTGCTTAGCATGCCAGCCGTTGAGTACTCCAAATCGTTTATAACATCCGTGGTGCTCGGCAAGGATGTGGTGCCGCGCATCGGCCTCAATCAAATGGAGGCACTGCGAGCAGATCTCATCAATGCCATACAGCGCAGTGTGGATCCCAAGGTGCGTTCGACTCTGTCCCGAGAGATTCACAGATTGATTGATTGACTTCTTTTTTGTAATTTATTGAATCGGTAACTTTGTATAATATATATATATATATATATATAGTGGAAGACCATTTCGTGTTCGGTACTCTGCTGTGGCTGTGGTCCTGAGCCCACCTCTGTCGTCCACATGTCCGGCCAGGATACGCACATCAATCAATACCAGGAGGTAAGCGCTGCTGACCCATATTGTATTTAACCCCCGGCTTACTCGTTGCTTTTTTGTATTTCTTGCCTTTTTTAGGAGCGAGGCACGGCACGCTCGACGAGCGCCCATCCGACAGACAGCTCAATAGCTTTAACACTGCACCAGCCCTTATATCCGCCCGGCCGCATCATACACATTGTGCGGCATCATCCCAAGCCTGATGAGTGAGTAAATGCTTCAGCAAAATATCGAAAATGATTTCACGATTTGACTTGAATTTTGATTTTCGATTTGGACTTTGGTTTTAATACGTTTTCACAAATAGCGCAAGATCCGCTTGACAATTGTGTGTGGCTGTGTGTGTGTGTGTGTGTGTCTGTGTTCGAGTGTGCATGTGTAAGTTATCAGCTATAACTCGGCAAGCTCCGTCATCAATAAATACGATGCCAAACGGCGATCTACACTGCCTCCATCTGAGTCATGACGAATGGCATCGGATTTGTTCAGATTGTTACTCATAGATAGCTTAACTGTGCGCAGGCAGTGGGGCCAAATCGAATCACAATCATTGGTTGTGTACGCATTCTTCTTCTAAACCAAGTAAAAACCCTTTGATGCGGTAATAATACCTTTGAAGAAGACTCATTGATTGTAAATTATAACGTTTTGATTTTTAAGAAGATCATTAGCAGTAAAATAGGTCACATTTTGTACTGTTGAAAAATTGTTAACATGCGTTTCATTTTTTGATTTACTCGTAGGAGAGACTCTATTTGAAGTGGGTAAACAATGCATACAAATATAACAATAACCGATTATATATGTATATATTTAATTACGTTGTTAAGTCACAACTAATCTAAGCTGAATAACATAAATATATTGTTCAAATTAGCACTTTAATAGATGTGCAGATAAGGTATACAAATACTTATTACATTATAGTGTTTATAGTATATATATATACAAATTAAGTGCGATTGGAATCTGCTCGTAGGCTATAATATTAATTAAAATCAACTCGATATGAAAGCTATTCCCATTTATTATTTGTGTTGTTAGCTCTCATCATGATTTTGTTTTTATATACGTTTCCCCTTGTTGACAACCGTATCTATATCAAATATTCGTATACCAATTTAATTATTTGCAACTATTTTCAGGCAAAAATACGACAGTGGTTGGAGGTAGGCCCGTTGCACAGCTGATCAATATACAAACATGCATACATAATTACATATATACATACAAACATACATACGTATGTATGTATGTATGTATATAACTGAAGAACGCGATTTATCTGAAACCAACAACAAAACCAAACTCGAACTTGGCTTGTATTGTCTCTCTCTCTCTCTCTCTATCTCTCTAGCTATCTCTCTCTTTCTTTGCCTCCCCTCTCTCTCTCTCTGTCTCTGTCTCTCTGTATCGCTCTCGTTCTGTGTTTGTCTCACACATTTTAGATAGTATGAACATGATTTCTGAAGTTCGTTCTTAATGTTTGCCGATTGCATGAGGCAATGCATGCTTTCCATTTAGGACCCAACCTTTTATTCCCGTTCCTAAAAACTCACTCGCTCTCTGCCTGTCTCTCTCTCTCTCTCTCTCTCTCTTTCTCTCTCTCTCTCTTTCTCTCTCTCTCTCTCTCTCTCTCTCTCTCTCTCATTCTCTCTCTTTATTTCTCTCTCTTTCCTTCTCGTTGTTTCGAGAAGATAATTTGAAAAACCAGCAGTATTTCGGCATTTCGAATTCTACCACTAAGCATGCAATACATTGTATGATTGTAAAATATTGTATGCTTAGTGATTCTACAAAATTAGTATTGTCCACAAATTGAAGTTGTAATTTTCAATTGCGTTATTTTTTCCATACATTTCTGTTTAATTTCATTAGATTTGAAAACAATGTTTTTAAATAATTCCATAAAAATCATAGATCTTTAGCTAAAGTTTATTATAATCAATTTGTATAGAAAGTTATACTTTTAAATATTAGAATTATGCGAAATTAGGTTTAGACTTATCATACAATTTGTCTTGATTTATGTTTGTTCTGGCAGCTGCATGACGACCCCAAAGGAATACCACCTACCAATACCACCTACCCATACCCATACCCATTGCATAAACGAACCCATTCTTTTTCTCCTTCCTCGTTTCTCTCTCGTTTGCTGTATTTCGAATTAGCCCTAGCCGAATTATGAATTGTAGTTGTCGTTTTAATTTCAACCACTGCATCGATATATATATATATATATATATATATATATAGATATTATATATTATATAAACTATTTGGATATCCTTCGACACATACATAATTAGTATATATGCATAACACTTTTTGTGACACATACTACTATTGTACATAGATATGTAACTATATTAACTATATTAAACTGACAGATATACTGATATGTATAGCAAAACAAAAATGCCCTTACTTGTATTACAGAAATGTGCTTAAGAGTCGAGAGCCCGTCTATCAGGCAATATGGGCCGATTCAACCGATTTCGATGAGGTGCTCATTTCACCTGTCATGCTGCAGGATCATATGCCCGATAAGGTTCTCGCCGCGCTCAAGAAGGTAATTGCGGAAGTTGATGACGAACGTACATCGGTGAATAGTTGTTCTACAGCCAGTTGATCACGTTGACCAAGATAATAATAATAATATTAATAACAATAATAATATTAATTAATACTAATGATGATGATGATGATGATGATGATGATGATGTCGGTGATGTTGTTGATGATGCTCGTGTACTCGCACAACTTGTCGTCGTTTTACTAGAACCATAGTAATAGCATAATTAGCGCACAATGACTTAGTTAGCCTATGGCTATACCAGCATACATGCATACATACATATATACATACACACATAAATAAATAAATATATATATACATACATACACACATACATACGTATATACATTACGTTACATTAATAGCAATAAGTGTGTATGTAATTTGTATTACGAGTAGCATAATGTTAAGGCGTCGAGCGTTAGCGTGTTACCCTAATCTCAACACTACCAACAAAAAAAAACACATGATAACACACGCCCCCACCCCTCAGATCCCACACTTGCCCACAAGTAAAACACGCTTTCAAATCCGATACGAGCAATAACAGCAACAGCAACAACAACAACAACAACACCCCAGCAATAATAAAGATAAATATAATTAATTATTGATTTAGTTAAGCGCTTCTTAGTATGATTTTGTTTGCTTAAATTTAAATTATGTTTAAATTATTTGTATGTTAAATATTATTGGCAGCTATCATTTAATGTTGAACACCCAATGTGCAACACACGTTCACGTCCCAATCTTAGCCCTCTCTTACACATGCATACTTACATACATACATACATACGTATGTATGTAATCATGTTTGGGTAAGCTTCTCATTGATCTAGTTGACTCTGTGACTCAATTACCTATTTGATTGCCTATTTATTTTATTGCTTAAGTACTTGTAATTGTTTAATTGTCCACAAGTATAAACTATAAGTTACATTTGTATTTGCATTACCTTGTCTCTGTTTTTTTTTTTATTATTATTTTGTTAATTTTATCGAATATACACGTACATGAATATGTATACACCAAATTTATTTTATTGCATTTTTCATTATTCAATGTTAGTATCTTTATGATAGGGGTAACGGGTAACGGGCTTAAATAAGAAGGTAAACGATTACAACTACTGATCTCTGTGACCAGAACCGCAAGGAACTATCGTTTCGACTATTTTGGAATGAAACGAAAGAGTATATTTTTTTGTATTAATCAAAACGTTGTGCTATTTTCAGAATTATCTTTTGTTCTTTTTTTTTATAATTTCATATGTGCTAAGTTTTTTGTTGCAACCTTTTTTTGGTAAGTTTAATTTGCAACACAACATGAAATTCTCTGGATTATCACATTCTAAACACACACACACATACATAAATACATGCACACGTACATATGTATATAATGATGTGTATATACATATACATATGCATACATACATATATAGTACACAAAATGCTGCATGGGCATGTTTCATTGTTGTAACGCTTCTGTACCGCTAATGTGCCAACAAGCGACTAGTGTTAAATCTTGCTAGTTATGCAATTGCAAAAAATCCCTGCCGAAAGAAGTGCGAATTGATTGAAAGTACGTAGAGCAAAGTAGCAAAGTGTTTCCAGAGACCGTTTGCAAGGCGGACCCGAGAGAGGCTTTTTGAGCTATAGCTTATAGTCCTTTATAGTCCTTCATATAGTACATAGAAACAACTGCATATGAATATATGGAGTTTTTAGCAACAATTTAAATTACTGTATATATATATATATATATATGTATATTTTGTTTCCTTGTTTTGTTGTTATGTTTCGTCAATATGATAACAACCGGAATTGCGCGGGGCAATCCGATAATGATTACCAAAATATTTAAATGACCAATGATGATGAGTAAAGGTCGTGTCATGTAGAGAACGTACCGTAAAGGCATGTACTGCTCGTAAATGCAAAGATAACACGACAATAACTACAACTACAACTACAACTACAACTACAAATACAACTATAACTACAACTACAACAACCAACAATACAACTACAACTTCGACAACACAAAATACCGATACCAGGTACAGCTGCCTACTACTTAAAAGACTATGTACTTAAACAACTTTCCATTTTGATCTCGTTAACAACAAATACCAAAAAAAAAAAAAACAAAAAAAAATCAAGTCTATCTTTCTCTCTCTCTCTCTCTCTTTCTCTCTCGCTCTACTTCTCTTTAGAAATATATATGCGACTTTCTCCCAAGCTAAATCTAACCTTTAATTTTAAACATTTTTCTCTCATTACCTTCTAAAAAAAAAAAGAAGAAACTGTCTAAATGTTATTGTACTCGTCACTGCTGTGTCCAACTTTAAAATGTGTTATGAACATAGCCACTAGTGTCACCACTTCCATTCCAAATCACTAATCCAGGTATTCTTAACCCTGATCAATGTACTTAATATTCTTTCAACTGTACTATTTTCCGTATACATGTTATTTGTGGCAAGACCCTAAAAATATTAGCACCTGAATATTAAAAAAAAACAAAACAAAAACGATTTTAGTCCCAACCCACCTTTATACTCAAAAATATTTTAATAATCTCTCTATCTCTCTATATATATATATATATATCTCTGTCTGTCTCTCCGTCTTTCTATCTCGCTCACTCACGCACCCGCTGTCGCTTTCGCTCTCGCTCATTTTGCTTCCTATTGTACATACATACTTACATACGTAACTGTAAATTCCCGTCTGTGTATGTAACTGTGAAGCTGAATAGATCTGTGCTATACCTACTACTACTACATATACATATATACTCGTACATACATAAATATATATATTCTCTGAATGAACTACTTTTCCAATTGAATCGGCAATTTGTAATCTTTACCCTCCCCTTTGTCATTTGCTCTTTTTCCATTTCTCTCTCGTTGCTGTTACCACAGGTTGTAACCACAAGTGGCCCGAGGAAGCCCCAACGCCAGATCTCGAATGCATTCTCCACCACATCCGTCGAACATGAGCCGGAGCTGGTGCCAACGAATGGCAACGTTGAGGCGACAGAGCATTGCCAGCGGCCAGCTGATAGTTCCTATACAAATCTGAGCAACAGCGTCATGTTGACGCCAATGGCACAGCACAAACTCTGCCTGGAGACATCGTTCACCAATCTGCAGCATCAGCTGGAGCAGCGTGCACCAGTGCAGCCGACTGGCGGCAGCAAGGCCTCATCCATAGCGGGAAGCATCTTTGGGCGCAGCCAGCTGAGCTCCATAGCCACACCGTACGACATATCAAGCGGATTGGATGACAGCATCACAACGGTGACCATGCGCAAGAGTCCATCCTCCATGATCAGCGAGACGGCGACGGTGGTGGTGAATGCCGTCGAAGATGCCAGAGATACCGGTGATGCTGGCGATGTGCCTCGCCTGCGAGCGGTGGCCTTTGACATGGCCATAACGCCACCGCCAGCGCCACAACCACAATCATCACTACCACCGTCACTTTTCCAGCCATTGGCGCGTCAGCACTCGGAAAGAAAACCACGTTCGCTGCCACTGACGCAGGCGCTGCGTCGCGCATCGGTGGCTGGTCAGGGTGTCGATTTGCTGCACGACGACTGGTATGGTCTGGCCCCGTTGGCCAGCCCCGAAACACTCTCGGAGATCTCGAGTGTGTCGTCGCGCAGCAGCGTGCCCATCAGTCTGGCCAACAGCATTGAACGCTATCTGCAGCATATGGGCGTTGTCGGTTCGTCGGGTGCGCCCAAGGTGCCGCTGGAAGACATCTTTGAGTCGCAGCTGCATACACCAAAGGTGATGCGACGTGCGCCCAAGTTCACTGAGAATCTCTCTGGCTGCGCCGAGGACAATCGCAATCTGGACCAGTACAAGCGTTTGGGTCGCGTTTTCGTCACATTTCCGCGCATCATTCCCGAACTAGGAGCGTCGAGAGCAGGCACTCACTTGCAACAGCACTATTTGGACTCCAATTCCAGCGATGATAGCTTTGAGTCCGCGCACAGCCTGCAACGATTGCAGCTGCCAGCGACTGTGGCATGCGCCGCCAGCTCCAAGTCAGCCGATCAACTGGACGAGGAGGAGACACGCCAGACCGTCAAGAAGCTAACGTTTAGCGACAGCAACATCCTCTCGGAGGAGCATTGCCTGCGCCTTTGTCCGCACTGTCCATGCCGGCGAACGGGGCTCGATTGCTGTACCCGTCCATCGGAGCACGATCATCAGCAGTGTGCGTTGGAAACGGAGGCGGCGTCGACTGCTGCAACTGTGGGCTCAACGGATACAAATAGCAGCTTCTATAGCGCCAACTCGAGCTCATCCTTGGAGCACTATGCGACGCCCAGTCGCCAGCTGCAATTAAAGTTGAACGGCGGTAATCGGCCCGTCGACGAGATACTCATACGTCCCGGCGTGCTCGAGTCACATTTTCCTGTTTATGGCGGCGGAGGCGATTGTGCTTCTGGCCAGCCGGAGACTCCGGCAATTGTGGCGCCCGCATCCCCATCCCCATTGAGCAACGGTAGTGGTGGCAAGCGGCCAGATGTGGTTGGTGGGCGTGTGCGCAAACGCCTTTCCTCCGAGGAGTTTGTGTTCACGCGCACCGATGATCTTCCCATTTTAGTACAAATCGGTGATAGGAATCGGGCTGGCGGAGGAGGACTCGGACATGGCTCGCCGGCCATACGCAAGCAGCGCCGGGGCGGCTGTGTGTATCCCGTTGGCAATAGCATACGCATTGCCGGTGCCGATGTGGATGCAGCTGCCGCTGTTGCTGCAAATGTTGCTAGTGCTGCTGCAGCGGCTGCGACCGATTCCCCCTCGTCCATTAGTAAATTTTCCCGCACTCGCATCGCTGCGGCTGCGGCTGCGACAGCAAAAGCAGCAACAGCAGCAGCTGGAATAAATAACGAAAGTAATGTTTAAACAATTAGTATATACATACATATATAAATATAAGCGTAGTTGAATGCAGTACCTAAGCAACCACAACCAAAAACTTATTCTATTTTACCTGCGTTATACACAAAAAATACACAAACAACAACAAGAATAGAGAACAAAACCTTATGAAAAACTAACATTTGGCTGGCATACCAAACAAAAATGTGGCATGTAAAACAGCGTTTAACATTGAATAAATGCAATATACATATACACATAAATATATTTTTTGTGCAGCTAGCTGATCAAGTGAGGAGCAGCCCCGACGCAAAAAAAAGTTTTAATAAAATGTTTTCAAATAAAAAACGTTACAAAATCAAATTAATTTTTAACATTTAATCGGCGCTTGGTTACAATACAATAGTTTCAGAGCTATCCAACACATAACGATATGGAACCGATATGTCATCGATAAGTGCGAAAAGCGGTTTACATTTTAAATTGAGTAACATTTTTTATTTTCCTTTGGGGGTGGTGTGATGACTTTCTCGCAGACAGCTCTGACCAGACTCAAATCATGTTGCAAATAAACAAACGCTTTCTCTACAAAGCATAGTATTTTTTTTCTTTTACCAGGTGGAAATTATGATCGTTATACATAAATTTCTTTGCAGTTTGCTGAATAGAGTAGGCTAGCATGTGCACATACCAGTTACCAGTGGTTGCTGCATTGGCTAAACTTACTTGTAGGTTCGGAAAAAAGTACAGCATACTTTTGAGCACACGGACGAAATTTATTTAAAAACTTTTTTTATGACTAGTCAAATTGGAAGGAAAAGAACTATCTGTAGTCCAAAGAACATCATGTTAGTCCTAATGAACAAGTTACGACCTATTTTCCCCATTTTCTTGTGTACTTTTTTTTTTTACATATTTTTATACCACTCTCCGAATCTCTATCAGAGTCCTAGTTAACTCGCAAGCTGTCAGGAAGCCCGTCGATTGCCATTCAGCATTCTGCATTAAAATGGAAATTAATAAAAAACAAGAATTATTTTTTTTATTGGTTTTTGTTATTGACTCTTAGAACTTAGGCTTAGGCCCCAACTTATGACTACAACCCGTTCACCGAGGTGACCGAGCTCCTGGGCTGCAGAGGGGAAAAAAACCAGTGACTAAAATAAATACAACACATACGCATACAATAAGGATATAGTAGGTAGCTAATAAAGAACTATATACATTGCCAGCTGATTGTCTAATTGGAGCTGGGTTGGGAAATAGGAAAAGCGGACCGGGGAGGGGTGACGCTGCGGGTCAAGCTGCGGGTTAGGTTGGGTATAGGCTTACACGGCCAAGAAATCACGAGGATCGCCAATTTTGGGACTTAGACGCACCACCACCTGATCATCGCCATCGCCCACCTCGAGGAACGAGTTCCAATCGGCCAGAAAATAGAAGCCATTCTTCTTTTTGGGTGGCAGTGGCTCTTGCGTAATGGGGTTGGGTCCAAACGAATCTGCCAGATCATCCAGCGAGCCGTTACGCGACTCCTCCGTTGTCGTTGACGTGGAGGAGGTACTACCCTCTGTTGTGGTGCTGCCCTTGCCAATACTGCTCTCCGCTTCTATGTCTGCATCACTCAAGCCCAGATCGAGGCTAATACGAGTGGGTGATTGAGTTGTGATTGCCTCTTCATCCAGGGTCGGAGCAGCTGTACTTGTGGTGGTGGTGGTGCTGTTGCTGTTTTCCACATTCACACTCTGTCTGCGTGGCTTTGTCGTGTCAATGCCCGGTGGCAGCGATTGCAAATAGCTGGCATCCGCCTGCGATTGCGTTTTGAGACTCACATTGAGCTGTTGCAGTTGCTGAAGATTGCTAATTAGTCGTTGGATCTCACTGAGGTCGTTATTCAGCTCCGGCTCCTCATGGGTCGACCTTGGCTCCGATTCGGGCTTGGCCAGCTGATAGTTGAGCTCACTAAATTCGGCCATCAAATCCCCATCAAGAACACCGTCTTGTCCATTATCGATGGCCAGATCCATATCATCATCACTGCGGCGTCTGAAGCCCAAACCCATTGAATTGAAAGGCTGCTCGGTGGAGACACCAATACGATTGGCCGCCCGCTTAATAGCCGCCTCAATGATCTTGGTGGCACTGAAAATGGGCAGCTCCACACTATTCTCTGTGGTGGGTTGGATACGTGGCACTGCTGGCCTGCTGGTTGTCAGCGAAAACACCGCTGGCGAGGATGAGTCGTGAGTGGGAGATGGCGACGCTGATGCTGTTGCTGGCGCACTTGTTGTTGTAGTGGTGGTGCTAGTGGTGGTGCTTGTTGTGGAACTGCTTGTTGGTTGAGCTTGGAATTGACTCTCCAACTGCTGGGATAGCTCATTGGGCAGCGCCACGCCCAGTTTCTGTAACTGTTGCGTATTGTAGAGCAATTTTTGTAGCTCCGCCAAGTCACTTTGCTTAGGCGTGGCTGGCGTGGTTGATGCTGCCGGTAGTGGTGCAGTTGTCACCGTCTTATAGATGGGCTGCATATGCTGATAGCTTTGACGCTCGCCATTGTCCTCCAGACTGCTGAAGAACTGCTGATAATGCTCAAAGTCCTGATCAACCCCACCAGCTGGATGCTGACTACGTTGTGGATGCGCCGGCTGTGACATGGCAAATTCGCGCAGCTCCTCACTAGAACTGATATCCGGCTTGGCGGGCTTTGCCACCATCGGTTGCTTATAGACAGGCAGGTCCAGTTTCAGTTGCTCCTCCTGCCGCTGCTGGAGGCTCAGCTCCAACTCAGCAGCATCAGCAGCAGATGCTGGCTGGGCATACACAATCTGTGTACCACTCAAACTTTTCACTTTCTGGCTGCGTACGGATGCGGCAGTGACCAGCTGTTGTGCTGTAGTCGGACGCGCCTCCTGCAACTGGACTCGCTCCAGCTCCTGCACCTTGCTGAGCAGCTTCTGCAGCTGGACATAATCTTGGGGCTGCACATCCTGCAGCAATCCATTGCTGCGCTCAAAACTATTCAATGGACGCTGGCGCTGCTTGGATGTCGAGGCTGCCGTTGAGATCTCCACGGTGCCCCGATCGAAAGCGACCGGTGCTAAATTCTGCAGCTGAGCATAGTCATTGCTGGGCAGACCTTGGCTCCTCACCTGTTCGCTGACACCTGCAGCCACATTGCGTGTAATGAAGCCCGGAGTCGTCGGTTGCGGCTGCTGCAGTTGCTCCAACTGCTGTACACGTGTTATCAATGCCTCAAATTGGGCATGATCGACGGCAGCAGCAGCTTTTGTGGGTCGCGGTGTTGTTGTTGTAGTGCTGGTGGTGCTGGTGGTACTAGTGGTACTAGTGGTACTAGTGGTGCTGCTCTTCGCTGCCTTTTTTCTGTTGCGCGCCTGCTCGTAAAGCTGCTCCAGCTGGCTATCATCGCTGAGTAATCGCTGCAGCTGCAACAGATCTGCAGCGCCCAAAGCACCAGGCTCCAGGCCCAGGCCAAATCCTAAAGCAGGCGACGGCGTCGGCTTTGGCTTTGGCCGCACTGTGGTGCTGCTGGCCGCCTTCTGCACCGCATTCGTCTGCTCCAGCTGCTGTAGTTGCCGCAATATCAACTGCAGTTCGCGCGCATCGTTGCTGGCTGGTCTGCGAGTTGTTGTTGTGGTTGTTGTTGTTATTGGCATCGGTGTGGTGGTGGTACTGCTCACACTAAAGCGATTGCTGAGCGCTTGGGTGCCAGGACTGGTTGCCTTCAGCACATTTTCCGGATTGATCTTGAGCTTCTCCAACTCCTGCAGATTCTGCAGCAGCTTGGACAGCTCATCAGTGGAGCTGGCTGGTCTCTGCTGGTTCCCGGCATTCGCAAAATTAATATCAATATTGGGATCGATGCGACGACGCGGCTTCTTTGGCTCAATCAGTAATGGTGCGCCATGGGTAATCAGTTGAGCCGTGGGTAAAGTTGTGGATGGTGCTGCTGTTGTGGTTGTGGTTGTCGTACTTGTTGTAGTAGTTGTGCTCCTGGTGGTGCTAGCAGTGCGTGCTGCTTTCGCTTGCAAACGCTCCAGCTCTTGCAGATTTTCGAGCAGCTTGGCCAGCTCCGAATTGCTCTGTGGTGCAGGCAGCTTGGCGGTTGCCGTCGACAGCTGAGTGTGGGCGCCGGTTGGCTCCTCGGTGGGTCGGCCGTCAGCAGCGGCAGCAGACGCTTGAGATTTGCTCAGCGCTTTGGACGATTTACGCACAATGCCAAAGCGGGTGAGATAACCCTCTACCTCGGGCTTGACGCGCAGCTCCTCGCCAATGTTGAGGGGCTTGAAATTGGAATAGGCATCTGGACGAATGCGGGCCCCCTGTAGGCCACGTAAATCCGCGACAGCGATAACCGGCTGTGGTGCACTCTCTGCCGGGTAGTAATCATCGATGGCATAGCGCTTATGTGTAGACTGTCCACCACCACCGCCGCCACCCACAATGCCCAGACTCTCCAGTATGTCTGCCACTGGTTTCACCGTGCTGCTGCTGATTGTCTGGGCGACCACCGACGGCTTCGGCTTGCGGAGAAACTGCGCATTTTTCGCGCTGTAATGCGAGCTGAAGCGCTGAGCGGAAAACGGTGCCGCCACCGGACGGATCGCTGCCTGGGACTGGGCATAGTCGTATGTTTTCTTGGTGACTGGTTGGAACTCCATGCTGGGCTTGCTGTCCAGCGATGGTGTCAGCTGATACATGACGGGCGCCGGTGCCGGCGGATGATATGTTGTGGCAGTGGGTGCCGGGAATAGCTGCTTTTGCAGGTTGCTGCCATAGGCGGGCTTATAGGTAGTGGCGGCCACATCAGGATTGCCGCCGGGTATGGTGCTGCGCGGCACAGCACTCGGATCGGGTGTCAGAAACTTGATGGGATTTGGTGGCGTATAGGCATCGATAACGCGCGTCACCGGCGGACGCGTATACAGCTCCTGCAGATTCTCTTCGGTGTTGTTGTCTGTATTGTAAGGCAGGACCAACATCAGGGCCCGCATACTGTCCGCCCGGCTCATGTCGCCCGCCTCTATGCTCTTCTCGTACTCCTCCCGCGTGACCTTCTCGTATAGCTCTTCGATCTCGCCGCTGCAAAAGAAGCTCATTTAGATTAATTCTTTGTCTAACTTTTTAAATAAAAGACACGAACAACTTAGTTTTGTAATATATTTTTTTGCTTATTTATTTATTTTTTTGTTTTTACCGTGTCAGCCTGGGCAGTGCCGGATCATTGGCCAATATTTTCTGCACTTCGTCAATGGTCTGTTCGATTTCACGCGGCTGAAAGAAGCTCTTTTCCAGCTGCTGCACAAAGTTGGTGCGACCATGTTGTCCCTGCTGCTGTTTTATTGTGGGCAACGCTTCAATCCTGCTCATCAGCATCGACAACTGGAGCAGCAGCAGCAGCAGATGCAGCAGAGGCTGTGTGTGCACAGCTCTCATTCGCATTAAACTGCTCATTTTAGAGCTCTGCAATTGTCGAAGAAAGCGGCAAAATAAGTAATACGACAAACAGAAAAAAAATACCAAATACAACAACCTGAAATCAAGAATGTATTCGTAAAAGGTGCTCATAAATGACAGGTTTTTTATTACAGAATCAATCTAGAAAGTAAACCAATTCGAGGCGGCATACCCAGTTGAAAGCATTTAGTTAGAAACCCTGCGTGTTCCGACTTGGCTTACAGCCCAATATTAACAGGCTGTGGATAAATCACCACAGCTTTACCAAGTGATCAGAGTTGTAGTTGGTTGCAGAGTTCCATGACCATTTCCAGTTACAGTCCGGTTCCCGTACACATTCCAGTACACACAAGTTGCCAACTTGCTGCTTGTTATGCCTTGCGGCTTGCGGCGCAGTTGCAGAGGCCATTTAGAATGCACGACACGTAGTCAGTCAGTCGGCTCAGTTAGTTAGTCAGTTAAGAGATATTCAGTCAGTGCCAAATACTTTGGCCATAAGCGTTGCCGGTTTGCGAGTGCATTTTATTTATTTTATGAGCTTTTTTTTTCTTTTTCATTTTTTTCTTTCATTTTTCGTTTTTTTTTTTCTTTTTTGTTTTTTTCTTCATTTTGACAAGATTATCTAACAGTTTATTTCGCTAACGGCTTCGCTGCTGGACTCTAAAACATGTCAACGCCATCGTCCACGTAGACGATGGACAGCAATATTCGACGTTGCGACGTCGCTTTCTATGGCACTCATTAAATTTATGATTTAACTACGGTAATTAAGTGAAATCTAAATGGTTCGATAGGCTATAGCCTAGGAGTACTCGTTCACTCGTACTTGCTCAGCCAGACGCCAATGGACCGTAAAAAAGTTGTTCCGCACAATCAAAGCAATAAGCTGGCCAAGATCGACATCGACATCGCCATCGTCATCGTCATCAATCTTGCGTCATATTTGGCCACGAGGATCTGTCTGTCTATTTTGCACAATAATTCACAATAAAATCGATTTCAATTTTTGACAGCCGCTACGCCTCCCCCATTGCAACTACATATTTCTTCTGGATTTCAGTGAAACATTTTGCGTTTTTGTTGTTTAATCGACAGATGTGAAATTTGTACACTTGTCGTCTGGCTGTCAATATTGGCAATAAATTTTCAATTTTTCATTTCACTCAAATTTCGGTTTTCCGTTTCGTGTTGTGCAAATTGTATGCCATTTGATTTAATAACTTGTGCATATATTTGGGACAACCAGGCAGCCAAATGCCGAGTGTATATTAACTACAACTGGCTAGTCGCTTGGCTGATTTGGCCAGTTGGCCAGCAAGTCACACTTAATACCTTGTATATGGATCAAAGCTTGCGGCGATCACTTGTATTGCATTCAACTGGCAATGTCTGTGATAATAATGATATGTGATTCCAGTTACGTGGCCGAGTTGGGGAAACCGCAAAACAAACGTCATTTAATGTTCGTCAGAAAGTGAACAACCAATTTTAGCGTTCGTTTAATTAAATGCAATTTTCGCATTAAATAAAACAAAAATGTTCCATTATTTGATGAATTACTCCAAAAAACGCAAAACAAAACTATTTTAGCTTGAGAAATAAATTACTTGTGTTACAACATGTAATGCGACAAATTATATGCTTTAGCTCAAATTTGATAATTTATTATTATTATTTTTTGTTTTTCAACGCCTCTGTAATTTTAACAGCACATTTGAGCTTATGCAAGAGTTGTAACCAGCAAACATTTAAGAATAACAATAAATTGTAGTTAATTTCAATCATTCACGTTGCATAATGCTACATGCTACATGCAACTTCCTAGCACAATTAAGTTTTTTCACCAAAATTGTTTTCTACTTGCATATTTTTTTATTTGTTTTTTTTTTTTGGCCACACATGCAAAATTCGATAAACTTCAAACGTGTAAAAAACTGTATTTAATTGAACAATCTCTCTGTGTGCGTGTGTGTGTGTGTGTGTGTGTGTGTGTGTGTGTGTGTGTGTTACTTTGGCCACAATCAAAAGGCAAATCATTTGTTTCAATTGCGGCAACAAACATAATAACAACAGTAACAACTACAACAACTACTAACACAAAATGTGAGCCAATCTTCGGTGAGTGCATTTCCAATCCGCCGGCAAAGACCACGGCGACGTCACTGAAGCGCATTAGACGTCAACGTTGACTGCGCTGCTGCTGCTGCTGCTGCTGCTGCTACCGCTCTGCGCATATGCATGCATGTGTGTGTGTGTGTGTGTGTGTGGCAACAATTAAGTTGCTATTAAGTAATTTTTTTGCCGTTTGTTATTGCTATTAACATTATAGGCAACATACTTCACATGCTTATATAGCAATGTTTACTTACACATACAGATATAGATACAGATACAGATACATATGCATTGGTATGTATGTATATGCACAATGGCCTAGTCCCTGCCTGAAGCAATTTGTGTTATGATTGTTTGACATTTGAATTTCATTTTCATTTCCATTTTCATTTTCATTTTATTCATAATTTCGTTTGTTATTTAACTTGACACATTGTTAAGACGCATTAGACGGAAGTGAAACTGTCGCAGTGCTTGGGGCCAGCCACCAACGTTGACATTTGTACATATGTAGTTACCTCAAGTAGAAAACGTTTAAATTGTTTGAATTTGTCATACACTTAGTATTACTTGACTGCTGGATGAACTAATTGCTGAAGCACATATTAGTTGACAATTATACTTAAGGTGTTGAGTACTCTGTTAGAACTACAAAATACTTTCAGACCAATATATCATGTTGTATATATATAGTATATGATTTAAATACCTCTATCAATATGTGCTGAGAGCAGGGAAAGTAATGTTAGAAAACATCAGCAATTGTTGAATTTTATAATAGACATGCTTATTGCTTATATCAATCACTCAGCAAGCCCTTGGACTGAAATTACTTTAGCCGTGAACTTTGCGTGCAGCTTTCTTGATGCCAAAACTCACTTGACCTCTGGCACAACTAGCCACAACAACAACAACAACAACTACAACCTCATCATCCACATCATTAACAATGCAATTTAAAGTAATCGCCAAGGCGTCACATTACGGGTAAAGTTGAGCACCAATTGACTTGTAGCTTTTGTGCCATTGTCCATTGTTATTTTGTTGTTGGACCAGCGACAGGGACAGAGAATGAGATTGAAACTGAGATACAGATAGATAGGTAGTCCACTTCATTAGTTTGCTTAGTTAATCAACAGCAACCAAAGTACTTTTGAGAGTAATATTATCTGTAATTAGAGTGACCTTCAAGAGGCCGGCTTTGTTATTAGAGGTTTTTCAAGAAAAAAACCTAAAAAAAACTAAAAAACTACAAAACTACGTCGCAGCAATCAGTTCAGTTTGTTTTTTGACTAAAGTGGGTTAAATAGATTAACATGAAATGCACGAACCGCGCCCCTTAATCATCACTTGTTGACTTCTTAAAGAAAGTTTGGTCTTTAAAGTGCGTCAAGTCAACATCATTTATACGATAGATTGTCAGATAACCTTGTCAATGTTATTTATAACTTGAAAATCAGGTCAAAGATCTGTGATATTTGGTCATAAGTTAACCTCGATGTTTAGCTAAAAAAAACACTCGAATAGAACACTAAAGTTATGGAAAAAAAAAGAATGGCAGCAAAGCTGTTTATATCTTTAATTTGATGCTCAGAACAACTAATGAAAAATTAAAAACAAAAAGCTAATACAGATAATTAAAAAAATGTAATTTGAAGCGATGGGAATTAACTGATTAAAACCCTTACAAAATACACATTTACAACATCAAATGATGTATAAAATATGTGTTGTCTGCTCACTAATTTTTCTGTAAAATCCAAACTAATTAAGATACAAACAAACATCTGGTTTTATATAACAGACAGCTTTTTCACAATCAGGAATGAATTTTGCAATATTTAACAGATCAAAAGATTTGTCAAGGCACAACTAAAAAAAAAGTTGTTTTCCATGTTATGTTTTAAACTGGATTCATTGTCTGTAAATTTATTTATTTATAACATTTGCACAGATTTCGCTGATGAAAGAATTCAAGATTTGTAACACTGTCTTTTCGAACAAAAGACTTAAGGCACAAGCCAACTGCAACTGTCATGTATAGTTGATAAGTGCTGAAGGTTTATTTTAACTGTTAGGGTCGCCTACTACCATTTCCACTGAAAATAATTGAGAAAGCGCCGCTGGGCTGCTAACTGCTCACTGCTGGCTGCTGACTGCTGGCTGCTGTCTGCTCTCACTTTAGTCAATTAGTCAGTGGCGACAAGTCGCGTGAAATTCATCAGCTTCAAATCGCTGCGCTTCATTAGCCAACTGGCGGCAGAGACGCGGTGAGTCAGTGGGCAAGGCAGGGAGATCAGAAAAGGAAAGAGATGGATAGACGAGGGGTGGTGGGGGAGGGGTATGAAGAAATGGAGATGGGCACGTAGAGCGAAAGAGACAAGGCTATTTATACGCACCACTTTTACTGCAACTTGTTACAAATGTTAGTTGCCTTTGGCTTTTTGGTTGATTTGCTTTTTTATTTTTTTGCTGGTTTTTACACGGGTTTTGCTGCTTTTGCAGCCTACTGGCCGGACTGGCTTTTAGTATATGGCAAATTAGCAAGTTTTTGCTGCCGCTGCAGTTGCAGCTTGTGGTTGCCGCTGCTGCTGACGGTGTTGCAGTTACTCTGCTAAATTCTATTTAAGCCGAGTGGCCAGCGTATGACAAGTGAATGTTGTTTCGGGTGGCCAGGAAAAGAAACGCAGTGTCTATGCCAGGCTAAAAGCAAAAGCAAAAGCCAAAAGCCAAAAGCAAACCAAGTCAAGCAGTCGACTCCAACTTTGGGTCTGGTTTCAATTGCACTTAATGTTTATACCATGTTTATATACACGTACTGTTTAGCTAGTTTCTTTTGTGCCTGTTTATTGATCATTTTATGCAGGTTTCTTTTGATATATAGTATATAGTATGTCTTTCGATATATTTGATTTTCACAACTTTTACCCAGTCAATTGATTTTTTAGCGTTAACAAAATATTAAGCGCATAAAGTTTTATTATTGTTTCTTTTATTGGAGGTTGCCTTATTTTTTTATAGCTGTTTCCTCATTTATTAACACAGGTGAAAGTGCCACAAAAAAAAAATTAAAAACAAATATGAAACACTTTGGGCTTTTAATGTTCACTTTTGCTTATTTAAATTGTTGTTGGGCCAGTTTTTTTTTATTATTATTATTATGTTAATAACTATGAAAAGGCGGCACTGAAATTGTTGACATTAAGTTGTTTTGTAGAAATTATTACACTGTCACCAATTGAATTTGTTCTCTTTTGTCTACGACATTTTTATCTATTTAGCTGATTTCAATAAACAAAAAGGGACTGTCGAAGACATGTAGATCAATCATAATTTTCAAAGAGCTGATAATGACAAGATATTTTTCAAAAGGACAAGGAATTATCAGAATAATTGAACATAGCCTTTGAGCAATTACAAACTTTTTTTCATTTGCATTTGTGTATTTATATATGTATATAGAGTGATGTCAAGGTCATTTGATCGCTTATAAGCTGAGTCAAAATCAATGATTGCCATTTTTTCAATTACATTTTCAAAACTTTGGCGCTCCGATACGGCCTCTCCTTGCTGCCTGGGCACGTCTCCAAACAATTTTCACAATTTCGTTTGTTGGTTTTCGCTTTTTTGTTTTTTGTGTGTGCTTTATTTATATTTCTCTCTCTATATTTCTGGTGTTAAACTTTCGATGCACAAGAAAACTAAAAACAACGAAAAAAAAATGTAATAAAAAAAAACACTTCAACGTCCAACGTACAAAATGTTGTATATGAGTATTTGAGCACGCGACTCCAGCTCCAAAAACCGAGTTCGACAACGACAACGGCAACGACTACGGCTACGACTACGATAACAACATCGACATCGACAACGACAACGAGGTGAACGTGGAGTTGTTGGCTTGGCGCATGCGCGGCCTGTAGACCATTTTCAATGAGCGTTCAAAATATACTGAACGGGTTGGACTGACGCTGACAACGCGGCCGTCGCAGTCGACGCTCAACTGTCTCAGTCACTGTCGCCGTTGCCATCGCCGTTACCATCGCCATCGCCATCGCCATCACCGTCGGCATCGCAGTCTCCTCAGTTGAAGTGCGTGCCCAAAAGAGAGCATTCAACATTGAGGCTTCTCTAGAAGCTCAAACTGGTGATGGGAATGCGTGTTGGATTTTATTCATTTTGATTTGGATTCTGTGCCAAATTGATCACACTGCTCACCCAACTGTTAGCAGGTGTTTTGTGATTGTGCTTCTTCGATGTATCTGTGTATCTGTGTGTTTGTGTGTTGTATTTATTTATTTTATATTTATTTTTTTTCTGCTTGCTTACCTTGACCAAGTACACCTGCATGATATGTTGTGGCAGTATTTGATTAGGGGCCAGAGGGCAGGGACAGTGCTCGCGGACAAAGAGTGACATTCTATGAGACTGGTTTAAACAGCATCGCCATCTGCATCTTATGCAGCCTTAGCTGACATTTCACATTTCTCTGTGGCATGCATCATCGTTGTCTCTTTGCTCCCATTCGGGAACCTACTCATGACCACTTGATGCCAGACGCTTGTTGAAATTGATTTGGAATTTGATTACGATTACGATTGCGTTGTGTTTCGGTTTCGGCTTTTGTCTTTTGCCCAGGCCATTGTTGCATAATCAATGTGCATATGTATATATACGCGCTCATAGTATCATATCGAGTGGAAGGCTATATACATAAATAATAATATAAACATATCTATGTATATATGTATGCCGATCACATTGCATTGCGTTGGCTCTTGATGCACTCGAGTCTATAGATACACAAGTATGTCTGTCTGTATTTGTGGAACTGGAGCATTTCGTGCATTTTAATTCGATTTGATTTGGCTCAAACTAACAATCAGTTGAATTCAGTTAACGTTTAGTTCGATTTATGTTTGCTGGCTCTTGCCAATAATGTTGAGAGTAAAGTGCGTTGAATATTAAGAAGAAGACTGTATGATTTCTTCAAAAGCAGAAAATCTTACGCTGCTGATAGCGCACAGAATCAATGAAACAAATATGCACTCGACTCAATGGTTGCATGTAACCATTGTTTGTTGCACCATCTGTCGCACGGCCTGAAGTAAGTAGATGTTATCATACGCAGCGTCGTAAATTAGAATGTATCTGTATCTGGCATGGTATATGTAAGTGCATAGATAAGGATTGACTGGTTTGGGTCAAATGTAAATAGAATAACTAGCCCTAAGCAAAGATGATCGACTAAGAATTTTGTATATAAACCACGCATTTTTCATGAAATAAACTACTACAAAAATAACTCTTAGCGCATTCACATCGTCCAGCCCAATTTGCTGCAAGTACCGATTGCGGCGACACTTTGTTACTGGTACACGAACATAGTGTTAGCATACCCAACACCCTTTTCAGCATACCCTAAAAATTGACAGTAAGAAGTCATTTTTATCTACAAAGACTAACAACTTTATTTAGTCGCATTAAAGCTGGAATGTCTGACACTTAAACACATACGAGTACATATTGTGTGTGTATTCTTGATCCGCATCAGCGAATGTGTTAGCAAATGTCATAAAGCAAATGTTTAACAAAGGCTAAAAGCTTGCTCTATTGTTAACTTATTTGTTCAAAGTAATAACAATTAAATAATAATAAAACAAACAACCATAACTAAACAAGGGAAATGGAATTACTGAAACTAGTAAACAATAGATTTGATAAATGCTTCAGTCACCTTTAATGCCTTTATAGCCTCAGCTGTTTAAATGGCCTGTAGACACATAAATAACTAAACTATTTTGTGATTTGTGTGTTTTGTGTCACTTTTAGTGATATTTATTAAGTTCAAAAATGTCTGCATGTTTGCTATTTGCTCCACTTTTCCGCTCTTTTAGTTTTTGCATAATGCCATAATGCTGCTTGTCCTTGCCCAACACACACACACACACACACATTCAAACAATGACACACCTTCCCTTACGTGCACTCTGGGGTTATTGCATATTTCTGTGTGAGTGTGTGTGTGTGTTTGTGTGTGCTTTGCACGCCTTTGCTCGAAATAATTAAAAACGATTTTGGCAACAAATTTGTAACATTAACTATTTTAGCCTAGCATTTAGTTGTGTACACCAAACAAGAGCAACATAAATATGTTTACCATTCGGTTCGTTTCGGTCCCAGACCGTGTATGCCCTTTGTTGTCATTCATTTTTTGGTGACAACATTTGACACAATTTAACGCTGACGCGGCAATTTCGTCCAAAAAGAAGATGAAATGCCAATCGCATCAGTGGTGCCTAAGTTAAATGTGTGCTTTGTCTAGATGCGTGCGGCTTGGTCTCGCTTGGATTTTTCATATCTTTGGCTTGACTTTGCCCGAGTTACCCCCGAGTTGCACACACGAGTTGCAACAGAGGTCGTCAAAATACACTGACACTTCATAAACCTGCAAGCAATTTCGTTTCTGCTCCAGCTGAAAAACAAAAACGCAAATTGCTTTACGATCTGGCTAAGTGCATGTGAAAACTCAAAAAAATGCAAATTGCTTTACGATCTGGCAAAGTGCATGTGCGCAAAATAAACGTAATACTGCTTTAGACTTGAGGGATCGACTATCAAACACCCTGGAAGCGTAATATCTTATGGAAAAAAATGAATAGTGCTTAATGTGTGTGGGCTATTAGAGATCGTCTTGTATATATTACGAAACTTTCTTAAATAAAACGTTCAAAAATCGTTAAATGAATTAAACTTGAATAAAACTTCGAAGAAAATATATACATATCTACTTAATTGAATAAGCAGTGCTTCATTCTGTCTACACACGATCATACTCCATATGAAGGCTTCGGGGTTACAGGGTATAAAACACCTGGTGTGGAGTCTGCGTAATCTTTGCACAGCGTTTTGCATCTATGATGAGCGACGGGCGTTGGTTTGTCACTCATCTTCAGTTGCTTGTTTTTGTGCTGCTTCTTGTTGTCGTTTTATTTATATTTTATTATTTTTCGTTTTTGTTATTGTTATTGTTATTGCTTTTACTTTATGCGGCCATTCACTTTCTCCGCATGCTTTTTATTTGGCTTTGCTGTTTGCTTTGCTAATTTTTGGCCGTGTTAAAAAGTGAAACAGCAAACAGAGAGAAGCTTGCCACTGATTATGCATTGGCATATGCAAATTTTAAACGAAAATTATTCAATCGGCAGACAAAGTCTTACATAGTCTTCTAATAGCATGATTTTATGCAGCTAATTGTAATCCGCAGCAGCAATGGTTTATGTTGATGACACCATTTGCCACAGATTGCATCATATCACATGGTAAATGTAAACGCATTGCGTGCATTGTGCTCCAATTCCTGCGATAAGTAAGCATAAAGAAAACAACTAACAACAACAAGCGGCAAGCAATGCCAAGTTCGTTGCTTAAGTCTTTTGTTAGCGGGTCTCGAATTGATGTCAACGAAGCGCCAAGCGCCGCACTTAACGATGCGATCTTTCAACCCATTCACAGACCCATAAAGTGCCCAATCAATCAGCTGTGGCCCTAGACAGGGGCGAGAGGCTGAGTACGACTGTCGCCCTTAGTGCTAAAGTCGCAGACAGTGCTAATTAATAAGGTCTGATCACAGTTATTTAATGCTTAATACATATGCAGCCGAGTGCAGTTCAAGCCCAAGTCAATATTGTGCCTGACTCGTCATCTTAGGTTGGTTTGGCTTCGTTGGGCTCGGCTTGCTTGTGAGCTGGCCAAGTGAAAGGCGGCCGGTGATTTTCATAAATGATTTGTAAAATTCAACTTATCGAAGATGAAAGTTACTTAGTCGTTGATTTAGAAACGATTAAGCGGCATATATATCTCTTCTATGATCATACCAGGAACCCTAATATGTAACCAATAACATATGTATTTTATAAATTAACTTTTCCTTTAGTTATATCCGTATATATTTATGTGTAGGTCGAGTATATATTTCATATATATTATATATTCTATTATATATATTTAATATATTAGGGTATACAATGTTCAGCGCACGTTATATAACGTTTTCATCTCGTTTTTATTATTGTTGCTTTTGCACATCTCTTAGTAAGCGCTCCTCAGCTAAGAAATCGAAATGAAATTATAATCTCTCAAGACGCAGCAGCAGCTTGTGAGTCGCTTACATAAAGCAAGACCGTTCCGAATCCAACCGACTGCAGACAAGCACACTTGGAACACACTGCAGCTTACACGCGTCCGGTGCCCGGTGTCCGGTGTTCGGCGTCCACCAATCAAACAGGAAGGAAACACAGTGAAGCGTTCACTTTGCATATACAGCCTTTCAGACTCGCGGCGACAGAAATCAAATTAAGGTATGGTCACAGATTAATTTGCTTCATGCGTGAACGTTAATATTAGTCATTTTAAATTAGTTTATTTTATTTATAAGCATTTTGATTGCCAGCTGAAAACTAGGCGAAGGTTAAAATTATTGGTATTAATTCGATTTGTTTTTATTTATGAGGGAACCAAAATATAGTAAAATAGTAAAATATATATGAAATAGAAAACAGTTATATTTATTATTATTTCTTGAGAAAGTATTTCGCCTGTCACATTTTAGACTCTACAATTCAACATCAGGAAAATTGCCAAAAGTTGATTGTTAAAATATGCAAATAAATACACCTGCAAAGTGGCGCCAGAATTTAAATTGAAGTGTCTATACCGATTTGCTCGTCAGCGTATATCGAAAGCAGTCCCAATCGGTAGCAATCGATAACACAAATGAAATGTATGCCGTCAGCTGTTCTATTTGTTACATGTGTTCGTGTATATGTGACTGAATTTATTCGTAACCAAGCTACAAAATTGTGTACAAAACGCTCAAAAAAGTTTCGACCCAAGGAACAGTAAGCCCTGAGTAAAGTATAAATTTGGTTTTTGTTATACACACAAATAGGAAAAAAGACTAAGTAAATTCCAACTCCATATACGGACTACGAACAAAGTGCGTCAAGTAACACTGTCCGTACGTATGTGTGTGTGTGCCTGTGTTGTGTGTGTGTGTGGATTAGAGATGGTGAATAATACGATTTTGGGTATATAATGACAATCAGGAATGTTGCATTGGAAACAAAAGCCCTTCTAAGAACTGGGTCGTACACTTATTCATTTACATATCCATTTTGCTCTAGATTCACATATAATTGTGAATATTTTGTTGACTTATTGTTCAATAGATGCAAATGTTTATCTTCCTCTTGAATAAGAAACGCGATTTCCTTTATAATTTATACATTTATTAAATTTCACGTTAATTCAACTTAAAGAATATAACATTATTATTAAACTGTTTTGCTCTGTAATAAGCCAATTTTTCATTATACCAGCAACTTTATTATTATAGAAACTAGAGATGGGCGCGAGATACCGTGACCCGTGGAACACTTTCCAAAATAATCGGTCTGGCAGGGATCTGAAATAAATAGAAAAATTCCAAGAGGCAGCGAGATATAAGACCATTTTCGACAATCCCAAACAAAAACCCAAAACACAATTTTCAAAAATTTGGAGAATTGAAAAAATTTTCAAAATACAATTTTCTTCAACAACTCTCTAAAACAAAATTGAATATTCCATTCTATTTATCTTCTACAACGAGCGTATTTTTTTATATTGTTTTGAATACTTTTGAATGTTTAAGCCAAAAAAAATTAAAATTAATTAAAGATTATTTAAACAAATTTAATTTTAAAAAAATGAAGTATGTTTTGGAACCCGCACAAAATTATAAATTTTCGGAACTGCTGAGATGGGACTAATGTAAAAATTTCCGGACGGGTTGGATCGGGATTGAATAATTAATCCCGCGCCCATCTCTAATAGGAACTGTAACGTGTAGCTAAAAAAATACTTGTGATTGGTCACTGGCACGTAAACATCGCTCATCGCTAGTGGGCCTGTGTGTGAGAGCTGGTGAGTGAGTGTGTGTGTGTGTGCGTGCGGGTGTGTGAATGAAAAACTTGCAACTGTGAAAATATAACCAAAAATAAAGACGAATCTGTCTCTAGTGCATTGACTCCCCGCCAGCGACATCGACGTAGCCATCAACAGCTGAGGGAGGAGTTGCAGTCGCAGCAGTTGGAGCAGGTAAGCATCCAGTGCGCATACCCCCACACACATTGCCCTGTTCGCCAACCAGTGCACTCAGCTGTGTCCTTCTGTTTAGAATTATAAATATTGTTTTCGCTTCGCAGCGGCAACTAGGGTGGCCATGGCGGACACGGCGACAGCAGCGACCACTGCGACGGCTTCAAAAAAAAAATATAGAAATAAAAAAAAATCACAGCAGCAGCAGCCACACAAATCAGAGTCAGAGCCAGCACAAGGAGCAGCATCTGTAGCAACAGTTAAGTCTACGGCTCATCAGCCCAATGGTCACGTTCAGGCCGATTCGGATTATGCAGATGTGACTCTAATCAATGGCATCATGCAGCAGGTGCAACTGTGTAACGGCCATGGCAAGGAAGAGGACGAGTTGATGCCTGCCACGGCTCAAGTGGCTCCCACAGTCAATGGCCATGCCAATAAGAGCACTGCAATCAACAACAACAATCACATTAACGATAATAATAACATAAGCAGCAGCACCAACAGTAACAACAATAACGATGTCAACAGCATCATCAGCAGCAGCAGTAACCGCAACAAGAACAACAACAACCATAGCAACAGCAACAACAGTCGTAACAGCAGCAGTAAAGCGAAAAACAACAATAAAACCCTGGCGACGGTCGAGGCAGCAGCAGATGTGGTAACCGAATGTGGGCAACAGAAGCATGAGCCGGAGCAGGAACAGCAAACGACTGACGCAATTACGCTAGTAGCGACAAGTAAAAGCACTGCCAATACGCAAACAACTTCAGCAACAAAAACAAAGACAACAGCCATGGCCATTGCAACAAGAGGCAGCGTCCACGATGAGGCGCCCTCTACATCAGCAGCTGCCGCCGCAGCAGAGGCAGCCGCCGTCGCCGCAGCGACGCTGCTGCAACACCAGCTTCAGCTCGAACCTGCCATTTCAGCCGATGAGATTGTCTATAAGGAATATGAAGCCGAGCATCAAATGCATGTAAGACAATCAGACACACTAGATTCCCCTAAGCAATTAAATATACAAAAATCTATCAGTCTGTATTCCAAGCAAAACTTCCAGGTATAAGCGAAGCACTGATTTGTTAAAAATGGTCAAACATGGTGTAAAAATATTGATAGTCAAGAGGCCGTCAATAAATTCAATATCGGTAACAAGCTGTCGCCAATCTCTGCACGAGATGGCATAGCTGCTAGCCAGTACTACACACCGTAACTGTCCACTGGTTAGCCAGCACTCATGCAAATAGACTCCAAGCCTCTTGTAATGACTTCTGGAAGAAGGAAGAAAAACAATCACCAGAACACTTCTTTTGCCACTGCTCGACTCTTACTGGGCAAAGATTAAGCACCCTGCGAAGCGCCTTTCTCAGTTAGCAAAATTGGGAACAAGTAGGATTGCGAATTTTATTAAAGGTCCAATTGGATCCATATTTGATCTTGCGTACCACCACTGTGTCACAACAGACCAACTCTGATCTGTGTATGTCGGCGCTATAGTCCGATAGCTGTCTTCATATAATATATTTTAATGCTAAACATGCTTCACTGTCCACTTTTGCAGGATATCATGCGTCTGATACAGGCGGAGCTGTCCGAGCCATATTCAATATACACGTACCGTTATTTCATTTACAATTGGCCAAAACTATGCTTCCTAGCCTCGCACGATAATCAATATGTGGGCGCTATTGTATGCAAGCTGGACATGCATATGAATGTGCGTCGCGGCTATATTGCAATGCTGGCGGTGCGCAAGGAATATCGCAAGCTCAAAATCGGCACAAGGCTGGTGACCAAGGCCATTGAGGTAAGTATCCGATTTCAATAGTGAATTAACTTAACAGATTTATCTAATCGATCGATCTAATATAATTACCAATATGCAGGCAATGCTCGCTGACAATGCCGATGAGGTTGTGCTGGAAACGGAGATGCGTAACGAGCCAGCGCTGCGTCTGTATGAGAATTTGGGCTTCGTGCGTGATAAACGACTGTTTCGTTATTATCTGAACGGTGTGGATGCTCTGCGCCTGAAGCTCTGGTTTAGATGAGTCGCCGCCACAACTTTGGATGATGTCGTTGAAATTATTGTCTAGCGGCTGCCAAGCGAGAGCTTTCAATTGGATGCCTTCTTTCGACTATATCGTTAAAATCCAATGTTTTCCCTGGACTGGCTTCCACACTGTCCATACGAACAGGACTCTTGTTTGTTTATCTATGTATATATAAATATATATATATATATATATATATATATACATTAATTTTCTTAAGGCGTTTGCTTGTCGTTAAATTTGTTCTCATGTGGCACATGACAAACAATCTTCTGTACCTATTAACTAGGATTTACAATTTTTTCTTTCTTTAATTAATGTATGTAAATTATTTTAATAATTTAAGCGTATGGCAACAAGAACTACAACAAGAAGAACAACAACCATAAGAATTAACACCAACAACAACAACAACAAATAAATACATTTTAACAAGAACCGAATAGAAACTCTAAATACATACATATGCAATACGTGATTTACATACTTACATAATTACGAGTACATAACAAAAACAAAAGCAAAATACAAAAAATAGGCAAAATGAGAATGAACTACTGAATTGGATTAAAATGTAGATTAAAAACACAAACGATCTGAAAATTCAAGACGCATAAGCCACAAAAAACTAACACAAAACCACACGCGTAAATTATTTAGGAATATGTAACAAAATGAACAACACCAACAACAACAGCAACACACACACACAGCAAATACATATGTATATCAATCAAATAAACATTGAAATCAAACACCCACACACACACACACTTAAGAAAAAGGAAATGAAAAACAAATATATATATATAGTGTTTTGTTATACATGCATAAATAGACTCGTATTTGTATACATACTTACAAGAAATCAAATGCATACATATGTTGAATCGTATTGCGCGTGCTAATTTATAGCATTTTAACATTTACACATACATATATAGTAAAACAAAACAAAAAATAACAGATCATAGACAAGAAAATAAAACAAATGAAATAATAATATTAAAATGGCAGCAAGAGGCGCGTTGTTATCGATCAAGACTTTGCCCCAATTATGCAAAATTACAAAACGATGAACAAATAATACAACAAAATGAATAAATTGAGCAATATTGAGAGTATAATCACTATTTGTCTGTATCGCTGTACGTCCTCGCAACAACCATGATAAAAGTATTCTTATGTACATATAAAGGTGACTAAATCCTTGCGTTTTCCCGCAAGGGCTATAAACTGGTTGAAGGATATTCAAATCATCCTGGTACTTTTCCAGATGTGATGGGGGATAATGTGGAAAATCTTACAAATCCGGCAGATATCCTTTGGGCCACTGATAGTCTGTGCTGAAAAAAGCAATAAGAAACACGAAATATTTTTAAGACGATGAAATATCGGGACTGTTTTTAAAACAAAATTGCTCATAGCTCGGCCATATCGTAGTGTATCCTGCAAGTCCTGTGTCAAACGATTTGCTTTGGGTAAAGGTCATCAAAATTGTCCTCGTAGCTTGATTTTATAATTTCGATTCGTTGCCCTTCGCCCTGCGAGTAAAGTTTTTTTTTTGGGTTCTTACATAGCTTCATAATCCTTGAATGCAGTTCGATAGGATTGCACCTTGCAACTCCAACACACTACGGTGCTTGGAAAAATGTAAAGCATTTGGGCGATCTGTAGTGATTTTTGTATAAAGAATTGGCCGTTTTTTTTAATCTTGTACTAAAAGTATGCTTTAAAAATTTGATTTGTGAAATGGTTATCCACCATTCAAGTTTGGCTGAGAATGCGAATTGGGCTGCTGAGACAGGAAAAGCTTGCAGTCATTCGGGATTCATATTCATATTTTCTACTTATCATCACAGCGTTTTTATTACTCCCACATTTTGAAAGCACATGTTTTTAGTTTTATTAAATAAAAAATAAAACAACTACAATACTTAACGCTGGTTGGAGGTGCCTAGTTGCAGCTGTACTCGGCTGCATTTAGGGCGTAACGCTTAACAATATGAACAACATTTAGTATAGTAAATCAGTGGTCAGAGTAGTGCTAGTACTTTCTAGTTATACTAATGTATGTATAGCTTATATACACTAAGCCCGGATTTGTCGAACATGTCGAAATGCCGCCGCCGTTTATCATCTGCTGCGTTTGGTCTTCGCTGTGGTCGTCGTTGTACTGGACTCACGCAGTTCCTTCATTTCGATACGCGCAGCCGCCTTGATGTTCTGCACCTGCTGCCGCACTGTGGCGCTCTTGTAGCTGACGGGCGGTGATGCCGTCGTGGCCGCCTGGGATTTGTCAAACAGATCGCTGACCTCGACCATGCGCGGCTTGAAGAACATGTTGGGACGTATGACAGACTTCTCGGGATGCTTGAATAGATTGAGCAGACCCCAGGACTGATCCTGTCGCTCGCTCTCTGGCAGCGTTGAGTTCTCCACCTCGGACTCAAGCATCCAGGCGGCATTGCGCACCTCGATACGCAACCGTTCGCACTCCTCCAGGCTGACGTTCTTGCTAACATTCAGCAGCTGCTCGAGCGGATTCGCAATGTACATGGCCGAATGATCGGGCTTGGTCAGTGCTCGACCCTCATTTAACGAAATGGCGCGATTGTGAAAATCGAACTGTGAATAGAATTCAAAGAATTGCAACAGTAGTTCGCTCAGGTTGCTCGTATTCCGACTGCGAAAGCCCAAGCGGTCCGTGTCTCGAGCGAAGGTGCAATTGATGCCATCCTCGGTGATCCGCACATCGCTGGCGTTCGCTGCCTTCACCAGCGCACCAATTGCCGGCAGTATGGGTTGCCGCAGCTGCTGCAGGAAGTACATGACCAGGCAAGTCAGCGAGAAGTTGCTGATCCAGCGTCCAGGCGAGGGATTTGTTAAGCCGCAGGATTGCGCCCAGCGGCGTATACTAAAGGTCAAGGGTCGCACGCGTGGATCCAACTCGCCAAACATATACAGCAGCTCGGACATGTAGAAGCCAGTGCTAAAACGGCATAAATATATTACGAGTTTAAAAAAACAATATACCAAGTTAAAAACAAGATTTAAGGGTCCTTTGCAGAAGTGTATGACTATAAATAAGTATATAAATAAGACAGAACAGCTCCAATTTGTTGCAAATATCTCTCAATTGGAGTTGTTTGATTAGAAAGTTTTTACCATAAAGTTTGCGAATGCAAACACGTAGTTGGAAGAACTTTTCAGAGTTTGGGTTTCATGCTGCCCAGCGCGTAAGGGCGTGGCAGGCTAGTGTGTAGTTTCATTCAGAAAACTGACCACCTCCACACACCGGATATGGCTATGAATGCATTCAATTTAATCAGTAGTTCGTGTCCGTAATTAAAGCACTCATCAGTGATTTTGTGAATCATGGAGGAAGACAACTTTGGAAAGCTGATTCACCTGCTCCATGAGCAAAAGAGATGACAATACGATGGATGTAGGCTTTACATGGCATTTAGAAATCGGCAACAGGTTGTACTATCTTATCAGCGAAAGCTTTAGCATGCCTCACGCTTATCTTATCTTATCTGCTTCGTCCGCCAAACTGTTCGCTGTGTGTGGACGTTGTCATCGATTGAAAGTTTCTTTTCTTGTTGTTGCTGTTCCTATTGTAACTGAGGCAGATAGATATATCTACATTTTTGGTCAGGTTGCTAGTGTTGCGTCCGTTTCCAGAGCAGCCAAAACGATTTCAACGAACGAACCCAACGGAGCGGCCCCAACGCAACCATAACTATTTTTTTTTTTTCTCGTGTAATAAACAATTAAAAGGTGACGATTATTACAAAAAAATCGAATACTATTTAAGTTTCAAAAGTGATGCGTGACCTAAAGAAGAGTTTAAAAACTAGAAAAATTCAAGAGATAAGCTAAATTTTTTTTCACCACTTCGAAACCTTGAAAAGTGTCCGAAAAAGTGTCTGACCCTCAACGATATATGAATTATGGGCCGATAGATAAAAAAAAATACAGTTGGTGCTTGAAAGTTCAAATCCCAATAAAAACATAAATACATATATATAAAAATATAGTTCAAAGCATATAAGTACTTCAGTTGAATGGAATGGAATTCACTGAATGTTGCAATAAGCACCTGTGTGTATTAATCATGTTGTGCATACAAATTGTGGCTCGAACAAAATGAACCAACTAATGATAACGCTATTTGCTAAACACACCGCTGATAAGGCCAACTCACTTGCCAAGGCATGATTAATAGGGCGTGCTTTAATAGGGACGGCTTTTTTTATGGTCAGCGGTGACTCAATCCGCGTTGCTAAATCGAAAGGAGTCGAAATATTTATATAAAAAACTCAATTATGAACACAAAATGAATAAGTTTATAATATAGTTGTCGTATTTAAAGCCTCTACAAATCTCTATATAAACTATAACTAACTAATGATTGTTTTGTTGTCTGCTCCTGCAGTCCGTCAACATGGGCATTGGCTATGGCGCCGCCGACGAGCAGCTGGAGAAACAGATCGGCTGTGTGAAGTATACGCTGTTCTGCTTCAATATCGTGGCCTGGATGATATCAACGGCGCTGTTCGCCCTAACCGTGTGGCTGCGTGCCGAGCCGGGCTTCAATGACTGGTTGCGCATATTGGAGGCGCAGTCGTTTTATATTGGCGTCTATGTGCTAATTGCCATCAGCATCATTATGATGGCAATTAGCTTCTTGGGCTGCCTCAGCGCACTCATGGAGAATACGCTGGCGCTGTTTGTGTTCATTGGCACCCAGATACTTGGATTTATTGCAACGGTTGCCGGCTCTGCAATTCTGATGCAGTATAGCACAAATGATTCGAGCTTGCAGCCGCTTTTGAATGTATCGCTGCGGAGATTTGTATCAACATCGGAGTACACGTACTCTAACTATGTGCTGACTATGATCCAGGAGAATATTGGGTGCTGCGGTGCCAGCGGTCCATGGGATTATTTGGATTTGCGCCAACCGTTGCCCAGCTCCTGTCGCGACACCGTCAGTGGCAATGCCTTCTTCAGTGGCTGCGTGGACGAGCTGACCTGGTTCTTCGAAGGCAAGACCTCCTGGATTGTGGCACTGGCCATGGTAATGGCCATGCTATCGGTTATCTGCGGTGTCATGAGCTTCATTCTCGTCCAGGCCGTCAAGAAGGAGGAGGAGCAGGCCAGCAACTACAGACGCTAGGCACCAAGCAAACCATCTAGTTAGCTAAGTTAAAAGACGCACCTAGACACACCTAGGCGAGCGCACAGTGCAAAGAGTAATATACATGCTTAATAGACAATAAGTTTTTCAATTCGAACAATAAGTACATAAACACGTTCATAAACCAACAAAATAAATCCATCTTTGGCCCACTAAAGCTCAAAAAAGAGTTCCATATTGTTTGGTACTTGCTGAATTTTATTTTTTGTAATTATTCACAGGGGTTATTTTTTGTTTAGCTTTTTATTACTTTCAGTCTCCTTCACATCCGCCATCTCCTTCACAATCTCCATTTCCTCAATGTTCTCTACATCAACTACCTCCTTCACATCCTCCATCTACTCCACCTCTTTACATCCCCACCTAAACCTCTACATTCTTCGTCTCCACTACCTACTCCAACTTACCCAGCTCCTTTACATCTACCTATATATCTCCTCCTCATACTACACTGACTGCAACTTTTTCAGAGCCCGCAGCTCGTTCAACGTCATCTGCTACGTCCTCTACCTCACCAACCACTTCTCGAATATGCTCCTTTTTTTCATTTTTGGTTATTTGCTTAAAGCATTTTGCTTATACGTCTTTCGATTCTTGAATACAAAAACCACTTGTAGCTTTCCACCACGACAGCTAAAACATTGTAGCTGGCACAACTTAGTATTATAATATAATGCAAATAATATGCTTATAAATTGTTATTTCATAGTTGAGATGATGATAAATAGATGTTGTTGAGCTATGATAAACGATGGCTCATAGGTATTACTTTTGGTCAAGATATTTTGTAAAACAATGCACAATGCGTCATTGCACAGTCGGATATAAAGATCAATATTAATATAATACATATGTATGTACATATATAGCGTTTGCTACTCACAGGTTGCTCATGGACAGATCCACTTCCAGGTTTAGATGCTCGTGATGGTACTTGATAATGGGCACGCGTGCCTGCAGAATCCGTCGCACATGGCAGACGCCTGGCAGAAACAAATGCAGCAAATCACCGATGCATTCCATTTGCCGCTGCGTCTGCGACCGTCCGTTACTCATGTTCTCTTTGGTGTGGTAGATGAGACGAGACGGTTCATTTGCACTCATCTCCTGCCCATCGGTTATTGTTGTTTCGCCATCAAAGCGCAATATCAAATCCAAGTCACAGCCCATTTTGCCAAAGCCATTCACCGAGGAGCCGAAGGGCTGCGCCAGCGCATCCGGAAACATGCCAGAGATAGCCTGCTGGACCTGTAGCGCTGCCAAAAATCGCATCCGTACACCCAAGTCATTTAAGCGTGTGTGCTCGTAGAGTTTAAGAATTTGTTGCTCAATACTCTCGGCACCGCGCAGCAGCTGCTGCAATTGTTCGTGGGTTGGCGGTCGGGTGCCGTCGATTGTGGCCAACGGCAGTGGATGCTGGTTGGCAGCCAGTTTGGCCAGCCCTCGACGGCCAGACGCTGCTGCTCGAAACCACAGGAAGGGCGAACGTACCGGAACACCGCTGCCACTGCTGCCCAGCTCCGCATTGTAGGCACTTGAGTTGATGGCAGCGGCCGCCTCACCGGCGCTGGCATACTCTAGCAGCATATAGTGTAGCTCATCCTCGTGCGGCACACAATAGTGCTGGGCGATAACAATGCGTCCAAATCTGCTGCAGTAGTTATACAATTCCGTGTATGACCTCTCCGAGCTGACCTGTACCACAATGCTGCGCTGCGCCTGCTGATGCCGGCTTCCAATGAACTCCTCATAACTGGGCTTTCCTGTGGTAAATGGCAACTCATTAAACTAAAAAGGCGACGAACATTTATTTGTTTACCTACCTCTCGAGGCGACCTCAGTGCCGGCGACAGCGCTCTGTTTTATGCAATATGTGCGCCAGAGTCGTAGCTGTTGTGCTCGGCGCATAAGGGTGTTCATGGCAAATGGCTGGAGCTATGCGGGCAACTGCAACATGTAATTGCAGTTATCGGCTTTCGAGCGGAATATTCCTCAAAACTCCACGATATTTTGTTTTTATTCGTATAGTTTTGAGGTTATAGGGCTGCAGCAGGGAATTACCAGGGCTGATACATATACACATATATCGATATTTTGTAACTAACTGCTTTAATCGATAAGGATTTTGTGAATATTTTAAGCTTTTGGCGCCAATTGAATGCCTGTGTAGCAATTATATTAATAGCAATATTACCCCTCCGAATGACCCACTAAAAAACCCTTAAAAACCCATAAAAAATGCAAACTCATCAGAAATGCCATTGGCTACACAAAACTCACAAGCTGCATGCGCTCTGTGCAACAACTGCCCAACAGACACAAATAACACAATAAGCCCTCCACTACCAATCCTTTACCACAATCCAGTACGGTCCAATACTGTCCCACAACATAGACCGCTATCACATATTTTTCTACATCATTTTCTTTGCATCAGCATTGACTAGTCACAACGCACTCCATGTGGGCCATCCATCTGTATCTCAACAACAAAAGAAAAAATAACAGCTATCATTTGCACATCGAAGATTGCATTCCCCATTAATTTATACGACTGACAGATTGCCTAGGTATATAATAAAATAATCTGATATTAGTCATTCATTTTTTACTCAAGATATAAACACAAAATTCTACATAATTGCGACGAATTATATTGGTACTAGATAAGGTTCAAATTAAAGAAAATCGAATTCCAGTCAACAAAATATTGTTATTAACCGACATTTGTAGACATTTAGTGATCTTTGAACTAAAAATATCATCCTTTTTTGGTCAAGAAATGTATTTTGTTGTAAGTAAAAATGTAATTTTGGTTTTATTAAACTGTTTTAATACACATTTCAGTTAATAGTGTTATTACATATACATACAATGATTTTATTTTGTTCTTGAATGTGCTATCTGCCTTTTGTATAACTAGGTTAAATATATGCTTTATAAGTATGTACGTCCAAAAGTAAAACGCTTTGTATATTTTTAAAATATAACGCGCCGCAATGTCTTGTGGTTTTTTCTTCTGTATTTTTTTTTGTCGTATTGTTTCGTTACAGTTTTACTTAAACAACATTTGATTACATACCTATCAATATTATATATGTAATGGTATATATAATGCAGTTATTGCAGATATTTGTCGTAATAGATTATGAATTAGTGTTTATATTACTGTTGCTTTTTTATTTTCTTATGAAAAATTGGGCTTGAGTTTGTTGTTATATTGTGGCTCTTGCGTTTGGTGGCTAATACATCTCTTGTGAATGTGACAGTGTGTGTGAGTGTGTGTTTACATACATACATATATATCTATATATATATATTAAACATAAGGTATTTTAATCAAGTCAGTTTCATTTGTATTTTTTTCTTATTACTTCTTTTTTTTGTGGTATTACAGAATGCGAACGCGACAAATCTTTAAATTGTTATGTTTTTTTTTTTGTTTGCTTTGTGTGGTTTTTATTGATGTTTTTGATTGTTTTACTTATTATCTCAGTATCACATATGTTTCCTCAAAAAAAGCTAAGTATGTGCTTTGAGACGATACAAAACGTACGGAAACATATCTATTAACAATTACACAGGCTTTTCCATAGAACTAATAGCAAAAAAAAAATTGCAAAAAGACTTTACACAAGAAAGGAACAGGTTAATTTCATGAACTTAGATTATTAGTAATTTTAATTTAGCTAAAGCTGTAATGTGTGCTGGGTTCGGTTTCTGAGCGAGTGTGTATGCGTGTGTGCAGGTGTCTGTGTGTGTGTGTGGGAAGATCGCTTTTAAATGCATGTGCTGGATTAAACATAACTATCCTTAGTGTTGAATTCAACATATACATTAAGTTATTTATTGTTTAATATTAGCAAAATGCACCCAAAATATTGCTCGCCACGTCTCCCAAAAACCCAGATTCCAAAAGTCTAGATGTCATCTATGAGACGACCCTCAATTACCGAAGAGTGATGATAGTTGGGACGCGGTCTAAAGTCCTCGTTCTGTTCATTCAATTGTGTGGGCGATAGATCCACACCCGGGCAAGAGGGCGTCACCACAATCTGCTCATACTCGTGCATACGTTTCCTGTAATTAAGTTGAGTCGTCAAATTAGTACAGACTTTTATTTTCAAATCAAATCAAGCTTAATATTAAATTGTATTTTAATGAATGTGGCTTTTTAAATCATTTTATATTTCCGAGTTAGTCCTGCATTTATTTTCCACTTACCCGAAGCATCGGAAAATGACGCTTTTGAGCCAACCGAAAAAGTTGAACTCGGCGGTCAGGCCAGGCTTGAAGGCGGGATTAGCTGTGCCCACGTAGAACCACACGACAAATACGACCAAAAAACAGGTTAAGGCATAATACCAGTTCACCAGCAGCATTACCAGCAGCTTGGTGAGCGCCTGCACGTTAGATTAGATAGATTAGATTAAGACGCACCTGCAGAGTTTACAAAATTTGTACTTACGCCCAGCAACGAAGCCCAGCGATTGCAGAAGCCCGAGTACCAGTTTTTCGTCTTGGAATGTATAGGCGGGCGAATGGGGGCGATGGGCTCATTCTCATCTCCTAACTCGCTGCCGGCCTGTGCCGTTGATGGATCGACGACCAAGTCAGTGCTGTCCGCCGTCGCTACGCCTTCGACTGCGGCAGGCGAAGTGCTAGACGCTGGCGCATTGAAATCTACAATATTCTCCATAGGCACTGGTGGCAATGTCTGCGCTTGATGCATCGGTGAGTTCTGTGGACTCTGCAAGTTCTTGTGGCGCACCCGATCCGGAAAGAGCAAATCTAGATCATTCCCACCATCCGATACGCTGCCATAGCGACGAGTCTCATAGCTCGGACTCGAAGCCTGTATACGGAAGCGTTCCTCGCGCTGCTCCTGTATGTCAAAGGTTTGCGCTAGTGCGAAATATGCGTAGTCTATACAAGCGTACGTCATCAGGAATGGCATCGTCACAATGGGCGCCAGAAAGTTAATGTCGCCTACGATAATGAAGGTGACGGTTACCACAGCCACAACGGCCATTGCGTACAGCGGCACCTTGTTTGGGCCGCGCTGTTCGAATTAAAAAGAAAAGGAATGAAACAGTGTGTGAGCGAGAGGGAGACAGAGGGCCATGCCTATATGCTGTTTAAATACGTCTGCTTCAGCGCAATACGCATTTCTACTTACACCCTTGCCGAGCAGATCAATGCCGGGGATGACATTCTCCTTGGCAATGCTTTGCAGGACACGCGGCGTCCCGTACATGGCACCCAGGCAGGAGGACATGCTGGACACATAGATACCAGCGAGCAGCAAAAAGTGAACGGCCGAAACCTTCACGGAGATCATAAAGTCAGTGTATAACGTGACGCGCTTGCATGTGGCACCCAAAAATAGCACAAACACCATATACAGAAATGTGCTGCAAAGAAAATCAGAGAATGAGAGATGTGGAAATTGAATAACTATCAAGGGGCAAGACTTACGATGTGCCAAAGGCGGCCAGCGTGCCATTGGGAATGTCCGTGGAGGGAGCACGCAAATCGCCGCTCATATTGATGCCGGATAGGACGCCAGTGACTGTTGGAAAGAATACGCCAAAGACACGAAACCATGAATAACCATTTTCATATTTTGGCCAAAGGTTTTCCACAAAGTTGCCGCTCATCCAACCATCGAAGCCATTATCTGCAATATGCAATATACAATGAGCTGAGTCAATTTAAACTTAAAGTAATTTGAGTGTTACCCGGATCTTCGCCAATAAAGCTACCGACCATGAAATCCAGCGCTGAGATGAGCAGAATCATGAGCAGTATAAACTGTAATTTGATCACCCACTTGACACCAGCCACATTAATGCAGCCGAGCAGCAGAACGGCTGCCGTTGCAAAACCACGAATTGCCCACTTGTTGCCCTCGAGTCCTACCAATCCGGCCATCGATTCGCCAAAGCCCATCACATTGAGTGCACAGCCAACGGCCTGGCCAAAACAGTACAGCAGACCGAGTGCCCCACCAAATCGGGAGCCCAACGTGTGTGCAATCAGAAAGTAAACACCGCCACTTTCCACGCGACACCGCTCACAGATCCCAATGGCCGAAAGTACACTAACCAAAGCAATGACCACGGTGCAGAATATAATGAGCACAGCATTTATGATGCCTGCCTGAGCGACAATCCAACCGGAGCGCAGGAATACAATAACACCGAACACATTGATCAGGCAGGAGGTAAAGACGCCATCCCAGGTGCCAAATAACACCGGTTGCGAGATGAAAAAGTTTGAGCGCCACCTGTTGAGCGACAGGAACATTCACACAAATGAGGCGAGTTACATATATAAAGATATCTATATTTATATATATATATATTTTTTTTTTTGTACTGACCAAGGTTTGTCGCCCTGTTCCCCGGCAAAGATTTCATTCGCGCCGGACGCATGATGACCGCCCGCTGCGTACGTGTACTCATTGCCAAGATCCACAAAGCCGCCAGTGTTGTTGTTGCTGCGTTGACGAAAATTGGCAACGGTTATCTCGCCATCGTCGTCACCGCCAAGACCGAATCGCTGCCAATCAACGGTGCGTCTATTGCCGTTACTTTCTACGTTATTACTCATACTCTTGCTTGTTGTTGTCGACCCTCCTCCTTCCACCACCCCCGCTCCAACAGCTTTCGACAATAGTATTGTCGAATTGTTGCTGTTGTTTTTTCTTTTTTGGTTACCGTATTTATTGGCACTGCGTTCGCTCCGTTTGACTATGTGCGCGAGTTGACGAGTTGATTGCTAACTGCTCAAAGACAATCGTAGCCACAAACTGATTTGTTATCCAATGGCCAGAAGTGTTTGTTGCTGTTGCTGTTGCTATATTTGTTTATGGTATCCAGAACGCATCCACGCAAGCAAATTGACCAAGTTGGATGTTTAGCGCCGATTTGGCTCACTTACAGCTCGCACGTGCAACAGCGTCATAAATAATAGTAAATTTACAGTGTCACTAAACAATTTGGCTGCGATTCTCAAATGCGCATAAAAGTTAAATAAAAACACTTCTCTCATACACATGCATACATATATATAAACCTCGCGCAGCTCATCATCGATAACTTGCCATTGCAATTGTCGTTGTGTTAGCGATAATAATCTGGCTGTCAGCGCGCGCGCTTATTTAGTTTCTGTGTCTACATTTTAAGATAAATACAAGCATGCATAGAAAAGAGGTTAGTTAATAATTCATATCATTTAGTTATTTTTGTTTTATCATTATTTAACTGATTTACTGTTCGAAATTAATATCAACCTTCGATAATGAACAAGATATCGATTACCTTTATAAATGTATGTAAACTCACTCGATGTATGGACATAAGCATCGATGCTACGATTTTTCGATGCATTAGCTTCAAAATTCATGTTATCGATGTATTTACATCCAAACATCGATATCATCATCAGTCAAATATCTGGGTGCATGGAGATTCTGTTGCACGTGCTAATATTTTGTTGGTTTATTTAAGCTTCGACAACATGGGCAAAAAACCGGAGAAATCGGTTAAGCCGAAAGCTAAGCCCAAAAAGCAGGAGCACCCAACAATTTCAACCAAAACATCAAATGCAGACTCTGAAGCGACCGGCATTTGGAAAGATGCCCGTTTTCAGCATCTGCTGGCCGATCCGCGCTTTCGCGGCGTTCCCAAGGTGCAGCGCAAAGTTAAGATCGACAAACGATTTCAGGGTATGTTCGATGATGAAAAGTTTAAGGTCAAGTACACCGTGGACAAGTACGGCAGGCCAGTGAACAAAACAAACGCCGAAGATTTGCGAAAATTCTACGAGCTTGACGACAACGAGAGCTCCGACGAGGATGTGAATGAGCAGGCGGAGAACAAGGCGAAAGCATCCAGTGAGGATGAGGAGCGTCGCGCCGAAGAGCTGGCAATCGCACGCGACGAGCTGTCCAACACTGCACCACAGTCAGACAGCGATGATAATGACGCCGAGCTGCCCAAGAATTTGCGCGAGCGTCTGACGAACCCAAATATTGATTATGCCCGTGGCGAGGGTCGTCTGATGACCGACTCCTCGGATGACGAGAGTAGCGATGAGGATGGCGAAGCAGGACCTGAGCTGCAGATCGATCATGTCTGGGGCGAGCTGGATATCGATGCAGAATGTACAGAGGAGTCCACACGTCGTTTGGCCGTGTGCAACATGGACTGGGATCGCATACGTGCCGAGGACTTGATGGTGCTGCTCAGTTCATTTCTGCCGCCAGGCGGCAGTGTTCTAAGTGTTAAGATCTATCCCTCCGAATATGGCAAGGCGCGCATGGCCGAGGAGGATGTGCACGGTCCCACGGAGCTGGTGAACGCCAAAGCCGAGAGTGATCTGGATGATTCGGATGAGGAGCTGGTGCGCGAACAGGACAGCGATGCCGAGGAGGGTGACGACTATCACATGGAAAAACTGCGCCAATATCAGCTAAATCGCTTGCGATATTACTACGCCGTCGTGGAGTGCGACAGCGTCGGCACAGCGGAGAAGGTGTATCGCGAGTGCGATGGCATCGAATACGAGAGCTCTGCGACACGTGTGGATCTCCGCTTCATACCGGACGACACGAGCTTCGAGGAGGACATGCCCACCGATGAGAGTTATGAGCTGCCCGATGCGAGCAACTATAAGCCGCGACAGTTCACAACGACGGCGCTGCAGCAGGCGAAAGTGGATTTAACCTGGGACGAGACGGCGCTGGACAGACGTGAACTTGGAGACAAGCTGTCCAGCGGCAAGGTAGAACAGTTAAATGATAAGGAGCTCCGTCAGATTGTTGCTTACAGCAGTGAGGAGGACGAAGACGAAGATGAAGTTGAAGCGGAAGTGGACAGGGAGAAGGAGCAGGATGTGGAACCGAAGCTGAATAAGCTGCCGGCGGCAGCTTCGAAGCATCTCAAGCAAAAGGAGCGCATTGAAAAGTATAAAAATCTGCTAGCCGAAATCAATGCCCAGGAAAAACAATCGAAGGAGAAAGATTACGAAATGGAAATGTCCTGGAATGTTGCTGAAGCCGCCAAACCGAATGAGGTCAAAGAACCTATGGGCGGCAGTGGCAGCGGCAGCAAAGCTCATCTGACACCCTTTGAGCAGGTGCTGCAGAAGCGCAGCGAGAAGAATAGGCTGCTCAAGGAGCAGCGTCGTCGCATGAAATTGGAACGGATTGGCATTGATCCCGATGAGGCAGCACCCTCTAGCGATGAGGATTTCATACCCGATGGCATTGATATGAACGATTCCTACTTTGCCGATGAGTTCGCCAATGGCGATTACGAGCAGCCCAAAAACACTAAGAAGTCCAAGTCGCTGAAGCAAAAGCCCAACAAATCGACGCCGAAGGATGAGGAAGCGGAGGCGCAACTGGCGCTGCTGCTGGATGATAATGACGATGATGGGCAGCCCAAGCAACACTTCAGTCTGACCAAAATCCTAAAGGAGGAGCAGACGAGCAGCAGCAAACGCAAGCGACGCAAGCAGCTCAAGAAATCAAAGAGTGGCGATGGCAAGCCAGCGCAGGACGATGATTTCAAGGTGGATCTCAATGATGAGCGCTTCAATGCCGTTTACAAGTCCCACGAGTACAACATTGATCCCACCAACTCCAATTACAAGGCCACCAAGGGAATGCAGCAGATAATTGGCGAGAAACTAAAGCGTCGCCACCAGCAACAGTCACATCCCGAGCAGCGCGCGAATAACGTCGAACTGGAGCCGGCACAGAAACGGTCCAAGCAGAAGCTAGAGCAGAGCGCGCTGGTAAAGAGTCTGAAGTTGAAGATTCAACAGCGCAAGGTGTAATTAATATGTGCTTATAATATTTAAAATATGTAGATCTATCTAGTAATAAAGCTAACAATGTTTACATAGTACTTATATATCCCAACCTTAACCAAGACACAGAATATGATGGGAGGAGGGGGAATGGCGATGATGACAATTATGGAATGATATTACAAATTAATAATTATAATTAAAGTACTGGCCGTAAATGGTGAGTGTGATGTGCGGATCCAGACATATCAGATCGGGCAGACAGATGCGTTGCTCCGACTCGTAAACGACCATCAGTTCGCAGAGGCGCGCCCAAATGGGATCGTAACGTTGCCGTATTAGCTGACAGTTGAGCTTGGGCCGTGTCATCGACTTGACAACGCTGCGAACGTGCTCGAACGGATCGTTTGGCTTGAGCAATGCCAGAAAGGGATTGCGACCAATGCACAGCTCGTAGAGCACCAGGCCCAGCGACCAGATGTCCGATTTGAAATCACATTTGGCCCCACACATTATCTCTGGCGCCATATAGAGCGGTGTGCCGAGCACCTGCCACGGCTGCTGCTTGGCGGGCGTATGCACATTCGATATGCCAAAGTCGGCGAACTTGACGCGATCATTCGCGTCCAGCAGCATGTTCTCCGGCTTGATGTCGCGATGGATTACGTGACGGATGTGCAGATACTCCAGGCCCATGATCATATCGCTAAAGTAACGCAATATCCTCGACTGATCCAGCGCACCACCATCACCGCCAGCTGACTTTGATCCAGCCCGTTGGATAAGGTCGCGAATGGTGCCGTTGGGTGCATACTCCATCACAATATTGACAGTGCCCAGGTGCATGAAGGAGCGTATGAATTGCACAATATGCGGATGTCGCAGCTGTGAAATGATATAGATCTGACAATTCGACGCAATTAGTTAGCTGTCTGTCTCTGATAAGTAAGTAAGTGATCTCTTATGGTGTACCTCCTCCTTAATTAGAGCTAGCTCACTCTTCGGATTTCGCACAATGATGCGCTTGACGCACACTTTGCGCTGTTTTTGACCCTCGCGTTGCAGGCAAAGGAAGACGCGCCCAAAGGAGCCCTCGCCCAGCACCCGTACGGTCAACAGATTGGCATCACCCAGATTCATGGCACAAAATTCGTATCTTTTTCTATATCGTTTCGCATACAGCCCAAAAGTTTACAGTTACATTTCATGCAGCGCGCGCAATCTCGATAACAAAGCATTACTGTTATCGAACTGGGCAAGCAGAGTTCGTTTTCGCACATTTATCGAGAGCTTAGCGAGGGGTACTCATCTGGCAGGGTCGGTGCCGAAGTGAGCGGGGCCCCTCTGCCATTATGAATCACTGATCGGCTAATAGGATTCAGTCCAGCAATACAGTACATATAATTAAAGTTTATTTGGAAAACCCAGTTTTTTTAAATATTTTTTTCTTTTTTTTTTAATGACATTTATTAGCAAACAGTAAATTATATACAAATTTGAAATTTTCAAGTTCATATATTTGCTAGAAAACATTTTTTGAAAACACACATATTTCCCATAGAACAAGTTGGACACGAGAATGTAAGATCATTAAGTTATTTGTTTTGTTTTCGCTCATTGTTTAATATGTATTTGCACACACACATAGAATTAATTGGTATTTTGCTAATTGGTTTACTTATCGATAATGTTTCTAGTGAATACTGCAATAGCACTAAACAAAACATGTTCACTAAACTTAAAAACAAGTTGTGGAAATATATCATGCAAAAGTTTCGTATTTCAAATTTTAAAAAAATATATAAAGAAACAGAGATAGCGAAATTAGTCATAATACTTAAGCCTAGTTTGATACTCGGAGTTTTAACGTTTTTTCTTGTTGTTCCATTTTTAATAACAAGATGCGCAATTATTATTACGTGTCTTGAATTGTTGTTACATGATTTGTGTTTTTGGAAATAGCAGTTCAATATTCAATACATATATTCATCACTAAAGAACTAAAGGCAAACCTAAACAATTAATTATTAAGTATATGGTATATGGTATATATAGTATGTACTTTTAGATGTATGTATTGTATGTAAAACAACCCAAATCAGGGGTTTGCATTTTCTATTTTCATTCTGTTTTTTGGTACAGTTTATCTATGCTGGTTATACGACTTATGATGGCAGACAACATGCCATTTACGCCGCCTTCTTCTTCTTAAACTTATTCTTAAGAAGGCCGGGCAGCAATGAGGCGCACGCACAAAGCGATAAGATGCCCATGGATGTCCAGGAGAATGCCTCACTCGAACTGCTCATCTTCTGTAGCGTCTTGCCCGCCTGGATGGCAATCACAGACGGTGGCGCGACGCCGCAGAAGGTGCCTAGCGCGAAGATATGCAGAGGCACGCCGATGACTGGTGAGGCGAGATTGATGAACCAGTTGGGTAGTATCGGGGTCATGCGCAAAAATAGCATATAGTTGAACAGACTGTCGCGATACTCCTCGACGTGGCGGGACCATTCGCTTGTCTTCTTTGGCCAGAAGTGTCGGATGAGACGCCTTCCGACCAGATTGGACAGCGTGTAGCAGAGCGTGGCGCCCAGCGCCGAGCAGAAGCAAATCAGGAACAGTGCGATGGGAAACTTGTAGAGGAATCCAAGTAAGATTGACAGGAATAACGAGCCAGGAATGGCGAATGTTTGTAGGCTATTTGAAACGTATTCAATTAAAGTTAACCAAATCGTCAATGTCAATAAAACAAATAGTAAACAACGCATGCATAAATACTTATTGCCAGGGGGCCTAAACACAGATCACCTGATAAAATGACAATTGGCTGGGCTAAAACCATAGACTATTTATAGTTAAGTAACACACGTTGACAATGACATTATCATCTTCGTTCCCACACACCTCACCGCCCGCGTATATCCCAAGAGCCTACGACGTGCCAGCAAGCAAACGAACGATAACAGAAAATGGCAATTATAACGTTTTCTCTAGATACAATATATATATATATATAAACATATTTTTTGTCTGTTTTTTCGTACGTATATTCAACAACGTGCTGCTACAGTCTTCGCTCGACAAATCCAATTTGCCAAATAATTCCAATAATGTTTATTTTCGTGAACATTGAAAAATTGTTCATCATTTTACTATCAGAAATTGAGAACTTGTTTAATAGTAATTTTTTTTAGAAATGTTAATTATTAGCTAATTGGTCAACTGTAAAAGAGAAGCGTTCAAATTAATTAGCGTTCACTGTATTACATTTAGCGTCTGCTTTCTAGCTCAACATTTTTGGGGCCTCGTGTCAAAACACATACAATAACAAATTTAACGGCTAGTCGAGTTTTATATTCGAAACCCAACACGAAATATCGTTGAAGAATAAATATATATATATATACATATGTATGTATGTATATACATGGATATATATATTTTTTTACATTTGCAAATAACAAACAAATATGCACTACACAAACAGAATATTGCAAAGACGTACGATACGTAATAATTAAGCAAGTAACATGTGGCAAGTGCTTTACAAATTCAGCAAAAACTCAACAAAAAGTGGTTGGTGAAATTGAAATTGCAAAGCCAGCTGCTTTGACTAATTGCAAAGCAATAAACACTTTTACAAGTGTATTTACATATACAAATACATGCACATTTTTGTGCTTTCATTGAAATGAATAAGAGGGACGCAAAAGAAAAACACAAAAAAAAAAAAAGCAAACTGCTCTCAGCTGTTTTTGAGATTAGACACACAGGTTCACACACACACACGCGCGAACAGAACACGTCACACTTTTGTATGCATGTGTATGTGTGTGTGTCGGGGCTTTCTTGTTTATAAACGTGCGTTGAATGGCCGAGAAGGCAATTCCACAAGAGCAAAAGATTTATGTATGCGTCAGCATTCGGCTCTCTTTGGCTTTGGCAAAAGCAACAGCAGGAGAGACCCACACACACACACATACACACACCACCACCACCACAATTGGTGACCAATGAAGAATGCAAAGTGCACTTGTCCCGTTCATCAGCTGATCTTCTCGTGCATATTTCTCATTCTCAACACACACTCTCTCGCTTTGTTGCTGTTGTTGTCGCCGTTCTTTATGTTATTTTGCTTCCGATTTGCAGCCGAAACGGCGACGTCGATGCCCAATGTTAATATGCGTGGCCGTGCATAATATTATAGAAATTGACATGTGTGTTAGTGTTTGTCTGTCTCATAGTGGCCGTCGTTGACCGTGAATGTGACTATGGCATACACACACACACACACGCGCGCGGCACTCGTTTTTGGTCTAAACTATCCATTTGGAGAGTTATTTAAAAACAGGTCAAGGTTGGAAGTACGTGTTGAACACACGAAGCGTCAAGCGTGATGCGCAGGCGCTGTTATCTAATCAGGCGGGTGTTTGCCTGTGTGTGCATAAGTACAACAATAACAATAACAATACATTTGAATCGTATTAAATACGATTTAGCAACTCAACTGACACTTAACTGAGTCGCAGATTATCATTAATCTAGTTCTTTCGTTTAGCTAAATTAGTTTACAACTGCGACTCAATTGAACAAGAGAGCGAACGAATGAGCGAACTAAAGAGAAAAAACCAAAAGCGACTGCGGTGAATCACACACAATTTATGTAGTCTGCAACTAATTTACATGCATGCGTCAATTGTTTTGTTGTTTGCATATGAAAAGGATACAATACGTAGGCGACAACAACGCCGAACATCACTTCAAAGTAATACATGTCCTTATAGCGATCCAGGACTTTCGCTAGCATCTTAGCATCTTGTATATCACGTGGTATTTTCAAATGTTGCTTCTCAGTGCTGTAAAAAGTAAAAAGTAACAACCACACACACACACATACACAATTAGATACATTAAATACATTTGTAATACATGCACGAGAGTTGATCTGACTGTGTTGTGTGTGTGTGTGTGAATGCAAAGTGGCGTGACTTGAGTCAAGCACACAAACAAGCTCAAAGCGCACCACAAGCACAGCTGGTAACATTTTCAATAATATAAATCAAGTGTGTATATGTGTGTGTGTGTGTGTGTGTGATCAACTCGATACTCACGCATTCAATTCGGGAAATATTGCATAGACATAGAACATGGCTAGCAGACTGGCAGCGAATATTGCAACAACAATGACTAGAGATTTCTTGGTTGCTTTTCGCTCGTCCGCAGACATTGCCTCTTTCTGTGGCGTTGTTGCTGCTGGCTGTTGTTCCTGTTGTTGCTGCGCCTGTTGTTGTTGTTGCGGCTGTTGAGTTTGCTGTTGTTGTTGTTTCGGTGGTTTATACGTGCCATTTTGAGTGTTCCTCGCGCGCAGGTTTAGCATCTTATCAGCAATCTCTGATGAGCGAGAGTGAGAGGTCGCGATTAACAACGGGGGAGGAAGAAGGGGTTAAGGTGACTTACCGTTGTCGACGCTGTTATCGCTAATAAGTTTCACGTTGTTGCTGCTGCTACTGCTGGTGTTCTCCGCTTTGCAAGACATTCTCGTGTCGGATCAAGCACTTTCTGCTTCCGCGTTTGCTTTTGTTTTGCAAGCTTTTCAGATTGCAACGCCACTAAATGTATCAACTATTGTTCCGCTGTTGTTGTTGTTGTCGTTGTGAGTGTGAGTGTTTGCGCGCCAGCAATAGTCGCATCAACTATCTCTCTCTGTACAAATAAAAATTAATCGATAAGACACTGCTAAAAAAAAACACTGCCCTAATGCCAATTTGCGAAAAAATTTGAAATTTTAATTAAGCTACATGTGGGCTGGTTACGCGCTTAAACAATGCATTTGTCCCCTATCTTTCAACAACTCATGTTTTTCAATTTATATTTATTAATTTAACAACGAGCTCACTTCCACTTTTGTGTTTCGCGTAACACTCCTCTCAATGTGACCGGAGACGACCAACGACCAAAACACTAACTGTTTGGGCTTGAGCTGAGCAACACTAAAATACTAAAATACTGACGCGATATTAGTAATATAAATATCAGAAAGCAGTGCGCACAACATGTTCTGTTGTTCGCTTACAGCTATGTTAACGTTTCAAATACCGCTGCGTTTCAGCATGACTTAAATTATTTTAACAGCCATCATTAACATATTTTAATACTCGGATAATGATCGGCATATACATATATAAATATATTTTGGCCAGACACTCCACCCTTTCAGCCACCATGTCATGCCCAAAAATCGGAAAAGCCTTTATAATCCACAAATATTATGTCGTGAAGCTTGCATCACATTGAAGGAAATATCTGCGGCATCGCATAGACTCTTGATAAGCATCGAAATAACCAATTTTCTTGTTCACGTCCATTGCCGTCCCAAAAAATCACCTACAATTTTAGAGGCGAGTTCACAAATTAAAAAAAAAGACGCCTACCTTCAACACCCCTAACCCCCCGCCTACCATCAGCTCTGCAAAGAAGTCAATTGCACCCTTCTCACTTGATTTTAATTTTGTTTTATTCACAACAAAAATATACATTTGACCCTCATTTAACCATTTTTAAAAAGTGGGTAATTTGTAATTTCGTTTTGTTTTTCTTTTTGTCGTGTGTTTTAAGAGCGACTGCGCTTCTTTTTTTTTTTATAAGTGTATGTGTATGTGTATATAGCTAAAGCTATTTCTTGGAACTCTCGTCTCTCGTTTTTGTGTATTACATTAATTTATATTATAATCTAGATAGCCAATATGCGTTAATTTATAAAACTGTTCTTAAGAACTGTCCGCCATTTACACACCGTGTCTACCTGATATTGATCATATTGTTGATGTCTCTCAGAAATCCGCTTTACTTTACTCGAGCACTTCTCTAATGTATGTGGATGTGGCTATGTATGCTAACCTTCTTACAGCTTTTATTGTTTTTGTTTGTTTGTTTTTTTTGTTTGTTTTATTTATTTTTTTGTTTTGGCTCTTAGATGTTTTGTAAATGGGCGTCGTCTCTTCTAATAAAGATTATCAGTGTTCGATGAGCGCGGCTTCTTCAGCTTTTCCAGATTCTTAATAACAATGTCGTGTAGTGAGGAATAGCGATTGCGCACCTCGCAAACGACCAGCCACAGGCTGAGATACTCCTTCTCGTCCAGCTCGACAACGGCGCGCCTGTAGTCATCGATGTGCGGATACTTGGCCACCTTCGAGACAACCTTGGCACGGGTGAGAAAGTATCTCGATATCTGATCGAAAAAGGCGGCGGCCTCTGACTCAACAGTCTGGATCTCGGCCAGCGTATCCTCCTGAATTGAGACACCGAAATTGTTGCCATCCTCGATTTTGGGTATCATAAATGAAATCCACATTTTAAGCAAGTTCGCTGAGAAATGGACGTTAGTTATCATTATGTGATGGATGGATCAATATCGTTGATTACTTACAGTCCTCGACGAGCTTTCGTATGATGGGCTTCACCACCTTGATCATTTCACAGAGCGGCTTATTGCACGGCACCGTGCCACTGGGTATACCCAATACCGCTGTGCCGGAAATGTTGTCATCTTTGCGGGCACGCTTGGGCACTGGGGAATCGTTGACGGTATCGCCGGCGCCGCCGCTATCGTGATTGTTGACCAATATGGGTGTCATTACCGGAATGTTCAGATCCTGATGAACCTCGCTAAAGTTGCGTTCATTGAACATGGGCGTAGCGAGAAGTTCATTCAGTTCCACGATTTTCTCGGGGAAACCTTTTGTAATTAGGATCTCCGCCTTCGTGATAAGAGAGTCCTTGTACTCCTGCACCTTGCTAATCGTATCCTTAGTCATTGTTATCGCTCACTGCACACACTAACCAAGCAACCAATTAACTTTCAACCGTAACCAAATCACAAAATCACCGGTCGTTTTGTCGCTTATATTGCAAGAGTAGCGCGTGCTTCACGTTCTGCCACTTGCGTTGGATCGAAAGGCGAGTAATTGCTCGTCTGACAGCGTGCACTATTCAAATAAACGAATGTATACAATGCAGCGTTGTACAATGCGTGTGTGTCTGTTTATGCTGTATTTGGAATACGCTTTTCGCCCATTACTTACCAAAAAAAACTCTTGAATGCTTTTAATGCGGCAGTCGGCTTGTCCACGCTTATATTTTATGACTCTGGCTGTGGTGAAATTTACAGTATTGTAAAACGCGAACTGATCAAAACAGTGCTGCTGACGATACAATAAGAGTAAAAATTGACGATATATCTTCTTTTTGATTTATTGCAGCGGGAAACAACGAATTGAATTATACTTTTATATCATCAAGAACTTTGTCAGATTTTCGGCCCTTATTTTCCAAAAGTAAACATATCTCTATTTGATATATAATATTACTTGTATATGTCACGACCAATATTCGCAAAAATTCGCTGTAATTTACTATCGAATGGCGCACTATCGATATATCGATATGAGATCGATTCCCAGTGTAAGTAGCTCAGCATATAGCAAGAGTACGGACATGGGTAATAAACAAATAAAACAACATCTGGAGACAGCACAGAAGACGGGAGTGCTGAAAATCTCATTACAACGACTGCAGGAGTTCCCACCGCAGCTGAAGACCTATCCCAATGTGCTGAAGACGCTGGATTTATCGCAGAATCGATTCGAGCACATACCCGACGAGCTGGGCCGTCTCACTCTGTTGAAGCATCTAAATCTGAGTGGCAATCGCCTGACCGATCTCAATGAGGTGGTTGGCGAACTGATCAAACTGGAGGTACTACTTCTAATGGACAACCTATTAACAAAGCTACCCAAGGCGCTGAGCAATTGCACGCATCTGAAAACGGTCAATCTGAGCAACAATCAGTTGAAGCACTTCCCATCAATGCTCTGCGGTCTGAGGCAGCTGGATGTGTTGGATTTGTCGCGTAATCAAATAACCGAAGTGCCCGCCGAGGTGGCGAATCTGTATGTGACCGAGCTGAACCTCAATCAGAACCAAATATCATCGGTAGCCGAAGAGATTGCCGATTGTCCCAAGCTAAAAACGCTGCGGCTCGAGGAGAACTGCTTGCAGGCGAATGCTCTAACGCCACGCATACTCAAGGACTCCAAGATATGCAATCTGGCGGTCGATGGCAATCTGTTTAACTCCAAGCAGTTCACCGATCTCGACGGCTACGATGTCTACATGGAGCGCTACACGGCGGTCAAGAAGAAGATGTTCTAAACAATTGCGTTACATACATAAATACATAAACTTATACAAATACATATATATATTTATAATAATATATATTATTTAATTTAGTAGCTTAATTCTATGATTTCTGTGTAATTCCAAAAAAAAAAGAGTAAACATATTGCACTTCTAGAAACACCAACTCTGCCATACTCTGTTCTGTTCCCAGTGGAAGATTGAGTGAGATGTGACCAAATTTACATCTCTCATCGTATTCACCAAATGCGGCTCACAGTTTGCCCTTAAGCAGTGGCTTTAGATGTGTTTGATAGGTGGCATTGACGGGTTCCTGGTTGAGTGGATTGCGACGCGCCTCTTCCATTAAGCGCTCATAGACACGACCATCGTGACAGCCTAGTGTGGAGCCGAGCACGCGATCATCGAAATCAAAGCCATCGACAATGGCAACCGCATTGGAACGCAGTGCAGCCAGCAGTTGTTCGTAGCGCTGCTCCAGTTGCTGCAGCTGCTCAGCCCCAATGCTGTTCCACTTGAGCACGGCGCCCAATTGGCGCAGGCACGTGTCTAGCACAAACAGCTCCACCAGCTGCTGCAACACCTCGCCCAGCTGCGGATTGACGCAACGTTTCAGCTCCAACATTTGGCGCATGGAGTTGCGCACCAGTTGGACGTGTCCGTGCAGCGTTGCCGCCGCTATCAATCGTCTTCCGGCCAAATTTGTGGCCTGCTCTTCGGTGTGGCCACCACGCGTGCGCTGCTCCAGCTGCCACTGCCATGCCTCACGCACCTGTTCCGTGGCGCTAATCTCCAGCGCACGCGCCACATTCTCCAGCAGATCGCTGCCCCAGCTCAACTGCGCTGCATTGCGCAAATAGCAGATGCTGGCGGGCAGCTCCTTCTTTGCATTGGCATTGGCATACTGGCGCATCAGAAAGCGAGCTGTCTGCAGCAGGAGCACAGTGTGCTCACCCTCGTAGGTGAAGGCTGCGCAGGCCAAGCCATGGATGCTGTCAAAGTTGGCCGAGGCCATATACCCATGGCCGCCGCACGATTTGCGCAGCACATCGATACCATCGACGGCGTCCTGGGTGCACACGGACTTTAAACAGCAGCTGAGCGCATGCAGCTCAGCCAGCTGACCCTCTCCCCCTCCAGGTGTTCCCTTCCCCTTTTCCGTTATCTGTTGCATGGTGCGCTGATAGAACGACCACAAATCATTCGCAGCGAGCCGATAGCAAACGCCGCGCGCAATTTCCGGCAGAATCTTCGCCTGCTGCGTCAAATGATTCAAGATTTGCGGCTCCGGTGCATTCGGCTCAATGGGACTCTGGCGACGCACGGCGGCATAGCTGGAAGCGGAAGCGGATGGGTAAGATGGATTGAAAGGGGAAATCGTATATATATTGATAGATTTGTTGGAGCACTTACCGAGTGGCTATGGTTGCCGCTTGGAGCAGCCCAAACATCACGTCGCGCACAATCATGACGCGCACAAAGACCATGGTGCCGTAGACGAGAAGAGGCTGCGATGCCTTCACGAATCGTCCATCGGCGAGCACTTGGGCATGCTGCATTAGCATCTGGTTGCGTGGTATGCGCACATTGCGAAAAGCCAAGAAACCATTGTTGACACCGTTGGCGCCCAGCTTGGGCCCAATGTCACCCACATCGATGCCCGGCATCGGCTGGTGCGTCTGCTCATCCCTAATCCGCACCAGAAACTGCTGCAGTCCATGATGCTGTCCGCGTATGTACAGCTGTGCCAGCACCACAACCACATTGGCCGTGTGCCCCAATCCACCCGGCCACCACTTGTAGCCAGTCAGCGTGGGTGTATTGAGGACAAACTCCTCCCGTTCCACATCGTAGTCGGCACGCGTCTCCAGGCCGCGTACATAGCTGCCATGGCCGAGTTCCGTTTGGGCATAGGTACCAATGATACCGTCCAGGCGCCAGGCGCGTCCCAGCCAAAGACGCTGTTGCTCCTCGTTGCCCTGATTCAGCAGTGTGCTCAGAAACATCGAGAAGTGGAGGCGCAGTGGAAAGCTCTGCTGGAACAGCGCCGTGCCCAATGGACCCGACAAGAGCTGTCGGTAATTGTGCAGTGCTTTTATGTCCATAGTCTCCTCATCCTCAGGCCCCTGATGCTGATGCTCCTTCTCCTGATTGAGACGTGTGCGCTGCCACTGACGCAATTTGGCTAGAAATTTGGTGCCCTTGGCAAGAGCATGCTCGTAGCGCTCCTTGTACGACATGCAGCTGGGATGCACTGCATCATCGAATTCGGGATCATCGAAGAAAAAGCGATCCAGCGCACGCCGCTCCTCCAGTTCGGCACGCCCCCCCGCCCACCATACGGCAAAATCTTCGCTGGCTATTGTCGCCGCCTCGCGCTCCCGCCTCAGATCAATGCAGTCGCTCCACTTCTCCATTTGCAACAAGATCCCCTTTCACTTCGGAATGCAATCAAGTTGCGACTACAACTGGTTGTTGGCTTTTGCAGACCCACAAGTTGTTTGCTGTGCTTATGGCCCAGCACTTATCAGCTGTTTGCACACATCAATTTATACTGTATATGTATAAAAATATATGTACAGTGTCTCGCAGTTCAACTGGAACAGCGCCTAGCAAAAAATTTAAAGTGCTATAAGGTTTAAACAAAAAAACTAACGCAAAATGTTTAAATGCCAATTTGTTTTATGTTATATCACGTTTGAAAAGGAAACTTCAGTTTTTATTAAAATATTAATTAATTAACTGAAATTCGTCAAAAACTGAAAACATATCCAAAATACATGTCAAAGTTTTTTTGGAACAGTCTTAGAAAAGTAACATATTAGGCGTATAAAAACTTAAATAAGGATGTTAATACTTAGTATGATATCCTTTAGCCCTAATAAAGTCCCCTAACCTATTATTCATGGAAGATACCAGCTTCCGGGTCGTTTCTGGACTGATTTTGCTCCACTCATCCAGCAGAGCATTCTTGAGATCGGATCTGTGATTCCGGATGGTATTTTCCAGCAGAGCCCACAAATTTTAAATAACATTTAAATCTGGAGACTGGGCCTGTGGAATTATCATGTGGAGGCAGTTCCAGATATGCCAAGACCGTACTAATCCGGAGTTATGCTTGGCTGTTGTCCTGGTCGTTGTCGTGGTAGATCTGTAAAGTACTCCGGATTCCTAGCTTCTCGGCACTTTGGAGTAAATTTTCCTTTAATATATTGAAATACACACTCTTGTCCATTGTTGTTTCAAAGAACACCAAATTTCTGACGCCGGCTTCCGAGATAGAAGCCCATACCATGACACTTCCTCCGTCGTGCTTGACTGTTGCCTTTAGGATTTTGGGACTCAGCTCAGTATTGGACTGTCGCCACACATAATTTTGTCCGTCTGAGCCAAAAATGTTTAATTTGGGCTCATCTTCAAATATGAATGTGTTCCAGAACTCCAAATCCTTGTCCAAGTGGGTTTTGACGAATGCCATCCTAGTCCCTTTATTTTTTGCGCTTATAAAGGGCTTCTTCCGTGGTACTCGGGCATTAAAGTCATGTTTGCGCAGAACCCGGCGCACAGTTTCCACACTGCACTTTTTCCCCATTTCATCCTGCACCTGTTGAGTCAGTTTTGGAGCCGATAGCTTGGGATTTTCCCTTATTTTCCTGATGATCCTCCGCTCCTCCTGTTCGGTGAAAATCTTGTGTGGTGCCTTTCTGCCCTTGTCCTCTATCCGATTTTCGTCGACGAAGCGCCGAATGATATTGAATACAGTTGTGGTACTCAGATTTACCATTTTAGCTATTTGGCGATATGAATATCCAATCCTGAAGTGTTCCAGGATCAGTTTCCGTTGTTCAATGGTAGTCCGCTTGCACATAGTCCTTGTTGGCTGGTTGCACTCGAGATGCAGGATATAACTAATCTGACTACGAAGGATTGGTCTATTTATACCAAAAATAATCAACCTGACGTAAAAAATCTGGGTTTTATGGCACCCAGGTGTCCATAACGCCATTGTTCCACATAATATGTGACCACAAATTAAGGTACTTTTTTACATAACCCGACCTAGCCGGTGGGAAAACCCCAGTTTATGGGGGTCATATAGTCATTTAGGTAGTCAATATATGTACCTGCCATAGTTCTTTGGAATTTTTGAAAAATATTGAATAATTTGTTTATGGCAGGCAATTAACTTTTTTGCTAGGCGCTGTTCCAGTTGAACTGCGAGACACTGTATATGCATGAGATAATTGCTCAACTTTGCACCCCATCTTAAAGGTGATAACATCCATTCAAGTGCGACATTAGTTTCGGGCATTAAATGTACCCGAGCCAATTTTGGAATCACACCCCACAGTTCCCCTCACCTACTCTGGCCAGGTACATTTTTTTTTGCGCAACCGACTGAATTCTTTTATTCGATAGCTAAAGCTCAATCGATGTTGGTTTTTAGGATTTGCAGCCAACATCGGGCAAGGTCACACTGCAAATGTATGGCGGGCAAATTGGCAAATGTTAAACTGCTATCTCGCTTTAACCCATTGCTGCGCACGTTTGATGTCATGAGAATCGCATGGAAGGCTTGTATTCAAATGATATTTAAGTTCAGCAAAGCAAATAAACAAGTTTTTGTTCAGCTTTGCATTTAATTTTCTTTTTTTTTTTTCATTTATTATCGTATGTATATATAGAAAAAGCGACATAGACATTGTTTTTTTTTTTATTTTGTAACTATATATAAGTAGGTGTATACTAATACGTCGAATACTTAATGAGTTGTTCCCGATTTAGAACCAGGCAACTTTAAATCAGCTCATTGTTTTAACTGGGCTATGGATTAACTATTTCGGTAACCGTTATTGTGGCTTGGACACCATTTAAAAGCCTAGAAAAAAAAAACAACAAAAAAACAATGGCACGAGTACATAATATCAAACAGACATCGCATGTAAACATAAATATGTGTATAGTACTATACTATATATATATTAATTGGATTTCATTGTTTATGCCACTCCCAAACAGTCAAACAGAGCCAATAATAGTCGGATCAGTTGTGATCTGAATGTACATAGATGTACTATAATTACAATAACAACTGGGCATAAACTTAACAAAGAAGAAAATCTTGAACGATTTACTTGGACCATATATGTATATATGTATATAGAAAGCTCTGTTGACCGTTTTGGGAATAACATATGTACATATGTATTTAAGTGTAACTCTCGGTGCTATTCAGCAAAAATATGTATTTTATTTGATTTTTATTTATATATATATATTTTTATTTTTTATTGTTTTAGCAGTTGTTAACATAATGTTACTTCATATCATAATTGTCCTGCTCTTATATCTCGTTGTGCTCAATTAACATAACAAACAGTTGCTATATTTTATGTAGACATACAAACAAACACATTCACACTGCCTGCATTACACATACATATACATATATATATATATAATTATAAACATACACATACACACACACACACACAGAGAGAAATAGTATAGGGATTAACAATAATTTCCGAGATCTTCGTTATGCTTATTTGTTGAAACATATTCGTTCGTTATTCTTATTCTTCAACTTGCTAATTTGTTCAGCTACTGCTGCAACTTGCCAGGTGCCTGCCCAGCTTATCAACAGTTCGATTAAATGAAAATTGAAATTTATCTGCCGCTCGCAAAGAACATTGCAATATATACATATGTATATATATATATATATATGTACATACACAAAGGTATATACATACATATCATACATACATATCCTCATTATCGATTTTCGTTATTTGAACATTATTGTTTCAGTTTTATAGTTAAGAGCTTACTATCCATCGTACATACATATATATCGCAACAACTCTGCTGTGCATACATACATACATACATGCATACATACATCATTTCATATATAGATTGCATCGTTTCATATTGTACTACAGACTTTGCACCAACATGTTCACACTAACCCATACACACACATACATACATACATACATACATACATACATCATACATACATACATGGATGCATGCATATGCTTAACACTAAAGTTTACAAAAAGCGCACTAGCAAACTCTGTTCTAGCCTAGAATTATAGTTAAGAGCAAGCCGAACTGTTAATTGTGCCTGTGGGTTAATTAGTTTACAGTAAAGTATTACTATAGTTGAGCTAAGCAAATAAATATACATATAAACATTGATGTACGTGATACGTCACCCGCCACTTACGCGTCAAATTTACAGAGTGTACAGTGATGCCCGTGAAGATAAAATGATCAAAATAAAGAGTCAATTATAATTATTAATCATAATAAACATCATAATCGTAATAGTTAATAAATAAAGATTCTAGACAATCATTTCACATTTGTTATTATATATATATATATATATATATATATAGTATCATATTACATATCATATTACAGCTAAACTTCTCTCTTGCATATCATTAACATAACTGCATAAATCGAGCTAATAATTCAACACATACTCGCAACATTCATACAAAAAAAAACCAAAAAAAAAAGACAGAAAAACAATAAAAATCTACATACATATATATATATAAACAAAAGGGGAAATTATAAAACTATTACAGTTATAGTTAAAATAAAATTAATAATGCTATTCACAACAGAGATAAAAATCATATTTTTTTTTTTCATTTTGCACGTTCAACATTAATAAATATATACAAATGTATTTGTATATGCATCTATTTAGGTATATTCGTTTTAACAAATGCAGGCTTTATATAGTAGTATATATTTAGTTTAGTATCGTATATAGTATGGTACATTTGTACATATATATATATATATATATATATATAGATATATATATGCATTTGTATATAGAATTCCAATTAACATTTAGTATTACAATTATTGTTGCTTTACATACATACATATATAATTTCATAGAACTCTCGTTAATTCTCGGTTTTTTTTTGGGCGTATCATATACATTCATAGAAACTACTAAAACTAATTTACTTAATTACTATTACTGTAATGTTATATGTATATATACATATATATATATATATATATATATATATATATATATATATATATTTATAACTCTGTTGATTCTTGCTTTCCGCGTGCTTCTTGTTCGCTTCTTTTTTTTTACTTTTGCGTAACTATTTTCTTTTCTTTTGTTTTATTTTTGTTTTTGTTTTTTAGTGGCACAGCCACGTTTTGAACTTTAGGCCTTTCTTCTTACTCTGGCTTTGCCTCTGACCTCTGACATCTGACCTCTGACCTCGGACCTCGTCCTCCTCGTTCGATGGTTCTGCTTCATTTTGTTGTTTATGTTTTCTTGTGTTTCTTGTGCGTGTTGGTGTGTGTTGGTGTGTTTGTTGCGGCGGGACGGGGCAGCATGATCAGCTGTGTATGTGTGTGTAATGTGTATGTGTGTGCGTGTGTTAAGAGAGTGACAGAGATAGATAGCGTGTGCGAGGGAGTTGACCGATAGACGAGGAACTGACTTTGAATTTTCCCGTGATGATGATGATGATGATGACAACGACAACTACAACAACAGCAACAACGACGACGGCGACGACAACAACAACAACGACAACAACGACAGCGACAACAAATGGACATCAAAAACAATAAACAACAATAATTTGTAACTACAACAATAACTAGAGTGCGTTGAGCAGGCGGCAACGACGACGACGCGTGCGTCTATTTGGTTTCATCCTGATCCATGGGCTCCTCGGAATCATCACGCGAAAGTGTTCTAAAATACACACAGTGAAAGAGAGAGATGGATTTAGTTCAACTGTTTATATATATATATATATATATATGTATATTTATTGACTCACCTGTGCAACGTCTGCATTGAGAGGCCAGCCATTGCATTGACCGTTTCAGATTCATCGTGCTCAATCTTGAGCGCATCCAGTGCAGACAGGCAGACGGTGTGCTCCAGCAGCCGGACACAGGGCCAATGCGTTTGCTAATGAAACAGAGAGAGAGAGAGAGAACAGTTATATGGATATATACATATATATATATATGTGTAACTGATCTGCATACCTGTATGGCAATCGTCTTCTGCAGCGTATTGATGGCATTCTGACAGGGCGGTCGCTCCAATTCGCCTTGGGCAATTGGTGCCGCCGGATCACCGAGCAGGGCGCGCACACACTCTTGCGCCGAATCACAAATTGCTGTCAGATCGTAGCCACCTTCGAGGGCCAGCACCACCTTGCCATTGGCCAGCTGGAGGAGTTCGCGTGTCATCAGGCCAAAGCATGCCGGGGATACATGATAGCCGCCAAGTGGCGCTGGATGGCCGGTGGCCGCATCAAAGCCCGACGAGACAAGCACAATATCCGGATTAAAGCACTTGGCAATGGGCATCACAACGGTACGGAATGCAGCGATATATTCGGCATCGCCCAGCGGTGGATTCAATGCGCCCGACCAGGAGATATTCACATTATAGCCGATGCCAGCACCGGCGCCGCACTGCAAACAAAAAACCAAAGATTAATAATTGATTAGAGAAAGAGAGAGAGAGAGAAAGAAAGAAAGAGAATGTGTGTGTGAGAGAGACGTACCTCGGTGGGGCCGCCCGTGCCGGGAAAGAAGTTGCCATCATCGTGTCGATGTATGGAAAGATATAGAATGTCGGGACTTTGGTAGAATGCTTGCTGTGTGCCATTGCCATGATGCACATCCTGAAATTGGAATTAGATTAGAATTTGAGTGATTGTTTTATGAATGAGTTGAGTGAGTTTAACTTGCCCAATCAACGATGAGGATGCGCTTCATATCGGGCACACGCTGGCGCAACAGCTTGGCGGCAATGGCGATCGAATTGAAAAAACAGAAGCCCATGGCCAGATTGGCCTCCGCATGGTGGCCGGGCGGACGGACGACGGCGAAACCGTTGCGCAGATCACCTCTGGCCGTTTTAAAGGCCAAATCGATAACACAGCCGGCTGCCATACGGGCAGCGGTCGCCGTATGATGCTCATTCCATGTGGTATCCAGATCGACACCCAAGCCGCCGCATGCCAAGCGCACAAAGCTCGCGGAGAGTGTGCTCTCCAGTTTGGGTCGCGTCAACTGGCCCTGATTGGAGCCAAATAACATTGAATGCGCCTCCGTATGCACCGTCTGCAGCTCCTCCTGTGTGGCCTTGCGGGCACGCAATCGATCGCATCGCTTCACCAGATCCGTTTCATTCAAACGCGCCCAGACGCTCTGCAGCCGTCCGCTGTGCTCCGGATGCGATGCGTTGTCACCGCAAATGCAGGCATGCTTCAGCATCAGCGGATCGTATGCCAGTCCCGTTGTGATCTTCTTGTGCGCTCCCACTGGACCGCTACTCTCCAGCAGCGCAGACTGTTGTTGTTGTTGTTGCTGCTGCTGCTGCTGCTGTTGTTGCTGTTGACGCAATTGGGCGGCATAAGCGTTGCCCAGCAACTGACGCTTGTGGGGCAGAGTTAGATTGACGGGCGGTATGTGATCGGCCGATGAGGATGTGGCAATCGGTGTCGGATGCTGTCCCGTATCGGGTATCTGGCTGAGGCCATGGCCCGGCACCAGCGGGCTGCTCAATGTGCGCGATAGCGGACGCATCAGGCCCTTGGTCAGCTCCTCCTCCTGCTGCAGAAAGAGCAGTTCCCGCTGCTGTTGCAGATACTCCTGATCCCGTTGCTTGCTCGACTTGCTGCCCACCGCTGACGCTGTTGAAGCAGCGGCGGCGGCGGCAGCAGCAACAGCTGCCGCTCGATACGAGGCAGCTGCCAGTGCTTCGGGCAGATTCTGTGAGGTGCTCGTCGCAATTGTGTTGGTCAGCACCGTTTTGGGCGGCTTCTTCTTGTCGGTGAGATCCATCACGACAGCAGCATTATCATCATCATCCTCCTCGCGCAGCTGCGGCTCCCGTATGGCGGCCACAACAGCAGCGGCGGCATCGCTGCGCGTCAGCACCTTCTGTCGCAGCTTCTGGGTGAGCACCTGATGCTCGTACGCCTGACGTTCCGCCTGCGAATACAAATTGGAGTCAAACCAAATACATACACAGATGGATACCATGGATACTCACCTCGCTATTCTCGTAGTGCGTTTGCACCACATTCAGCTGGCCGGCGCCGGTTAGCATCGGATGTCCCAGTGGCAACGGTGCCGACTGGGTGCGTCCCAGCGGTCGATGGCCCTGTTTGTGTAGATGCACCTGGGCCACCTGGGCGTCCGTAATGGGCACATGGCCAGCACCAGGAACACCACCAGCACCAGCACCAGGACCACCAGGACCACCACCACCGTGACCATGACCATGGCCATGTCCATGGCTGTGTGGATGCGTGTGCGGGGGATGCGGATGTGCATTATGCTGCTGCTGATGGCCGTACAGGGCATGGGCGTGACTGTTGGTGGGCGGCAATGTGCCAGCGGCAGCTGCAGCGGCAGCGGCGGCAACAGCCACAGCGGCCGCATGGAGATTAACAGCGTTGGCACCACCGACACCACTTAGCTGCATATAGGACGAAGACGAGGGCAGAATTGTGGAGGCAGCATGTGCCTGCGGCGGCGCCGTATCCCCCACCAGCGATGCCTGCGACGAGGACGTCGATGTGGCCGATGCAGAACGCACAACTGGCGATGGCTGTGGCGCAATCCCAGTTGCCGGCATCATTGATAGCGATGGCGCTGGCTGTCGGCCAAATGGCATCGCGAGCGGATTGTAGTAGGTGGGCGGTGTCCCGGCAACGCCGACGCCAACACCAACGTTAACGGGCGATGGACCGCCGGCACCGGCAGCTGTCGCCGCCACATGCTGACGCAGTGCCGCAAACATAACAAAATTGGCCTGGCCAGCCTGGGCCGCATTGCTTAAATGTGGACGGCCAAGGGATATATTTGGCAGGGATGGTGAACTGAACAGGGGCAGATCGTTGATGTTGCTCCGCTGGCCGGGCTGATATTGGCTACCCTCCTCGTTCTCCTCCTGGATGGGTGCGCTGGTCGGTGACCCTCTGCTGCCAACCACGCCCACCGACAACGTTGTCGACGATGGCGGCGAATTGGGCCCCGAGTCCGGTGTGCTGTTGCAATCTTTAGTGATACGATTGTGGTTGGCGAGCGGCGAGGGCGGAGGGGGGCGGTGAGGGCGGGGAGGGGGGTGTTGATAAAATAAATTTACAGTTAAATACAGATTTCATTAATGTTTGATTCATTTGATGTGAGTGAATGGTGAATGGTGAATGATGAACGGTTTTTTTTTTTTTTGTCTTTTGGCCATGCGACGAGCAGCAGCAGTAGCAGCAGCAGCAGCAGCTTAGGCAATTGGCAATTGGCAATAATCAGCGCAGGGGTTAATTTGAGGTTAGAGGTTCAGTTAATAGACACAAACTGAACATTGAAATTCATACATTGCATGGAATATGCCGTTGGATCAGTGGTTGGTTAGATTATAATAATAGCAAAAACAACAACAACAACAACAACAACAATGAAAACAACAATAAACAAAAACAATAACAATAACAAGAGCAATCATTATAACAAAACAGCAATCAATATTAATTAGAGCGTGAAATAAATTTGCATTGATTTTCGCTGTAAATCCAGATTAACTATATAATTTGGAAAATTTTGTATAGAGATAAACAAAATAGCGATCAATCTATTGATGCCGGATGCCGTTAAATAATATTACAAATTATCTGCAATTACAACATGTCGGAAAACATTTCGATCTTGAGATACCCTTTAAGAGATACCCTACAAATATGCATATTTTAGTTGGTTTTCTCAATGGAATTTAGGAAGTGTAGACTTGAATTCTTACAAAAAAAAATATATATATATAAATAAATATATATATGTGATTCTAGGAATAATTTAAATAATCAATAATCAATAATTGCAAATGATTTGAAAGAGACTTAAACAATTGAAAACCAATCGATAATAAAATGCCTACAAATTAAATGATTCGAGTTCATCGATACTACATTATCGATTCTCGATAATCGACATAATCGATAGCTTATCATGAGACACAGCTCAACAAGCAGAGAGAGAGAGAGAGAGATAGAGAGAGAGAGAGAGAGAGAAACGATGACACCAACTGACCCAGCGACGAATTTTCCCGCAACTGCAACTTGTACAACTGCAACTGAGCATGTGATTGTTGTGTGTGTGTGTGTGTGTTGGTGTGTGTGTGTGATGGTGTGTTGGTGTGCACACTATTGTCATACGTACTTGTGAGAACCGAGTTCTTTTGATGTCGACGCTGGGCAGCTTGCAGCAGGCGTTCGTGTCGCCGCGCCCCCGCCGGCCCACCGATGCGAGCTTTGCGCTCGATGACGCTCTGCTTGAGGCGGATCTTCAGCAGGTTGGGCTCCGATGCTGTGTTCACAGTAGGTTCATGGTTCAGATGATTCAAATACATATATACTAATGTCTATGTGTGTCTATGTGTGTGTGTGTGTGTGTGTGTGTGTGTATGAACGAGTAATATATATGCTGACCCAACCCAACGGTCAGCTCAGATCGCTTCTAAGCCATTTCGTTAGTCACTTCAACCACATGCTTTATACCGTATATTAAAAATATTATTCTGCGACTAGCTTTAAAAACTTAAAGTTGATTAATCAGTTACGAGTAATATATATACATATATAAATACACATCGATAAATTGATAGTTGTTTAGCACAGATCAAGTCAGACACAGCTGGCTTTGTTTTTTAGGCGATTTTGAAGCGATCTATAAAAAACCAATTGCTATATTTGTGGAACCACAAGAAACTGTCAATCTGTCATTGCCGGATGTCATTTGTCATTTGTCACATTGAACTAAACTTGACCTTCGCCTGATTAATGAATTTTGAATCTTTTGGTTTAGTTTAAATTTTATATTACGAAAGTTCAATGAACTTTAACAACTAGTTCAAGTTAATTCTTTGGGCTTCTTTGGGCAATTTCAGTTACTTTCTGCTAGGCTCAAGGCTCAAACAGGCTTTACAGTTTTGTTTAGTAGTCAACACGTGCGATGCAACACTTGGCAACACTTGGCAACACTGGCAACACTTTAAATGGCCAACTGGCAAATGGGCAAAACGTTTAGTTAGTCAAAGGATAGCAATCGATTCACATTTGATTGTTTTAAGTTGGCTAAGCTGGCTAAGTTGGATGCACACAGTTTCCACAGTTTATCCAATTGTCAACTTACCCGTCTTCCTCAGCGGAAAATCAGATTCATATTTGAGTAGTGAGGCTGGCGGCTGTGGTATTTTATAGGGATGCGCGCTGGTCACCGTGCCCGCTGGCAATGATTCACCCGAGGAGCTCTTTACCACGCCGCTACATAGCGAGAGAGCGAGCGAGAGAGAGAGAGAGAGAGAGAGAGAGAGAGAAAGAGAGAGTTAGCTTTAATAGTTACTAGTCTGTGTCACGCTGCTTACCGATTGCGATATGGCGATGTTGTTGTTGTGCCATTCGGTGCCACTGCCTGTGACTTGCGGCTCATAAGAAAGCTCTGAAAGCGAGAGAGAGAAAGAGTGTGTGTGTGAGAGAGAGAGAGAGAGAGAGCCAGAGAGAGAGAGATGGCAACGGAAGTTCGTTGTATATAGTTACACTGAGTATCTGTTTGACTTCGGGACTCGCATTGGCGCTGCAATTCTCTTTGCGTTTCATCACTTCCCGCTCGCGTCTCTCCCGCTGCTGCTGCTGTTGTTGTTGTTGTTGCTGTTGTTGCTGCTGGTGGTGGTGGTGATGCTGTTGTTGTTGTTGCTGCTGCTGCTGCTGCTGCTGCTGCTGTTGTTGCTGCTGCTGCTGGCGATGCTGTTCCTCGACAACTGCTGCCGCCGTGATCATGCTCTGTTCCCGCAATTCCTGGAAAGCGCCATGTGAATGCACCGCAAACTGAATAAATTACAGTAAGTTCAAGAGAGTTTTTGTTGTTTGTTTCGGGGCAAAATAGAATTTTAAGTTTTTTTTTTTATTTGTTGTATTATTTATTATTGCAAAATGTTGATTGTCAGTTGTCGTTTGTAGTTGTTGCAGCTGCTGCTGGTTAAGTGGTTGTTGTCTTTGTCTTTTTCGCTATTGTTGTTGCTGCTGCTGCTGTCGTTTACTCATATCGCAGGGCGGCACTTCCGGCCAAGCGCCGGCAACTTGATAATTTATTGTTGTTCTTCTCTTTTTGTTTTATTTATTTATATATTTTTTTTGCTACCCACTCGCCAACGTTGCCAGCGACAACAATAATAAAAAAAATCGTAGGGAACCAGACAATTAACACTGCGCCCGACTAGCACATACCCTGCGCTCAGACAAGCATCGCTTCCGCATCGATAATTATCGACTTTTGAGCTATCGAAATTGCCAAACAAAAAAAAAACCAACAAATTGTTGTTGTTTTCAAATCAATTTGTGGTTGTTTGTTTGTTGGTTATTCAAATGAATCAAAAAGTAATCTGTATCTGCATATCGAGTCGTATATCGATAATCGATACTAGCTCTCGGATAGGCCTGCATATATACCCCAGATTATCTGTGTGTGTGTGTGTGTCTGTGTACGTTATAAGGTCAACTGATGTCCGCCGTTTGGTGTTACCCTTTTTTAATAGAGAGTACAGGGTATATTGGAGGCCAATGTCAGCTCGATTATGATTCTATTCCGAATTGTATCGACATTCTCGATGCTCTCCTCTCCTGCTGCTGTCGCTGCGTTGAGTTCTTCCTACTACTACTACTACTACTGGCTCTACTCACATGATATTTGTGCTCCAATTGCATTTTATGCTCCAGTTCCATTTGCTTCGTCTGCTCCTGATATGAGTTAAACAGACGCTGCTTCTGCAGCTCCTGGCTCTTTTTTAGCTGCAATCAACAGAGAGAGATGGAGAGATAAAGAGCGCTCAACAGAAAGACACAGATAGAGAGAGACAGAGAGAGAGAGAGAGAGAGTGCAAGAGCGAGCTTGATCGTGATGATGTTGTGGTCGATGTCAATGTCGTGGGTAGATCATTAAGTACTAGACCCGTGAGTAATTGCCGCGCAGATCGTTGCAAAATGATGGCAACAACCAGAAACGTGTGACGCATGGTTAATTTGATGATCGGCTAAGTAGATCTGCTTAGATCTGCTTAGATCGTTTCAATGTTGATCTAAAAACTGACAACGATCGCCGATTGTTTCAAGACAAATTGCCAATTTTATTTATACAAGACACAACTGTTAAAATAAATACCACACTAAAGACAAGACCAGAAAGAAAAAAACAAAAATAATCAGCATCTATAGCAATACTGTCCACGTCATATTAAAGATTAAATATGATAAGCACAGTAACACTTTCAATAATGTTTAATCGATTTTTTGTACTCTTTTTTTTGTTGGTTAAACCAAATTTACTTTTATTTTCTAAGCCCCATTTTTATACACTTGAAAGAGAGAGAGAGAGATACGTCTCTGATACCATAAAGTATGTATATAAGTGTTCTTGATCAGCATCGCCGTCATAGTTTTCAAGGGCTTTAAATTTGGGGACCTTCAAGATAGGCGTAGACAAACATGTAACGCTTTCTGATACGATATAATTACACATATGTAGAATATTCAGTTTACAGCCAGTCGTATAACAGTAAAAACAACATCAAAACTTTAATTTAGATATCAACAGATATCTATATATCGCTCTGCCTAATTTAACCATTATTTCTTGTTTAAACAAACATTAGTTTTTATGCAAGATAAAGTTAATGATCTGATTTGTTATGACAAATCTATATATAAAAATCAAATATGATCAATTGTGTAAATTTCTAAGCAAATATACAAACAATAATAATAAATACCAACACTACATACATATTCATTCATTCATTCATTCATTTTGAATTGTTCAGAAAAATGTATAGCAATTTCATTGATGACATATTGAAATACACATTTCATGAAACATCAAATTATAAACAAATTTGATGGCAAAAGGCGATCAATTCGATAATTGTTGCAATTGTTGGACGCTGACTGAATCACACACTGTTTTAAATTGGCTAGATGAATGCACAGTGTGTGATTCACTGTGACACACATACATACAAACAAACACACATACAGACAGACAGACAGACAGACAGAGATGATCACAGCTAAATATTCAGAAATGAATTAACTAAGCAAATCACACGTCACAAATCATCAAAAGAGATCATAAGTTGACGGTTAACGGTTGACGATTGACGATTGATGATTGGCTGATTGGCTGATTGGTGGTTGGTCGGCTGGTTGGCTGCTGTTGCACTTTTTGCTTTTGCTTTTGCCTATATTCTGCTCTCGCAACGACTCTCTTCGCTGGCGTTTCAATCGCTCTCTTCTTTACGTACATGCTGTTGATATGTTTCCATGACCTTAACGCGCGCGACGCTTTGTCCAATTGGACAGACGCACACTAACAAGCACACACACACACGCACACACACACAGTAATACGCGCATGCAATGGACGCGAGAGGGAGAGAGACACCGAAAACGTTGTTGTTATGTTGTTGTTGGTTTTTGTTTTCTAATTGGTCTTTTTTTTTTTTTTGGATTGTATGTTTTTGTTGTTTTGGTTGGTTGTTATTAGACACTTTTTCATAAGCTTTTTGTGGCCACAGCAGCGTTTGAGCAAAAATTGTGAAAGAAAAGAAAAAAAAAAACAATATTTAAAAAGAATACTCAAAACTACACTAATAAATAATCTGTAGAAAAATGCGACGCTGTTGGCTTTATTTATTTATTTATTTTCTTTTTAATATATTTTTTTTTGTTTTTTGTTTTTTGTATTTGTTGCTTGCCTCTATTTGTTTTATGTCTAGAATTCGGTTTTGCTGGCGCTTTTAATAGTGTTTTTGCTTCTATTTTTTCTTCTTTTTTTTTAATTTTATATTTGTTAAGAGCTGCGGATTTTTGTTGTTGTTTGTTTTATAGTTTTGATTGACTTTGATTTTTCACAACGACGCGCTGCGCGGCGCGGCACGGCACGGCATGTTTAGAACTGCTGTTAGCTCGAATTGGTATTGGTTGAATTCCAATATATTATTTTGTGTTGTTTGTTCCAATTTGAATTGCGATTGATTGCGGCGCGGTCGGTCGACTTGTGCTGCTGCTGGTGCGACTGTTGTTGCGTCTTTTTTCGTTTGGCTTTGGCATTCGTCGAACGCGCTTTCATTTCGGTTTCACTCAAGCGACTGGCAAACTGGCGCAAAAATCAAATATAAACACAAATTTAGATACAGTTATCCGCTAGCAGCGAGCGAGCGAACGTTTGTGTGTGTGTGTGTTGCTCTCTGCTCGCCGTTTACGCGCTCTCTCTCTCTTTTTCTCTGTCTCTCCTACTATCTATCTATCTTTCTAGCGTGGTCAGTGTTGAGGCAGCAGACAAACGGGCGTTTTTATACGCTCAGTGAAGCTGCAGCTGCAGCAGACAAACGGGCGTTTTTATACGCTCAGTGCAGCTGCAGCTGCAGTAGCAGTAGCAATAGCATTAACAGATCAACTACTCAGACACATACACACACACACGCACACACACACACGCATACACACACACACACACACACACACACACACATGTATGCTGCATCTACAACTAAGAATTCCCAGAAATTTTGCAGTTACACCTGATTATCCGCCGCTATAGCTAGCGTTTACCCCTGTCAATGCTCACTCCCTAATTTACAGCCACTCACCCCACATGCAACACCCACCACCCACCGCCGCCCACGACACTTGCCTTGCACAACTTTTTTGTTCAAAGCTTCGTTGGCAGCGCGTGCTATAATTATAAAAGGCCTGCGCTATAATTATAACACAGACACGCCCATATAAATAGAAACAAAAATTTGCCTTCTAACAATACATAACTACATACATACATACATACATACAGACATACATACATGCAGAATAAAAGTATGCCTATGGGGAACAAATTTGAGTTGGAAAACATTGAAAATGAGTAATATAATATTAAATGAATATGCATTGAATACTTGGCAACTTTGAAATTATGATTAAATCATTGATAATGATAAATTGATGATCGATGTGATGTATAAGAAATATCAGCATTACAACGATTCGAATATATATATTCGAGATTATTTATGACTATGAATAATACTTCATATTTACTAGGCATGTGTTGCTTCAGTTTGGATGTGAGTATTCGTTTGTTGAGCAATGGATGGACGAATCTGAGTGTGAGTTATGTGAACAAGTGTGTGGGTTCGAATAGGTACGCGATTATCTCTATATATTTATATGTATGTCAGCGATACTCATGTATCGCTTAAAGATCTATTTGGGAATGTGTGTGTCTTTGGATCAAGAATTGAACAGATCCCCATTTCCCACAAATACCCACACCCCCCGCCCCACCCCAACCCAACACCCAAAAGCCCATTGTAGCTAATTTACAAATTGCTCGTGCCACAGATTCTTATAATATAACAACAACAACAACAAAAAAGAGCAACCAGCAAAATTATTCTATTTTTTTTTTATAGTTATAGCTCTAGCTCTATCTCTATCTCTCTCTTTCTCTTGCTTCTTTCTATTTGTGTGTACATTGTATATATATATATATATATATATATATATATATATATATATATATATGATATATACACATGTTTTTTTTTTTTTTTTTTTTTTTTTGTTAAAAATAAAACCCACAGAGTTTATAAAACACAAAAATAAAAATAAATTCAAAGGAAAATGTATAAATAACAAAAACGGCAAAGCGCTGAGGCGAAAAGGCAAATGCAAATGGTGGGCGGGGGGATGGGGAGTGGGACGGTGGAGGGGGGTAGAGGTGTTGGTGGTCGAAGAGGCAACACTTTAGCAACTACAACAAGAACGGGCCGATGATGATGATGACGACGAAGAAGAAGAACACTTGATCCAAAAATACGAAAATTCAAAAGAAAACAAAACACACACAAGCACACATGGCCGCAATGCACAAAGTTACAACCCAAAAGCCCAAAAATAAAATCTGGCTATAAATTGTATGCAAGAAGGCAACAGTCAGAAATGGAACGGACGGCGGGCGGTTGCAGCAGGTGTGGGGGAGGCCTGCACATGTTGCTTGTTGCAGTTAGCCGCTCAACAAAGTTGTACACCCCTCAAGGCATCCCCCCTTAGCTTGTACAATAAAGGAGCTACAGTAAAGACTCGCTGTGAACGCACAAACTTGTTGCATGTGTTTGCCGGTTATTTCTAGCCAGGCAACACTTTCTTGTGCGCGCTCTCTCGCTCGCTGGCGCTCTCTTTCTCTCTCCTTTGTTCTCTTGGCTCGTGCATGGGATTTTTATTTTTAGCACAATTAAAAAGAAGAAAAGAAAGAAAAAAACAAAAACAGAATGCGCAAAATACTCATACATATTTTCGTAGAGAAAACAATAAATATAGAATCATTAAGTTGTACACGCGTTTATATTTAGAACCAGAAGAAACCCAAGCAGCAAACAATGCAACGAATTCTGTATACCCTAGCCGCCTCAGGGCAAAGCGAATGGGCAAATTATTTTACAATCAATTGCAAATACCTTTATTAAATATATTTTATTTTTATAAACATATATATAAATAATATATATAATCACGCAATAAGATAATTTGTTTAGTTTGCGTCAAGTGAATGCAATAGTTAATATGCTTGCTGTGCATTTTAGGGTATACACCGCGTATACTAAGTTATAGAGAAGGAAGGAAACGACGAGCTCGGCTGGCAAATGAAACTGTGAATACACAGACACACACACACATACATACATATGTATAAATAAAGCAAGAACAGCAAAATAACAACAAGAAAAAAAAGCGCAAGCAAGGCGAAATAAGGAAAAATAATGAAAATATACGGCACACGACGATGCGGACATGAATGCTAATGATATGAATGCTGCTGCTGATGATACCGATCATAATGATGTCGATGTCGAAGTCGAGTGACTGGAAAACAAACGATGATGATCTGATATGCAGCTATGCGAGCTGGTCATCAGCAGCAGGGCCCCCTGTCCTGATTGACAGACAGACAGAACGGACAGAGCAGACAGAACAGATTGGAATCGGGACAAAGATATGTGGAACTCAGGTGGTTGAATTGGATTGGTTGTTGTCCACTACGCAGTTGGAATCTATTTTCTGTGTGCGTTTTTTTTTTTGTGTTTTAATATCGATTCAAATTAAGAGTCAACGGGAACAGATGCCAGCTGGCAACGAAACGGTTAAGGATGCGACACAAAAGAGGAAATGTAAAAAATTGCAATCTCTGCAAGTTGTACATACAACATATGTGTATGTGTTTACCTCCAGGATCTGCTGATCAATGTCAACTTGATGCGGTTTTGGGTCCAGCGATAAAGTGCCTGGCGTTATGTGCAACAAACGCTCATCGTTTCCGACCTCCGGTGGCAGATCTGCAAGAAATGGACAGAGTAAACGAGAGTAAACATAATGAATGCATGTATTATGAGTATATCTTTGACTACATATGTATGTATGTATTAATGTATGTACACATGTTGTAATATGTGAAATGGAAAGCACTACGAGGCACTTAAGATTTACATCTATTTTACATACATACATATGTGCACATGATGAAAGATCATCAAAGTATTATATCGCATTGAGAAACTGTTCAATAATTGAAACTCTGATCTTAAATCGATAACAAGTTGGTTATCGAAATATATATTTTTTTTTTCACATTTTCTAATAAGTCTTTGCCACATTTATTAAAATTGAAATTCTTTTCACAATAATCAACATAATTTTTCTAATGGCATCATTATGATTACGATTATGATTATGATTATCGATAGACACGAACAACCCCAGCTTGTTTCTCATCTCTAACACAGCGCAGATAAAACCAAAGCAAACCAAAGCAAACATCAACAAAGCATATGAGATTGTGTGCGTGTGTGTGTGTTATTGTGTGTGTGATTGTATAACCAAGGCTGCGCTTATCAGACGCTTTACCAAAAATACATTTAAAACGTATTTATGCTCTATGCTCTGTCCTTGTCTATCACACACCCACATTCTCTTTCATTCTCTCTTTGCGTTACCCACTCTCCTTCCCCCACTTTGCCACACCACGCTTCTAACAGTGCTTGGCTCCAAGCACGTCGAGGCCGAATTCCGAAAACAAGCCGAGCCAAGTTGCTTGTGTGTGTGTTTGGTATTAGTATTGGTATTGGCTCTGTGGCTATTTTTAGAAAGCTTGTACAACTTTACAATGATTACATGGACCCGGCCCGAGCGCTTTTTCAGATAACCGCTCTCAATAATGTTGGCTGGCGCTGCTTCTCCGCCTTGCGAGCAGCGAGCACGTGACGAAGTCGACTTTGACGTCGACGTCGACGTTGATGTCAGCTACAAAGGCCACACAGCAGACCCAGCCCAGCAGCCACCAGTTCCGTTTCATCTGTAGGCAAACACCCTCCTCCTCCCCCCCACTCTTCCTTCACCTGCTGTTGCTCCACGTTTTAGCAGGGAACAACTAATTTGATTTACTTTTTGCGGCGCACAAACAAATACCAAATAAACAAACGCAAAAAAGAAAAAAATATACAGAAAAGAAAAAAAAACTGACGACGCCTCGCTGCTGCGGCTGATTCTAATGGACACAAGGCAAAGTGCAGTAAAAACCCACGGCATGTTCATTGATAAACTGGCAAAGCGTCAATCGAGTCAATAATCTGTTGCTCTTTCTCTCTCTCTCTCTTTCTCCCACGCATTCACGATTTTTCGCTTGTCTCTCCTCTCCCCATCTTTCTCTTTCACTTGTGTGCTTCGCCTCTCTCAGCAGCAGCTGATCAGCAATTGGAAATTCTGTGTTGGGTTGGACTAATTGCGCGAACATTATGACTAAGCCAAATGTCCGATTCGATTACTGCTGCTGCTGCTTAAATAAGACAACAATTTTAATGTGCAACAAATTTGTCTGTCTGTCTGTGCATGTATGTATGTATATGTGTCTGTTTGTGTGTTGTGTGTGCTAGTTGGAGCTATTTTCACTGATTAAATGCTGGCTCTCTGACAGCGCAAAACTGCAAAAAATAAAATAATTAAATCAGCAACTAAATCAAAGTCTAGTTTTGGGGCTGTTGAGTACTGAGTGGCTGGCTAGCTATATATAGAGAAAGCGAAAGAGAGAAAGAGAGAGAGAGAGAGAGACAATAGCAAAAGTCAAAAAGAAAAAAAATGTATGCTATGCTGATGTTCGACGTTGAGTCAAATGCATGTGCATCTATCGCAGTGTGTATGCATGTATGTGTGTGTGTGTATATATAAATAAATCCACATACATATGTATGTATGTGTATCTATGCAAAAGGCTGACCGAATAGGCCGTGACCTGTTGTTCTATATATAGCCGCTATTATAAATCGTGCATAGCTATGGGAGTATAAATTTAGAAGCAGCAACATCGCTAGAATCACAAAAAGCAATAACAACAACAACAACAACAACTTAACACAACTCACAGCGCACATTGCACAGAAAGTTGATGAAACGAAAAAAGTAAAAACGAAAAAAAAAAAAAACAAATTCAATTCAATGCGCAAAACGGGTAGCCCGAAGCTACCCTGTATTGTGCAATTGTGCTGTTGTAGTTATTGCAGCATTATTATCTGTTGTATTACATCTATTATTGTATGTACATTTAAAGCAAAGTTTAAATAATAGATTACCTTACTAATTAATACCCAACTGGAATTAAATTTTCCACCTGCTCTTGCATAGGGTATACATATGAATACATAACAAAAACACAATCACAGCAAGGAACATGCAAACTGTCAGAGTTTAGAGAGAGCGAAAGCGAGTGCGAGAGCGAGAGTTTAAGAGAGCGAGCAAATGGGAGAGAGTGTGTCGTCAGTCAGTCAATAAGAGCGAGCGAGCAACAGCTGCAGCTGATTGTGCGAGTGTGTGTGTTGTGTGTCTCTCTCTGCGTGTGTGTGTGAGTTGTGTGACACTTGTAAGCAATATACTGTGCTGGCTGCGCTGCAGGTGCATGCAAAAAGTTTCTTACCAACACACACACATAAATACATATGCATGCTTATGAGAAAACGCGAGCGAGAGCGTAAATGTGTTGTTGTTGTTGTTGGTGTTGGTGCTGGTGCTGCTGCTGCTCTGGCTGCAATCAGCTGTTTGCAAGAAGTTTGAAAAAGACGCGTGTCGTCGTCGTCGTCAAGGTCAATTCTGTGTTGACATAGAAACCAATAAGAGAGCAGCAGTAGTAGGAAAACCACCAACAGAGAAACGAAACACAGCACGTGTTTACAACAAAACGTAAACGTAATTAAATTTGATGAGAGTGAAGCCAACGCTGACGGACTGGCTGGCATTGGGAACAAAACGGAAATCCAATTGGAAATTTTAATGACAAAACCCGATTCCGATTGCATGCAAACACTAACAATGAGGAGAGGAATGCGGATGGGTGCAAAGAATAAGAATAATAATAACACAACATAATAATAATAATAATAATAACCCGACCGACCCACTTCTCTTCTCTGCCTACTTTATTTTGAGTGATAGCAGGCGACACTTGTGTGCGTGTGCCTCTGTGTATATTGTGTGCGTGTGTGTGCGTGTATGTGTGTGCGCTCGGCATATGTGTGTATGTATGTGTTGGAAAAAATTTCCAGCGCTCGTCTAAAAATAGCCACACTTTGCGGCAACAGCAATTTTCGGGGGCCCCTGGGGCGGGCCATATATAATATGTGGGCGTGGCTCCGTTCAGTTTTGGCTTATTTCGAAGTTGTAGCTGAGAACCTTGTGTGTGTATGTGTGTGTGTGTGAGCACTCCCGCCGCTCTCGTCATGTGCGTGTGCGTGTTTTGCTTGTGTGTCTGTGTTTCACCTTGACAAATGGAAAGCCAAAAAGCAACAGAAACAACAAAAACAATAGCAACAACAGCGCAGTTTAGAAATGATTACACACACACACACACACACACATGAATAAAACAACTGTTAAAAGAGGTGGGGTGATGGGGGTGGGAGCTGTGTAAATTTGGGCTATTGTGTATTACAAATGGCTATTTTGTGCCATACACATAAAGTTAACGATTAAATATAACTTTACAGATATTCTACAAGTAGATATGCATCAACCCAATAATCCATGTAAACACACACACACACACACACACACGCATACTTGTTGAGACACAAACAAGGTCGAATTTGATATTCTTGGAAAGCAGCCATTACAATAACTGACAAGTGCTAGAATCAAACCTGGATGTGCCTGATTGTGTGTGTGTGGCTATGTGTGTGAGGAGGGGGTGTGTGTGTGGGTGGTGACCTTATACCTAAGGCAGGTGCGTGTAAATGATAATTGTATGAGGCAAATGACTTGAGGAAGAATGTGTTTTTTGTCAACAATAACAATGCAATGCACACATTGACTGAGAGTCATTTAAAACTTAATAATATATAATTATCACAAACAAATGACCTCGAGTGTACAAGTCCTTAAGTGCACACACACACATACATATGTATGTAATAATATGATGTAATAATGTACGCACAGACATCAGCAGAACACATTTAATCAAAATGCGCAAAGCAATTTTAAAAGGTTATTCATCATTCAACGATTTATGTATATAAATTTACTCAAGCAAATGTATCATTATCAACTACATAAATATATATATATATATATATATATGCGATCAATATAATACAGTGGAAAATGTGAGCAAATATTACTTCAAACATAGTTAATAAATTATGAAAATCTTATGTGAACCATAAGCTATTAATACTGGCAGATAAGTAAGATAAGATCTGTTATGGTACAGATGGCATAGCTATAAAATGTTTAACAAGCAAATTCAAGTCCTTAAAACCACTCAAAATAACAATACGGGAATAGTAGCGAAGTTAATATTTCTCAATATTAGATATGATGTGCGTGGATATATTATACTAGAATTGGCATTTTTGTGAAGCAGCACTACTATCAACCTATATATATATGTTGCACTGTTGCATCGGATACAATGCACATGGACACAGACAACATTTCACACATTTCTTCTTTTTTTTTTGTTCATAGGACACATAATTAGGTGTTGCAGGTGAGAGAAGAGCAAGTGAGTTGTGTTGTTAAAATCAGCTTCAATTTGCTCATTCAATCTGCAGTTGCACGTGTCAATTATTGTAATAGCTTTAAAGGCACAATACAAGCAAAAGGGGAAAATGGGAAAGGGGCGGGGAGGGGGAGGGGAAGGGGAAGACAAGGAAAAAGAAGACGAAGCACGATATAAAAAAAGGGCCGAAAGGTTGACGCCGGCGTCGTGGTCGCTGCCGCTGTTGTTACACATTTCAAAGGCAAGTAAATTTTTCTTAGGCTAAAAATAGAACAAAATCGATAAACGAATGTTGTTCGTGTTATTGTTATTGTTGGTCGGTCATACAAACAAACAAACAGACACACAGGCAGCGCCGGTAAAAAGAAAAAACCCACACAGAGAGAGATATAGAGAGAAAGAGAGAGCGAGAAAGAGAGAGAGAGAGAGAGAGAGAGAGAGAGAGAGAGAGAGAGAGAGAGAGTTAGCAAGGAGAACGCAGATTATTATGGCCCAGGCAGCAAATTGTTATTGCACGTGCTTGGCATTGACAGTGGCTAAAGCTTAAGCTAGTCGGCACCAGAGATGAGCATGTGTCGGCTTTATTATTATTATTATTAATCTATTTTATTCCATTTTTTATTTATTTATTTTTTTTTTTTTTTTTGCATTATTGCACTACACTCATGTGTGTTTTCAGTTCTTCATTTCTGTTTTATTATTTATACAAATTTCTTTCTTTCTAAGCTTGTGCGGCATTTGCTTAACGCAAATATAATAAATATCTTTGACAAGCATTTGCAGACCATTTCATTTATTTGCATTTTTATTTAGCTTATTTATCTACTTGGAATCATTTTCAATTTGATTGCATATTTTTTTGGCTTTATCTTGGAATAATGTACGAGTTGTGAACACATCGTGCTTAGTCGTGCGCTCATTTCTAGCCAGCACTGTTAAGGAACTTCCTTAAAAACATCACACACACATATATATATACATATACATATACCGTTTCTCTTACTTCTTCTCTCGCTCTCTCTCTCTCTGTCTCTCACGCAGTCAGCAGATGCAGCCGCAACCACTTGCTGGACTTTTCGTCTTCTGCTTCTGCTGTAGGGGTGGTGTCACCCGACCATGGACAATGTTCTTGTTGTTTAGCCACGTCTCTGCCCGATGCTAAGTCAGTCAAAGCAGCGTATTTTATTAACAGTTATTTTTGGAAGGCACACACACACACACACACCTCTCGTTCTCTCTCTCTCTCTCTCTCTCTGAATATATATATATATATATATCTCACTCTCTCCGCTTGTACATGAGTGCTGTATACATTTTGAGTTATGTATGCGATTGTTATTACGCATAACATCCACCGACCCACCCACTACACAACCACCCACCACCCAACCACCCAATCACCAACTACGACATTGACACTTTATTTACTTACCGCGTATTGGTATTCTATCGTCAGGACTAGACATTTTGCATGGATGGATGGATGGATCTGTAAGACAATATATATACACACATATATATATATATATATATTTAGTTGTTAATAATCAAAAGGTTTAAGCTTAAATCTAATTCAGAATTAAAATGCTCATATCCATGAGCAACAGAGCCAAATTAAAACTCTGTTCACTGCCAAATTAATCATTTCGTCTGAAACGTGTTGTCACAAATACAAATTTCCAGATTTCAACAAAAAAAATAATGAAATAAATAAAAAAATGAAGTATTCCAAATACCAGTTGGAGCATCATTCAGCTGCCAGTTGTTTCACATGCTTACAAATTCATTGAAAACAAAATATGTACACAAATAAACATACAGAAATATACACACACGCACACATACACACACACACATATATATACAATAACTGTAAGACAGATTAGCGAAGCACCAACAATGCAGAACACAACAACAGTAACCACTTCATTGAAAACGAATGGAAATGGCAGACTCACACTCTGATAAGACCAACAACGATCAGCCGCCTGTGCGAGAGCGAGAAAGAGCGAGAGAGAGAGACAGAGAGGAAGAGGGAGAGAGCAGGCGCTTTAATAATGATAGTCTTTTTTGCCTTGCTCTGCTTATTCTTCTTCTTCTTCGAACTTTGTTCAGATTTCGGAAAATTTTGTGAATTGATAATCGTCCATTTTGTTGCTGTTATTGTTCGCTATATTTATTGTGTGGCGATATCTGTTGCTAATTTCGAATACTAACTTAATGAATTGAGTGTACACCCCCCCCCCCGCCCTCCCCACCCTACCGCACCACTTCTAGTTGTGAATAGCATAGCAGCAATTACGGGAAAATTGCAATTTGCCAATGCAAGCAAAAACAAAAATAAAAAACCTTGATTTATGGGGAAATTAAAGGTACGCAGAAAATAAATTATTTAGTAAAAAGCTTGGAAAAACTGTTTTTCGTAGTGTTTCTTGCATGTGAATTGGCAACATTTGTGAATGCAAAAATGCGATGGGGGTGGCCAACTTGCAGCAACAGGGATGGAGGGAAAGTGAGAAAGAGATAGAGAGAGAGAAAGAGAGAGGAGCTACGTGCACTTAATGACTGCTATTTTTTAGGAATAATTCCAAAGAGGGAGGGGGATGACGAGTGGCGATGCGTTAGCCTCCAACTTCTCCCCATCCTTGACACGTTTGCTGCCACATTGACCTTCAGAGTATTGCCACACACAAACAGAAACTTCACAAGAGAGCACACACGGGGAGGGAGAAAGCAACCAACACACCCACAAACACACACAATACTAATTAGACAAACAAACAGAAGCAGAAGTAGAAGGAGAATATGAAGATGAAGCGCAATTGAGTGAATATAGTTTATACAGTACTAAAATAAATAATTTAATATACACATACATATATACGTATACGTAAACATAAACAGCAAATCCAATTGGAATGTGTCCCCCTGTCACACTCTATCTCTCTCTCTACATTCGCCCATCAAGCGGTGAAATATGTAGTTAAATAAATGGCAGCAAAAGAAAAAAGAAATATTAAGAAAACCTATTAGATATATGCATAAATACACACAAGTAATCAAAAACTAATGCAGCACTGCAACAATTGAACGACCTATAAATACCCTATTATTTTTTTATTATTATAATTTATACATCTTAAAAACACAAAACAAAGTCGTGATTTGCTTATTAAACTAAGTAATAGAAGGAGTTCTACAGAACGATCAACCCCTGTGCCATGTCGCATAAGACTACAGGGTATATGCAGGGAGCAATTGTTATATTGATAGGTTGCTGGCAAATAACCGGTATCTTTAGCACTGAAGCTATCGGGAATTTTAGCCAATGTAAGACTTCAAGAGGAATTTGCGAAATACATAAATACATACAGACATTTATGCATTCTGTATTTTGGCATTTCTGATTGGGGACATAAATATTTTGTTAAATGGAGCGACATAAATGGGCAAGTCTCATTACATTAATTACCCTTTTTTTTCCACTTTTCCACTCTTCCAGACTCTCTCTCCAAACAATAAGAAAAAAATGCATCAAGCTGCAGGGAGGGGGAGAGGGGTGGGGATAGACGTCTACAAAGCTGTGCGTAAGGAATTCAAATGACATTTGACATCTTCGCTCTTGCTGCTGTCAATATACAATGCAATGCAATGAGAGAGAGAGAGAGAGAGAGAGAGACAGAGAAAGAGAGAGCGCTGTCTGCCAAAAATGCGCGTCTCACAAATACAACACACAGTGAATTCTACACTCTTTAGTTGCTGCTGTTATGCATGCTGTTAATTTGCAGCAGGAGGAACAGCAACAGCTTACGTACAGATCTCAATTGAAGAAATGCCGCTCGACGCTGACGTCTGCCAAAGCTTAAATGATGCGCTGTTGCTGCCTGCATACGAATACTACAATAAAAAAAGAAGAAAAATGTTCTGCTACTGCTGAGCCGCCTCGCCAATGTTGATAACTAAATGACAAAGTGAACTTAACCAGTTCAATGCGCTTCGCGTTGCTCCAGCAGATGCCGCAGTCGATGCTACGATGGGAGCTTTTTTTTGTTGTTGTGTGTGTGCCGCGGCAGCGCCGCCAACTTCATTACAAACAAATAGCGAGAGGCAAAAAATCACCAAATACATACAGAACAATAACAACAACAATAATAGCAGCAGCAGCAGCACTTCATTTAGCACGCACACACTTGTTACATAAATAACGGCGAAATGAGTGTGAGTAGCAAAAAAAAAACGAAGAAGAAGAGGAAGAAAGGAAAACAACAAGACGAAAAAGAAGTCGTCGTCGTCGTTATGCTGAACCTGAGAAACGACGGCTGCTCAGCGCACACACATAGACACACACACACGCACATAAATTCACGCACACACACGCACGCCTGTGATCTAATAAGAATTTTTGTTGAATTGGACAAAAACATTCACATTCATATACAATACATACATACCTCCTCAACTCAAAGTGGCGCGAACTGTTCTGTTGTTATTCTTGTTGTTTTTGTTGATTTTTCTGCTGGTTGTTGCTGCTATTGCTGCTGCTTTTGCTGGTTGCGCGCAACGCACACGTTTCCAACAACAACCACAACAACAACAAATAAAACACAAAACTTTTCACAATGCGAAAAATATTATTAAACAAAAAAAAAATACTGTGGCACAAAAAATAAAAGTAACAGAAACTAAAGACAACGACTGCTCGCTCGTCGCTCTCTCTCTCTCTCACTCTCTCTTACGCCACTAGACTACAGCACACACAAATGTTCAATACGCGTATGTAGTGTGCGTGTGTACGACGACAACGAAGAATTCACGACTTTTAGTGTGCGTGTGTGTGCTTTTTTTATATTATTTGATTTTACTTTTTGTCACTCCACGTATTCACAGAGAGATTCGCATTATTTTTGGTACTAGTGTTAGTAGTACTGGCACAACTAAAAAATGTACATATGTATTTTATGTACATCGGCTGCTTATATTTTTTCTTATTTTATATCTTTCTTGATTTGTTGTTGCTTGTTTGCTTGTATTTTCTATATATTCGCACTTGCTTTTCACCACTGCGACAGTTGTTGTTGTTGTTGATACTGCTGCCACTTTACTGCCACACGCGTAATTCGTTTGGTAAAAACATACAAAAAAAAAATCAACAAAAAATTACCCAACACTAAGGTAACAACAGCTGTTCACTCCAGTTTTTTTTTTTTTTTGGCTCGAACAACTTCTTTTCTAGCTCATCGAAATTGTGTGTCAATTTATATTTGTTGAGCACTTTTTGCTTGGGCGAAGCAAATATGGGAAGAAACAACCGTCTCCGACAAAGAAGAGCGTAAAAATGAACAACAAATGAACAATATAATATGAGAGCCATTGGCATCGATACTTATCGATGAACAAACACTGATTAACGATACAAAAACAATCGGCAGCCGATAAGCGAGAATTGTGCGGCAATCGGTGCCACCAAACTACCATGCAAACGCTCTCCAACACTAAACAAACCATTGCACTTGCAAAGGCACGCGCGCGACTTTTGAATTGAAACAGATTTGTAAGCTTTACGTAACGGACATTTATTCGTCAGAGAGAGAAAAAAAAAATGAATGAGCGATGAGTGTTGCGTTTATATATGTAGAATGATTGCAATGATTTGTGCAAGGCAAGTCTTCAATAAAAACCATAGTGTCCATGATGATACGGATAATAGCCGCCATGATGGCCGCCATAATAGGGCACGGCATGCTGCACATACTCATAGCCGCCGTAGTAAGGACTGGCCAAACCGTAGCCGCCATAATGTCCATGTCCATGTCCGCCATAACCGCCATAGCCGCCATAATGACCATAGCCAAAGCCATAAATGCCCCGCTTCTCCGTCTTCTTCACGTCGGCAATTCCAGACTCAACATCGACCGCGTCCACTGCTGCTGCGGCGGCGGCGGGCTCAGCAATCGCCGCCAGGCAGCTGATCAGGCACATGGCCAGAATAACGGCAACGCACTGCAAAATTGCATTCAATTGTCATCAATTAGTCCTGTTTATAGTTGTTGCTGATCCTGCTGCTTACCAAATATTTCATGTTGATTGCTTTACTCCTTTTTTTCGTTTGTTTGTTTGTTTAATAATGCTGCGACTGCTGCTGCGGCAAAAGCTGATTTGTTGATTGTTTGTCAGCAGCTCAGCGTTTTTATACTTTGTGCTACAGTTAGCAATTATGCAAAAAAAAAAAAAAAACAGAAAACAATAACAATAACAATAAGCAAATGCAACAGCGATTGTTGCAGTTTGCATGACGGCGCTAGAGATGGCCGCATATCATATTTATCAACGACCACGACACGAGCACGTTGCACGCTGATCGGCTTCTTATAATATTAAGAAGAGTGTGAGAGAGAGAGAGAGAGAGACAAAAGAAAGAAATAAACATTTATCACTAGTCGCATTTGATACAAAGTGAAGACAGCTAATTAATTGATTACGGCCTTGGTCGTTTTAGTTGTCGTTTTTTGCACACGTTTTTCAACACGAAAATTGCCTGGCACGAGGCGCGCCAAATTCAAATATTGTGCAGCCCATCGCCTGTTGCTGCCCAAAAGGTCAGACACAGACCCGCCAAGCTGTGGGCGTTGCAACTAACGTTTTTTTCTTCTATTTATCTGTTTTTTTTTTTTGTTTTTTGTTTTGTTGTTGCGTTTTTCCTGTCTCGTCAAGAACATTTTGGCTTGCGCAAAAGTTGATGATTGTTGTCCGGGCGGAAGATGGCATAAGTTTGTGGCAGCAGCGCAGCAGCAGCGCAGCAGCAGCAATACGATCCACATGTGATCCACATATAGCAGTCGCGTATCGAGTGTCGCTTTCACTTGATATGCGATATGGTTGCTGCAACTTCTCGTGCAGCACACGCAACATGTTGACAAACCACAGCTTCGATAACAATTGGGGGCGCGGCACAACCGCCCGGGGCAGAGCCCAGCTACCCGTCCCGGTCAAATGGCAGAAACCCCGTGGGAAAAATCATTTCCCAATGGCGAAATTGTTGTTGTTCATTAAACAATTGCCGCAATCGATTTTAGCAACGCTTTTTTTTGTTATTTTTTTGCTTTAATTAAGTCAGCAGCAACAGAAAATTACAATAGGTATTAACTGAGTAAACAACAGCAACACGAAAACAGTTAACACAACAAACAGTTACCCAAAAAAAAAAAAAATAATAATAATTATAAATTTGAAGTTTTATTCTAATTATTTGTATGTGTATAAATAAATACCGTCTGAAACGAAGAAAATGAAAAAATTAAAGAGAAGATAAAAACTGCTGCTAAACTAAATTACCCACAGCTGCTGAAGCGATATTTACAGGGTATCAAGCCAAGTTCCTATTGCCCGCAGTTGTAAAACCGATTTCAGATTGCTGTCAGATCATTTTTGCAAAAAAAAACATGCTCTTATCGAAATAATCCAAACTGCACGACTTCTCATCAGAGACAGGAGAGTTGGATGGCGAGGGGGAGGGGGGCGGGTGGGTGAGGTTGTTGTAGGGAGTGACAACAAAAATGAAGGACCGACCTTGACTGCATCAGCTGCAACCGCAAATAGCCTATGAATGAGACTAAAACAGCAGCAGCAGCAGCAACAACAATAAGTGCAACATTGTTGAATGAAGCAAAGAGAACAGCAACAACAATTGGCCATTGGCAATTGGTTTGTTCACAAAGCCAAAAAGTGGGTGGAAAACAGCCCGCCATTGTCTGCGTCTTATTAATAATTGTTAATATTTAAAATGTATATTTAAAATGCATATTGCAATTGCTGCTGCTGCTGCTACGGTTGCAGTTGCAGTTGCAGTTGCTCCACGCTGTGGGGTTAATGCACGCGACGATGCGCGACTCTGGCGGAAGTTGTCCAAAGACAGCTGGTCACGATGCCAATCGCAGCAATGGATTTGGTTGCCGATGTTGCTGCTGCTGCTGATGATGAATGATGGTGATGATGACAACATTCGACGATTGGCCCAATGCTTGGCTTGCTGACGGCTGTTTGACTGATTTATGGCCGCATTGTTTAGCAGCATTCCAATGTCAAAAGGCAGCGCGCACTTTTGGCCAAGATTACACAACACGACGTCAATTGGCAATTGCCAATGTTGCAATTTAACAATAGTGTACAATATTTATTCCGCTTAACAAACATTATAAATTATTAGGAGAAAAGGACATGATTTTTGTTTTTATGCTGTTTTTAGTATTTCAGCTCCTTGGCCTTGTCGTGCGCCCCCTCGTCGAGCAGCTTCAGTTCCGCCTGCTGATCCATCACCTTTTTCTCCGGCCGGATCACCGTGAAGTAGTGATAATAGCGCATCCCAATCAAATATGTACCGTAGAGCGTTACGCCAATGCAGGCGTAGACGACACCCCGATGCATCTTGTCTAGCAGCGTGTTCGCATTCAACGGCTTCTTTTGCATCGTTTCGTTTAGCTTTGAATATGCTTGAGTTCTTGAATAGAAATATTACCTCACTTTAAATGTAATCAAGAAACTCTTACTTTTAGTGATGTTCCAGCAGGATATCGATTGCTCTGTGTGCGTGCGTGCGTGTGTGTGTATATCGATATTTAGAACTGGAACAAATGAACGGCTGTCACGTGTGTGGTACAAATGTACCCAAAACTAGTTGATTAATCGCACAAATTTGTGGTATATGTTTGGCTTAGCTTTATTTTGGTTTTCTCTGTCTATACATGAAGTAATTGAGCCTTCTTTTCCAGATATTCAAGCAGCAGATAATGTTAGAAAATAAATATCTGTTTTTGGTACAATCAAGTGCCAATCGTGCCTCAGAAAAAATCTCTTATTGTTTTGCTTATAAAAAAAAGTTTATTGACTATACATATGCATTAAGTAATTTTGCCCTTTTCCGATATTAAAGCAAAAGACACATTAATAATTGGAAAATATATAAAATATGTAGGTACAATTACATTGAATTAAAGTGGCAATCGTGCCTCAACAAAAAAAAAGGAAGAAAAAATCTCACCACTTTCGATAAATGCGTCTATCGATTTTTGCATAAATATTTGTTTACGACAAGCAGCGAGTTGCTGCTGTTTGTTTTGCTTTTAATCATGATCTGCCGCTTGTGCCTGTGCGATCTGGATAATTCGGTGTCCATCTGCATATTCAGCGATGCCGAGCACGGTCTGCCCAAGGCCATTGCCAAATACTTGCAGCTTGAGGTAAGCTACAAACAGACACACACACCACACACACACACACACATAGATGAAATGAAATATGTTTGGATTGGGATTGTTGTTGCAGGTGTCTGTGAATGATTGCATCTCCACCAAGCTGTGCTCGCCATGCTGGCAATGTCTAAGCGATTTCGATCAGTTTTGCGCAATGGTCGCCGACAAGCAGCAATCGCTGCTGCTCAAAACGGAACCGGAACCGCCGCCCGAACCAGCCGTTGTTGTATGGAACACAGAGTCACCGATTGAATCGAAGCTGGGCTTCGTCGACGATATTAAGGATCATATACTGTGTGAGCCCGAGATCGATGTGCATGACACAGCGCAATCTTTTGAGAATGCGGGCAGCACCTGCAGCGACAACGTTGAGCCCGATAAGGATGCATTTGAGGCGGACTTCGAGCACGCAACGCTGACAGCAGCCACGCCCAAAAAGACCAGGGGACGCACGCGACTGGAGATGGCAGCGACGCCGTCATCACCGGCACCGTCATCGACCGCCAAAGCAAAGTCAACGGCAACGGCCAAGACGAAGGCAAAGCTGGTCAAGGTGCCAGTGGCGTCGGCATCCTCGCAGCGCGAGTCGCGTGTGCGTTCACGCGAACTGCGACGCAATGCAGCCGCCGCCGAGGCAGACATGACTCCGATACCGGAGCCGCCGGCAAAAGCAATGAGGACAGCAACGGGAACAGCAACAGCAGCAGGAGCAGGAACAGCACCGAAACGTGGCCGTCCCAAAGGTGTCAAGGGCAAGAGCAAGCTGCCCAAGCCATCGAAGGTGGCCCGGGCGCCCGAGCTGGAGGCGAAGCGTAGCAGCATTAAGGAAATGGATGACTATATAGCCGCCAATGTGAAATTGGATTGCTGCCTGTGTGCCGCGCCCCTGCTCAACTTCATCGATCTGAAGCGACACTTTCGGCTGCAGCACAACTGCACCGGTTACATGGAGTGCTGCAACAATCGGTATAAGAAGCGCACCCTGTACGTGGACCATCTGCACTATCACAAGGATCCGCAGTATTTCAGTTGCAAGCCCTGCCGCAAGAGCTTCCTCAATCGCAACAGCCAGGACATGCACATGCTGCGCTTCCACTCCGACCAGCAGCAGCTCGTCCATCAGTGCGTCACGTGTGGGGCGCGTTTCGCCAAAAAGTTTCTGCTCACCATGCACATCAAGGGGCACAAGGGACCCGAACGTCCCGAAGCCTGCGACAGCTGCATCAAAACGTGAGTTTTCTCTTCATCCTCTGCTTGTGGATGTTGAGCCTTGTGCATCCTTTGACTCATCTTAATGTTGATCACTGATTGGTGTCAAGCATTTGATTGTCGATATTTGTCGATAAGCGGGAATCGAAGGCAGTTATCGATAACTTGATTTGGTACCAGAGAACTTATATTATCCAAATTTTAAGTCTCTGGCTGTTTATAGTCCTTTGGTTTTGATACAAGCAGGGGAACAGTTGGACAGACGACGGATAGACGGAGCGACTCGGCTTTTAATGATATTCAATACATTTATATATTTATACATTATCTGCTCAGAGATGCTTCGTTATGCCTGTTATCCTTTTGATCCCTTTTGAATGGGTTTAAAGATTTATCATGATTTATTAATTTTTAAGGAAGGATGAAGGATGTTAGTGGTTGAGCTAACTGGGCCCAAAGTTTCTCACAATTGATCCGTCTATTAACTGTCTCTCTTGCTCTCTCTCTCTCTCTATCTATTTGTCTCCCTCTAACTTAGGTTCCGCTCCAAACTAGAGTTGACGGCGCACGTGAAGCGCATGCATGCCTCGGACTTTACGCCCATCATCTGTGACATTTGCGGCGCCAATTTTCGGTCGAAGGCGAACTTTCTGATACACAAGAAGGCATTGCATCCGGATGGGCCAGTTGCGGAGGCACAGTGTCATCTGTGCAGCCGCTGGCTGCGGGATGAGCGCAGTCTGCGCAAACATTTGGCGCGGCACGATGATCGCGAGGGCGGCAACAAGTATCGCTGTGTGCTGTGCAGCGCCGAGAAGTCATCCCGTGTGGCACTGAGCAGTCACATGCGTTACCATCACTCGGCCAAGCGGCACAGCTGCACGTTGTGTGGCAAGGAATTCAAGCTGCCGCGTGCCCTAGCCGTAAGTCTGCCCATCTCCCCCATCTCTCTATCGAATCTGATATGTAATCTGCATTGCAGGAGCACATGGCCACCCATACGGGCATTGATTTGTATTCGTGTGCGTTTTGCACGCGCACATTTAAATCGCACGCCAACATGCACAACCACAAAAAGAAAATGCATCCCAACGAATGGGTTCGGAAATATACGCAGCCCAGTGCCGCACCCGTTGCCGGCAACCACAGATCTACAGATGTCACCGACGACCTGGCCGAGACGGCGAACAACTTGAATGAGTCTCTACAGCCGCCGGTGGATCTGCTGAACGCGGAGGAGGAGGAGGACGAGGAAGAGCATGAGCAGCATGAGCAGCAGGTTGCACAAGCACAAACAGGTGCTGTTGCCTCCTACGAGTACATCAGCAGCACTGGGCGAGTCATCTGATCCATCTAAGCGCATTCCCCGGCAGATGAGTCCGTATTTATATTCTACAAGCAAATTATTCGAATTTTCGCCAGTTTCATTTCTCTATGCAAAATATGGAATTATTCACTATTGTATTTCAAATTTAACATGAACCGATTACATTTTGGTATTTTTTTCTTCCTGAAAATCCTACATGCTAAAGATTAGTTTAAAAGTGTCATAAGTCGGATGTGGATTCAAGGAACTAGTTTTTAAGCGACTGTTCCTTATTGTTTTTTGCAATTATCGACAAATATGTATATAATGTTAATTATAAAGCACATATGTATTACGATTCCATTGCTGATTATCCTTTCCAACTCCCAAATTACCTAAATAAATAAGAAAATATGTATGTAGTTCACGGCACAGTTTGAGAGCCATCTGCCGTTTTCGGATTCGCAGTTTGACAGTCACTAATACGACCATCTTCGGCCATCTTTTATTATTTGTCAGCTATCAGCTGTCAGTTGGCAGCTGTCAGCTGGTTTTGAGTCGTAATTGTTAACTTTAGTTTATTGGCGAATACACAAATGCAAAATTAATTATTTACTACAGCTATTTATGTATAAATGTAAGTAGGTTTGTTTATGTTTTTATTGTTGATTGGTTTGAGTCGCTGAGTTGACCGCTAATTGTCCTCGTCGGTTTCGGCCAAAATGGTGCGTATCTTCATGAGCAGCTCCTTTTTGACAGCATCGGGGACGAGGGTGCGTGCCTTGGGCGTCACTTCCGATATAAGCTGATCCACGGACACACTGTTGTTGGCACTCTTCTCCAGCAGAATGTTGCGGCACAGCAGACGCACCTCGTTCCGCCAGCCGCACTCGGTGAGCCGGTTGCACAGTAAGTCCTTAATTTTTAAACGATCACCGGACATTATCGTATACTGGTCAACTGTGTCGCAGATGGTCATGTTATTTTTTCCCTGAGTTTGCTATCGGCTTTTCCTGCGGCTATCCGCTAGGCTGATGATGCTATTGTCTTCGTAGAGGTGAGCAACTATCGATAACGATTGCGTTTCACAGACGCTAACATTTCGATTGTCATCGATGCTTGTCATTTGATGGGCTGCTGTCAGACGACTTCTTTTTCACCAACGATTGCAAAGCTTACCACTCGCATTGAGTTCGGTGAGTCGAAATGGATATAACTAACATTGTTGCTGTGAAACTGATAAGTGCAGTATTTCTGCGAAAAGTTTGTGGGGCGATTTATGGGCAACTAATCGCGTTCCACATTTTTCATGCCATTCACCAGATGCCGCTCTGTTTGAATTGTGTATCACAGTTTTGGTATTTTTCTGGCATATTTAGCAGCAATTAGCATATATAATAGGTATTTTTGTGGCCATTGGCCACAGCAGCTGTTACGCGAACGAGAGAGAATAGTCCTAACCAAACCGTAAAAATGCTGCGTACATTGTCACGCGTTAGTGAATTGCCAATTGTTGTAAAACAATTGCAAAAAGTACGTAACTGTAATGCAGCCGTTGCTGTTCCTAACAAAACCCTTGTCACTCTCACTAATACAAAGCAAGGCAGCAGCAACATAAGAAACAACCACAACTACAGGAACAACAACATCTACAGCAGCAGCAGCAGCAACAGCACCCACAACAACAACAATCATTGGACGACATGGCTGCAACAACAACAATTAGAAAATCATCAAAGATTTGCCAACAGACGCAGTTATTCATCGTCATTTTTCGGTTTATTCCAGAATGCAGCACAGTCTGGTGTCGCAAAGACCAACAACTATGCCACGGAGGCGACCGTGCAGGTTAATCGGGTAAGTAGATAGGCCAAATAGACCCCCTCCCACCCCCACCCTCGCTACTATTCATGTTCTCGCAAAAAGAAATTGCCGATTACATAATGTGTGCGTGTGTGTGCGCGTGTGTGTGTGCCTGTGTATCCCTATGTTTGTGCGCAAGATTATGTGACCTGACTGCACAGAGTTGCATTTTTGTCCATTTGTCGATTAGTTGGCTGAATTGCAAGCCCCAAGGTCACAAGTCTGACACTCTTTATCGCTGGCAATGCGTGACCGACGTCGGCAGCGGCTGCGGCAGCGAAATGCACCCTGTCAATATTAGCGCTGCAGCATATCACACATTTGGACAATAAAATAAGTGTGAAGACAATAACAATAATAATAAAATTCACTATATTATTGGCGCGACATTATTTCCTAATGGCAAAGTCTCTGACTTAAGATAGCTGTTGACACTGCAGTTAAATTGTTTAGCAAACAGCAAAATTTGTGTGATTTGCATAAAATGAAGTAAACATGAACTTCTCCATATTTACTATAATGATGGCTTAACTGAGGTATCAAATAATAAAAATGCTAAAGGGCTGTGGATAGAAGATACAGCAAAGGCAAAAAGCATAGCTACATCAATTGGACGGTCTCAGAACTTATTGACAAATGCTGTAATATTAAAAAAATAAAATAATAGGATTCAGGAGAACTTCATCAGCAACCAATGAACGTATGATGTTATTGGCTAAAGGCTAAAAGAGATCCTTTTGAGATTGCCAACCAAAGTTAGCTAGTTCGTTGGAATGTCCAGTAAAGTTCATTTGGTTAGAACAGCAAATTTGAGGATTGAGGGAAATACTTGGCATTGGTTCATAAGAAGTGGAACGGATCAGAGGGTGTAACAAAATGGCACAACATTCTCTGGCAGCTTAAAGAAACTCTAGTCACCAAAATGTAAAGAATTCCATACTAAATTAACTAAAAATCCAGTCAATTATTGTCTGCACACCTATTTTACTGTCCAGGATACAGATTTATATATGCATGCAAATATCTTGCAATATCATTACAAACCAGAGTACATCTACTCCCTTTCACACTTTCTTCTCTTTCTTTCTCTGTGGCGTGCGAATGATTGATTAATTGATGCGCAGCCGTTTAAACTGCATCGGCTGGACGAGGGACCCGAGATGACAGTGCAGCTGACCAAGGAGGAGGCACTCAAATACTATACACAAATGCAAACGATACGACGCATTGAGACATCCGCTGGCAATCTGTACAAGGAGAAGATCATACGCGGCTTTTGCCATCTGTATTCGGGCCAGGAGGCGTGCGCCGTTGGCATGAAGGCGGCGATGCGCGATGTCGATAACATAATATCCGCCTATCGTGTGCATGGCTGGACCTATCTGATGGGTGTATCCCCGCTGGGTGTCCTCGCCGAACTGACGGGCATGAAGAGCGGTTGTGCACGCGGCAAGGGCGGCTCTATGCACATGTATTCCCCAAATTTCTATGGCGGCAACGGCATTGTCGGAGCCCAAGTGCCCCTCGGCGCCGGCGTTGGCCTCGCCTGCAAATACAAGGGCAACGGCGGCATGTGCCTGGCTCTATATGGCGATGGTGCTGCCAATCAGGGACAGGTCTTTGAGGCCTATAACATGGCTTATCTGTGGAAGCTGCCGGTCATCTTTGTCTGCGAGAACAACAACTATGGTGCGGCATCGAAACTCCAATCAAATACCAAAGATTCTCAATTTAAAGTTTATTTTTTTTTTGGCAGGCATGGGCACCAGCTCGGAGCGCGCTTCGTGCAACACGGATTATTATACGCGCGGCGATGCTCTGCCCGGCATTTGGGTGGACGGCATGGATGTGTTGGCTGTGCGCAGTGCCACCGAGTTTGCCATCAAGTATGTGAACACACATGGGCCACTGGTTATGGAGACGAATACTTATCGGTATTCGGGACATTCGATGTCCGATCCTGGAACATCGTATCGTACGCGCGAGGAAATCCAGGAGGTGCGCCAGAAGCGTGATCCGATTACCTCCTTCAAGGAGCTGTGCATTGAGCTGGGCCTCATTACCACCGATGAAGTTAAGGTGGGTGCATCTATTTACCTGGTTTGTTTCTCGTGTTTTGTTGCATTTAATCAACACTATTCTGCATGCAGGCCATTGATCTGAAGGTGCGCAAGGAAGTGGATGAAGCTACTGCCTTGGCCAAGTCCGACACTGAGCTGCCCCTTAGCCATTTGTGGACCGATGTCTACTCTCATAATTTGGAGAAAAAGATACGCGGCACTAACGGTTTCGATATAGATCACATCCAGGAGCGTAAGGGTGTCAATCACTAAAAGAATCCAAGTACAACGAATCGATAAAATGATACACACACCCACACACCGAACACACATACACACACCCACACACACACACACACATAAAAAACACAGCAAGCGAAATCTCTAGATCTTAAGCCCAAAGTTCATGGTAGAAAAACTATTATATTTTTTTTTTACTGCGTTTAGACGAGTTGATATGCATAAATAAGCATTGTGAATCATGTTTAGCCGTATCGTGGATGACGACGAAACGAGAAAAGAGAATACCGTTGAAGTCGGAGAAATGCAGTTAAATAGAATGAAAAAGACACATAACGTAGCTAACCACAAATTGTGCACACCCTGTCTTTCCCGCAATATACACACATACACACACATACACACACACACACTCAATTACTCAGCATGGGTCAGTGGCAATAGCAAAAGATATTATATATGTTCAATACGGTTAGGGCCAAGTGTATATTGTTTAAATATAAAATATACATCCATTCAGTCATAATCATCATTTGTTAAACTCTCTCTGAACTTTTATGGGTCGATGGCATATCTGATCAGTATATATATAAATAATGAATTCGGTTGTAAATTTGCAAAGAAACGATCTCAATGAAGTTTGTGACAGGTCAGATGGTAACCAAATCTTTGCCAACAAATTGTCAAGCTTTCATGTTGATTTGTTGTTTAAATAATACCAATTAAATTGATGCAGTTTTGAGATTGTGATCAGATTGTCCAAATGAGAATACCGACAAGTTTGGGCCAACGTAATTATAGAAATGAAAACAACAGCTGCAATCGAAACTTAAAAAGTGCTACAAAGAAAGAGATGAAATGCATAATATTAATAGATATAGATCACAGTTTGGGCATAAACTCGATATGGTAAATTAAATGCAAGAATCATGCAGTTCATCAAAAGAATATTTAAAATCTTAATCACACTGAAAAAGTATTTCTTGAATCACATATTTTCTTGGGCACTTTACATATTTTGTTTTCCATTACAAATTCGATCAATAATTCATAATTTTTAAAATCTTTCAAGTCATATTGTGAATAGTTAGCTGCACATGAATCTTATGCGATTTATCTTAAGCTCACACCCAAAACTTAAGTCTGAGATTCTTGTGGCCAAAAGTAAATTTAGATACTTTATATTTTTAGCTTGTTAAATAGTCGTTCGAGCATGAACATTTACTGGCTATTGCTAAAGAGGGGCTTGTGGCATAATGTAAAAGTCCAAGTTGGCTCCTGTATTCCCTATTCCCACAAGGAATGGGACGCCGTCTAGGATCCGGGCATCACCGGTTTCATTTCTGGCCAAAAGCAGCGATAAGCCGATAGTCTGGCAAAGAATTTGAGCAACAAAATTAAGAAATAAAGTTTAAATAAAGAGTAAAAACATATATTTTGACAGTAGCTGATAAATTATTTTAAATGGGAGCAATCAAATATTTGCATTAGCTGATTTTTTACTAGTTTATTTATTTGGCTGAATTTGAAAGATTAATTGTATTTCTTCATTTTGTTGTTCGGATTCTTAAACAGGCTTTCGACCTGCCGCCGCTTTTTAATGTTGCTCTGCTTTTTTCAGACAACAATTAAAAATAATTAACAAAACAATCATCTTTGTCAGTTAGCCTTGTAAAGAGCTTTTCTATGCTACCGAAATGTCTCCTGCTTGAGCTTTTCGTGCCTGCCACCTGCGAGAGCTTGAAAGCTGCGTTGGTGGTGCTTTAGCGCGTGCCTGTGCAGCAGCAGAGAATGTGGGAGCTTTGCTTGAGAAGAATTTGTGCAGGCACCTGTGCTATGCTAAAAGCTACTTGCTGCTGTTATCTCCCCTCTCTCATTCTCAGTCCCTCTCGCTCCACTCTTTCATTCCCTGTCTCTCTCTCTCTGTCCAATGTTATGGTGTAGAAATTCCTCAAATCGAGTGCGACGCGTTCCGTTCATTTATCAAGCCGTTAAATGGCAGCTGCTCACATCGCCGTCCCCCCACACCATCTCACGCACACACACACACACACACACACAAACATACACACACAACATTAGGGAGCTTCAGCACCTGTAAACTACCCCGCTGGCCCATTGTCTGCCTGCTGCGAGGCGGTGTTCAATTCAATCTCCTGCGTTATTCAGTCTGCTCGCGATGCTCTGTCGTTGATCTTCACGTGCGCTGCGACGGAATTCGTGGTGCTGTCCGATCTAATAAATTTTTGTTTTGATTTGGCCGCGTGCTGCGTGGGTGTTGAATATTGTGAATGGTTAATGTTTTCAATATGTTTAATAATAAACGATCGTTTCACCGTTGATTGTCGTTGGCAAAGGTCCATTATATATATGTAAATATATATATATATAATATCTATATAATATTTGAATATTATGCTATATTATTATTTTTTTTATTTGTGATTGATTGTTATTGATGCATTTATATATTTTATTTGAATACAACCAGATAATTATTAATAGCCAAGTTTATACGATTCTAATTAAATGGCTCTAGCTTCCTTGGGTATGTAAGTATGTATTTATTATTAACGATTTAGAAAAATGTCAAAAAATTAGTTATCTTAGTTTGATTAGAACGAATGCATTCGCATTTTATTTGAATGCACCCACACGTATTTGAGCACAGACCAATTATATTTGTAATACTTTCTCTTCTTTTGTATTCTTTGTTTTTTTTTTCACTTTTAAGCTTTGTAATTATATTTAATTTTTATAGGCGCCTCTTTCAAAGGCGCTTCATTAAATTTATTATGTCTTTAGATTCTTTTTGTGTATTTTTTCGTCATTTTCATTTTCATTTTCGACGTTTTCCTTTCATAAAATTTTATTTCCACCCATTTTGCATTTCCTTTTTTTTGTTTTAGTTTTAGTTTTTTATTTTCAATTTGTTATTTTCACTAGTTTTATGCTGGCGCATATTTGGCACACATATTAACGCCTCGTGTGAATAGTTTCACTGACATTTTCCATATTTTCTATTTTGCTCGCTGACATCTAAAAATAGTGATAAATACTTCTGCAAAAGGTATATTGATTCTGTGAAAATGTGTGTTATGATTACAAGTGTATGAATACTCACAAAACCACAGGGGGCTATGACCTTTGACATGGGACTAGACTTGGATTGAGTTTTCTGGTTTTAACATTTATAGAAATAAGAATTGGGTGCAGAGTGACAACATGCCGAGCTCTCTCGACTAGGAGACTCTGTTTTTTTTTTCATATTCCCTGTCAGATATTTTCAGCATAAATATGAAAATAAGTCAAGTTTCAGTTGTGCGTAGTTTCAGTGAATACTTTTTTCAAGTTGAATACAAATATCCATAGCTGTGTTGTGCTATAATTTATAGTATATATATATGTGTATATATAAAATAATAATCATAATAATCAATCAACGAATATTCTGAGAGCTATGCGAAACATTTCTCAAGGCAAAATCATGTGTTGCGCATAATTCGGTTAATTTATTTATCCATCTTAATGCTCAACATTATTGATCAATTATGATTGAAGTGAAGTGTTGGGACAGTTAAAGGGTGCAAATACAATTTATATACACATTTACATGGCCACATACATATGTATGCATTTACAGGTGTCTGTGTATATGTATGTGTGTGTGTGTGTGTGTTTGTGTGTGTTTGTGAATTGTCAATTGTCAATTGTCTTTCGAGTGGCATACTTGAGTGGCACTTGGCTTGTGGAAGTTTTGTATGCATGTGCATAAGTAGTTAATACATACACACATACATACATACAGAGAATACATATGTGCTTCATGTGGTCAACAGAAGTGCTCCCCATACTTATACGCATCACATGGAGCGCAGCTGATTGGCATTTTTTGGTATTTCCGCTACATTTGCATACCCGAATTTGAAATGACCCCCGTGTGGAGAGCGCAAGATCTGATATATGTATATACCTATATATATATATATATAAGATCTGAAATGTTTATATATATATATATGTTTATATTGTATGTACATTTGTATGTATATGAATATAGTCATTGTTCAAATAATGCCAAAAAGCCATAACAAAGTGTCGCACTGCGCTCTTTGGAGCGTTTTTCTTATTTTTATTTCAATTGATATTGTAATTTATATGCTGAGAGATCGGTAAGATTTTCTCTTCAACACATATACAGCTTTGTATTCCCCTAGCCATGAGCATTCAAATGAAGAATATATTATCAGCATTGACATTCCGCAATTTTGTTTGACTTTGAAGTGTGAATTTATGCACTGGGAAAAAGAAAAACGCGTTTTTTTTGTTTAGTTTTTTTTTTTTGAAAATCGCCCTAAAATGAAAATCATGCTGACAACTAGAAAAAAATGTTTTGGTTTATGAAAATCATTTCTGAAATGAAGAAACTCAAAGCATTTGTTGCTGGAAAGACACAACTTTCCGTTTTCGAAATATACTTTCTGAATAATAGGTTGAGTTATCCTTGGCATCAATACTATTGCCATTTTCTTTATGATTGATCAATTCATAGGAGTCGGCAGCAATATTGTTATATTGTAGATAGTTAAGCATTTTCCCAACAATATTTGTCAAGCAAATAAGGCTGACAAAATGTTAATAGCGGAATCAATCAATCAATCAATCAATCGTGGAATTGAAACCCATGTTGAGTTGAACGCACTTATTTGCAATCTCGTTCTACACAATTTGTTATTAACACATTTATTTTGTTGCTTTCTGTTGCAAATGTGACTCAAATGTTTGCAATGCAACAATCTGGCAACCGTCGTTCAGCTTATCTTAAGTGTTGCACGTACTCAAATATTAATTTCACAATAAAAAACCTTTGATTCCTCAATATCGTTATCTTGTTTGTAAACGCTGTGAAACTGTGCGATTGGATCTAGCAAATCCAACACTTTTTTGTTTAGTGTAATTTGATTTTATATAAATCATGGTTTGGTCAAATTGTGAATTCATGTTTCAAGGTAAATTGGGCTAAATTTGATCTGAGATTTGTATCTTTCAAAATATGTGTGTTAAGGGTATGCCAAAATATATATATATATATATATATATATATGAAATTTGCCATGTTGTGTGGTCTGTATGATCTTGATTGCGTTGAGAGCATTTGCTTCAAATGCCAGATAAGTAGGTATATGCTAGACTTAATGTTAATATCCATTGTAAGCACATTGCGTATACGCAACGCAAAATATCATTTATATATATATATATATTTAGTTGGCATATTTACGCATGTGTGTATTTATGTGCACACATACACATAAATGCGTACAAACTTGTGTACAACATACACTTTAATGTTGCACTCAAATTACACAAATGCTTTCAATTTCTCCAACCGCAAGCAAAGTGCTGTTGTGGCGTTGGGAGGGTTGCAGGGGCAGGCGGCAGGAGGCAGGGGCATTTGTAAGATTGTGTAAACCAAGGAAACGTGGCAAACGAGAGCTAATCCCGTTTCTAATAAATATACATAGGCACATCCCACATCCATGGAACTCATTGAGCAATTGAATAATTGAACAATAATGTGGCTGGTGTCGCCTCGTCTTTTGTGCAACATCATCTCATCAAATGGTGTCGTTCTAGATTTTTGGGGTGTACGCTTCAATGCTACACATTCATTTTTGTATTTTTGTTATTATTAATTAAAGCCTCGTGTTGCACAATTGAGAATGACAACTCTACGCTGTGCGATCTGCTTCGAATATCTTGAATATAAAATGATGATTTCTCTACTTTAGAATTTCTTTTTGTCACGATTTTGTTTGTGATTCAGCTTCTGCTAGTTATTTATGTTGTTGCTATTTGGTTATGTTTTTTTTTCCTTTTTTTTTTTACTTTGCTCAATTTCAACAATTTGTACAATTATAACAAATACTCATGATGCGACCTTGAATCAAAATAGATTTTTATACGCGACGCTCGCCAATCTCCGCACGTCACCAAATATCCCATCTAAAAGTCCAAATGAACATTTCTGGCCCGTTTTTGTGTGCGATTCTTTGGTTCTTCTGAGAGCGTTCTTCTTTTTCTTCTGTTATGCTATTTTTTTTTTGTTTTTTTTTTTTTGTTTTAGTTTTTAATTTCATATTTTGTTTTGAAATCTTTTCCAAAATACTCGTGAGCCACATATGCAGCTGTTCTAAAATGGAAATACCTTTTGCAGCAGATAAAATTGAACTGAACTCAAGTGGCGCACACAAGGAATCGGAATATATATATATATATATATGTAAGTTTGTAGTCAGCGCAAATGGAAATGAAGTGAACCAAGAAATTGAATTGTATGCTTTGTAAATTTTAATGAAATTAATGAGGAAATTGCTACAGCAATCCCAAGTTTACGATTGCAAAATGTTCAGCTTTCAGAAATATTTGTTTGTGTTTTTGATAGGCTGGCAAAAAAAAAAAAAAAATCATAATAAAAATAGAATTAATGGGTTTATAAATGTGCACCAGCTTGTAGGAAATTTTAGTGCGGAATTTATACACAGAATGCATTAAAAGTTGTTGAAATGTGTATAATGAAGCAGTGCTAATAAAGTACAATTAAGTATATCCATCTGTACCCGTTTGTATGGACGAGCCGATCTTATACCAATCGCAGATCAAGCTTATCGTTAATTCAAACTGTTTGACGAATATCGATAAATATCGATTACAGATAATAGATAAAAGCGATCATTTTAATGGTGTGAAATTATTTAAAACTGCGCCTTGTGTTGATTATCAATCCGGATAAAACCTTTCGTATGCAAATTTTTATACATAAATGGGTTGTATCGATGTTGTTCAAAATGATTGCATTGACCTTACAAAAATGGTTTAGCACTAAATAAAGTTATGTTTGCACGTTCTACCTCTTATGGTTATAGCCAACTCGTTATAGTTGTTTTTATTGTTGACATTGGATTAGTTTCATCCTGTAAATGCTGCAAAAATACAAGAGCAATTTGCCTGTTTCCAATCTGTTTTGTATATGAATTTATTTGAAATTGAATGTTTGGATAACAGCGGAGTTTATATATGGTCTGTTAATTGCTCGGGAATGATAGAAGCAGACATCTACATTCACTGGCAGAATCGATATTTTATTATTGATTTTGAAAATCATTCAAACGAATAAGTCTAAATCGACTGGGCTCTTGTTAAACATCAGTATGTAATATAAGAATCTGTACACATTTAGAAGTCGCGATATGACAGCAAACTCACCCAAAAAACATGTAAATACAAAAACAAAAACTTAATAAAAAAACAATTAACAATCGATCGGAAATCGATGTAAATCGACATTCGTGAAACGGGGCAGTTATCGATG